ATTGTGTTTAGGGCAAAAGGAATGCGTATCTGTAAGATGATTTGGGTACAGGTTGCCAGACTGTCTTCTCGGAATGTGGCCCTCCCAGTGGCAATATGGGGGTCCCTGCTACTTCACGCTTTTTCAGTTGTGGATGACATGGCCTTTTAAGTAAACTACGTGTGTGGCGTTCTGAGAGATGAAAAAGTCCACTAACTTGAGAAATGCTTTGTGCAATGAGAGGTAACATAATTACCAGCAGAAATAAAGTTATTGGTTATTAATTAGTACTTTTTATAGCTTTTAAGGTCAAAAGAGATTGAGTACCTTAGTTTATTGCAGGAAGATTAGTAAAAAGAAATGGAAGATATTAGCTAATGCTTTCTTTGACAGCTTTTTAAACTTTTTAAAGAAAGAGAATTATGCTAAAAAAGCAGCCCGAAAGGTTTAAAGTTCTAAGAGGGCCAACAAAATAATGTCAATGATGATTTTTTTCTGGGATGTAATGTATTTCTGGCAAATTTGTCTTTTAGGAGAATTGCTAAAAATCACTTGAATATAATTTTTCCCAGGCATAAAAGGTACATTCAGTTTTAAATAATGGAGCATGAGACATAACTTGACTATTTTGAAAGAAAAGGTGGTCAGTGATGTTTTGCTTTTAATGAGATATTCTTTCATGTTGCCAAGCCCTGGGGCAGGAATATAATCATAAACTGTAACAGCGTTCTAAAGGGGAGAATATTATACAATCCACTTTATGACAGTTTTTTAAGGTGAAGTTGCAAGAAATGTTTGAGGGAATAGCTTGTATTTTCTAATCTGATTTTCACTGTTGTAGCTAGAATATTCTGGAATCTAATTTTAATAACTTTATCAAAAGTTAAATCTTGGAATTCTAGCTTTTAGAATAAGAATTGGTCTTAGCTGTTGTTTAATCATGGCATTACATGCAGTGCTTGCATCTGAGATTAAAGTCTGGTCACTGCCTTCCAGCAGACAGTTTAATCTAGTGTTGTTAGGCGCCTTTGATCTATGTATATGCACAGTGTTGCTACTAGCTCAGATAAGTAAGACACTGAAACAGAAGACAGTTCTATGTTATAAACAGTAGTTAAAGTAAAGTAAATTATAGTAACTATATGGAATAGGAGGCCAACAGGGTGAGGGGTATCTTGCTTTAGAATGGAAGGAAGTGTCTCAGAGGGGTAGAATTTGAGTCTGGCCTTTGAAGAAGAGACCAGGAGAGGGCTTTCAGGCCAGAGGAAGGCATGAGTTAGCAAAGGCATGGAGTTTAAGACAGTATAGATGATGTGTAAGGTGTTTAGTTTGCTTTCAGAGAGGATTTCTGGGAGGAAGTAGTACAGGTGGATTTGTGTTTTGTTTTCATGGTTAGGAAGACAAAATTGGATAGGCCAGGAGGAAGTCAGAAGATGGGGCTTAAAGTCTTTTCTGTGTATGTGGTCATCGTACCTACGCGGATGACTTACAGCCTGTCAGTGCTTACGTGTCCTCTTGCAAAACAAAGGAGAGCAGATGAGAAAGCACTGTTTACAATATGTAGCACTAGATTCATCAAGGTATTATTTTACCTTCCCGTTGATGGTGCTGGCAGCTCTTCTGTCCCAGATCCTAGGCAGCTTGGCAGCCCTCTGCTATATAATAAATCAACTAAGAGTTATAGTCTACATGAAATCTTAGTATTTCTACCAGAAGTTATCTCTTAATTTTTAAATTAAGATCATATGATGTAAAAGATCAATGGTATTAAGGCTAATTCCTTTATTCCATATAGTGTGGGCAGCTCACACAGTTGATTCAAGTGTAGTGATAAAAGAAAAATAAACCAAAGTTAACTCTGGTTGAGTAATAAAGTTCCTGGAATTATTTTGATTATAGATTAAAAATCCATTTATAGCCTTCAAAAGGTTACAGAGCAGCCCCAGCAAGTGGCTTAGTTGGTTGGAGCGTCATCCCCTTCACCAAAAGGTTGCGGGTTTGATCCCCGGTTGGTGTATTGGGAGGCAACTGATTTCTTTCTCTCACATCAGTGTTCCTCTCTCCCTCTTCCTCTCTCTCTAAAATCAATAAACATATCCTTGGGTGAGGATTAAAAAACAGAACAAAACAGAATTTTAAAAAAAGTTATAGACCAATTGTGATTGGTATTTCCATTTATTCCTTTGTAGATTATGCATAATCTTTGCATAATCTCAGTCTTCTGTCCTCATGCTAAGTAATGGGGCTATTTCCTCTTCTGCTAGTCTTTGTTCAAGAAATACAAGATATTTTGGTTTCATTAAAAAACAAATTGCTGTGTCTAAAAATAAATAAAAATCTTAAAAATTTAGATATTGCTAAATATTAGTTGGTTTCATAAATCTGAGTAAATATTCTTAATTTTTAACTGCTGAGTCTTGTACGTACATTTTATATAAACAGTAACAATACTGAAAAATAAAACTGATATGCCCTTCGCCTGTGCTGTAAGTTGGGTTTCAATATATCATAAAAGTCTTTCATAAAAAAAGTGTGCATGTATGTATGTATTTTTACTGAGAGGGGAAGGGAGGGAGAAAGAGAGGGAAACGTCAATGTGTGGTTGCCTCTTGTGTGCCCCCTACTGGAGACCTGGCCCACAACCCAGACATGTACCCTGACTGGGAATTGAACCAGCAAACCCTCGACACTCAATCCACTGAACCACATCAGCCAGGGCTAGATATTACTAATTTTACTTTTAAAAATGTTATACCACTTTATATTCCCATCTATATTGTTATCCCATCCTCTTGTCAATATGTCTTACCAATCTTTTTAAACTTGCAATTTGATGGGCAAAAAACACAGCATAAATTTGTTTTCATGAATTATAAGTGAGGTAGAGAACTTTTTAATATATTTATTGACTTTATTTTTTTTTCTTTAAAAGCTCTGTTTCTCTCCTTTCCCCATTTTTATTACCTATCTGGTGGCTATTTTTCTTTTCTTTAAACAGCTATTCTATATTAAGGAAAATAATCCTTTGACTATCATGTATTGATGGGGTGAATATTTTTTAACTAGCCGTTTGCCTTCTGACTTTGCTTATGGTTTGCCTTGCCACATTTATTTTTTATCTAATCACATTTTATTGCTTTTAGATTTCTTGTCATGTTTAGAAATCATCCAATATAACGAGAAAGGGAAACAAGTTTTTTACTTACGGTTTTTTAGATTCAAATATTTGATTCATCTGAAATTTATTTTAAATAATAAGTGAGTTAGGGATCTAATTTTACAGTTTTTCAGAATGGCTACCTAGTTGGTATACCATTATCTATTAAATCTGCTTTTCTGTATGAGTATTTGTATACTGACCATTGTTTCTGGTTCAGATTCCATTTCTTTATGGTTGTGCAGATATGATTAGTTGAGAATTAAGGAAAGTTTTTGAGGTCAGTGGAGCAGTATAAAAGATCATAGGTGGATTATACTATGTTATCTCCCTTTTTGTTTTAAAGACTGGTAAATAGTGACTCAAGGACTACTTCTAAATTCGACCATCCTATGGACACAGAGGTGACTTTTACATGATTTTTAGGTTACTGATATCTCTGAAGGGCAAGAGAGGCTGGGATGCCTTTCTTCTAAGGCGTAGTCGGAATTTTTTAAAAGAAAATGATCAGAATTTTAAGATGAGTTTGAACTTCTAGGCAATAAAAACCTCTTAGTGCCAGCCATTAGCTAATTCTGTACTTGTTGCAAGGAGACAAAGAATCTATTTCTTAAAAGAATTGAAACAAAAAAATGGTTATTAGTCACTGTTTAGTACTCCTTAGTCATCTTTAGGAATCCAGTCACTAAGTAGGCTTGATTGTTTAGATTTTTATTTCTAACTTTTTTAAGATGCGTGTCGCGTGACGAGGGGCAGAAGAATGCCCACTTTTACTTCAAGTGCCCAGTTACTTACTGGTCATGCAGCTGTGGGCAAGATGTTTAATTTATTTGAATCTTAATTTCTTCATTTTTAAAATAGAAATGAAACCAACTCTTGCTTGTTACAATGAATAAATGAGATGATGCATGATAAATAGTTCATAAATGTTGAAATTTGTAGCAGATTTAACGAGGACCAGGATTTAGAAATTTGGATTCCATAGTGACTCCAAAAAGAGAAGAGTTTCAGAAACAGGTTGGGAATGAATTGCTAGTGAGAGAGTGAAGATGGGAAATGTATTTTTAACCTTTTGAGGAACTTTTAGACTGTTTTTCAAAGCATTGCATTATTTTATGTTCCTGCCAGCAATGTAGGAGTGATATGCACAGTGCCAGCACTTGTTCAGCATGTTTGATTATATCCATCCTAGTGAGTAGGAAGCGATATTTCATTGTGGTTTTGATTGGCATTTCCCTGATTTCCAGTGATGTTGAACATCTTTTCATGTGGTATTGACTGTTTGAATATCTTTTTTGGAAAAATGTCTGTTCACTACTTTGCCTATATTTAAATTGGATATTTGTCTTTTTATATTGAGTTGTTAGAGTTCTTTATATATCATGGATACAAGTTCTTGCTCAGATTTGCAAATGTTTTTTTCCTGATTTTGTGGCTTTTCTTTTTATTTTCTTGATGTTGACCTGTTCTTTTGCAGCACAAAAGGTTTTTCTAAAAATTTTGAAGTTCAGTTTATCTGTTTCTTTAACGTTGCTTGTGCGTTTTATTAGTCACAGTTGCAGGATCTATTCGGAGAATCTAATTTCCCAGGCTGTTAGAATTGTATCTTATTGCATCACATGGTTAATACAGTTGTAATTACTATGTGTACATGTATAGTAGTTTTGTCTTTTCCAGTTAGCATTTTTATGTGTGAGTTTGCTTCTATTTATATTACCCGTGCTTTATTTTTAAGAGTTGTCATGTCACTGTCGTTTACATAGTCATCCATTTTTGCTTGTTTGCTTTTCAACTTCATGATTTAAATAGCACTGGTAGGCAGCTGTATCTCCATCAACTTAAAAGTTACATTTTTTTCCTTCAGGCAGGGTCGACGTAAAGCAGTTGATAGCGAAGAAGAAACAGCTGACAGCAGAGGCAGAAGTAAGTAATGCCCTCTTCCAGAAACGAACATGTAGAGTGTTAAGGTGAAGAGTTTTGTTCAGTAAATTTTTAATGCTAAATTGCTTAAATATTTACCCTTCTTATCAGTTGACATTGCCCTTCTGTGGAACAGGAGAGTAAGGTCTGCCACCCTGTCGTCCTCCCTAAGAACCAGGTCGCCCTTTTCGCTGCCGTCCTCTCCATCACTGTCACTTTTCTGACTTTTACCAGCAAAACTTGGTTTTAATGAACCATATTAGAATTGAACTTCTGTACGAATGTCTAAGTGCTTTGTGAAAGTAGCAAGGGTCATAGAAGTAATAGGCTTCCGGTAAACGCTGAATCTGAATCTAGAAACAATCTGTTGGGAATGTAGAAGAAATATCAACTCAAAAACAGCAACGTGGAGCCATTTCAAGCCAAGCAAAAAATTCTGCAAGTCAGAATTGAGTAGTGCACCCAGGAAATTCTGGAGGACAAAGAACAATTTTTAAAAATTTATAATTTAATATACTATGTGTGCTTGAATGTAAGTTGACTTCAAACCCAAGGTAGCCTTGCTTTTTTCTGAGAAGATTACTTCCAGAATTTATTAGTCAATGTGAATCTCTAAATAACCAGTGTTGTAGATGAAATAGCCCTATTTGTATCTGTTTATTAATTTAGTGATACATACATGCATACACATACACATTCATTTGGGATAACAAATTTAGATATTTTTAGCCTCATATTTGAATGGGGTTCTTGGACCCAATCTAACAGGGGGATTTGGGTTCCCGCCCCACCAAGCAATTCCCAGATGCCAGCAAGGCTGCCCCAGGAATTCAGCTCTGTTCTGATTCTGTTCACCCAGAGGTAAAAGTCAGACTCTGCAGGTGAAAAAGGGCTCAGTCCCCAAGACTGCCCTCCCCTTCCAGGTAGCCTGGAAGCAAGCCGGGTTGCTTGTGCTTCTGACATCTGGCTGCAGCTGGAGGTTCCAACGACCCCCTCCAACTCAGTGCCAGTAGCAAGTTCAGATGGTCACTTGTACGTCTGACCCACTGGCTATAAATCAGAGGCTCCGCAGGGCTGGTAATTTGGCAGAGTGGCTCACAGAACTCAGCAAAACCTGGTTACTCACTGGATTACTGAGGTATTGCAAAGGATAAGAATCACAGCCAGATGAAGAGATACGCAGGGAGAGGCGCCAAAGGAGGACCTTTCCCTGAGGAGTTTGCACCTGGTAGGTGGGAAGCATTTGGTTCTACAACAGGTAGAGCTAACCAGCTGGCCTTCTGGGTTTTTATGGAGGTGTAGGGGTGGGACTGGAAGTTCCAAAGCCCTGATCCAGTGATTTTTAACCTTTTTCATCTCATGTCACACATAAACTAATTACTAAAATTCTGCAGCACACCAAAAAGATAGAATTTTTGATGATCTGACAAAAATATATAAAATATATTTTTTATATATATATATAAAATTTTGATTCATTTACACCAGTCAGCTATTGTTGTGTTGGCTGTTGTCATTTTTGTCTTTGACAATCTAAGGGAAAGGTGATCAGTACCCCTGACTAAATAGTCGGGTATTGCATGCTTTAAAAGTTCCTGCAGCACACTGGTTGAAAATCTCTGCTCTAACCATATGATTGGTCTCCTGGTAACGCAGTTGTCACTCATCTTCATTGGACAGTTTTCCCTTCATTTTTGTTTCTAAAGACTTTATTTATTTATTTTTAGAGGGGGAATGGAGGGAGAAAGAGGGAGAGAAACATCAATGTGTGGTTGCCTCTGGTGCGCGCACGTCCCCCTGTCCCCCCCCCCCCCGCCCCCCCCCCACACACACTGGGGACCTGGCCTGCAACCCAGGCATGTGCCCTAACTGGAAACCAAACCAATGACCCCCTGGTTCACAAGCTGGAGCTCAATCCACTGAACCACACCAGCCAGGGCTCCCCTAATTTCTAAAGTGAGAATATTGGGCTGTCCTCATTCAGAAATAACATTCTGAGTCATAGTTGTGTAGCTAACTTAATTTTAGCTCCTAATTTACTATTTCTTTTTGTGAAGGGAATGGTTATCCATAGGTTTTACTAGGTAACTCTTTCAGCTCCACAGAACTGGAGTTGTTAGATGAAATACAGTATGCCTAGCGAAATTTGAATTCAGATAAGCAACAAATAGCCTTTTAGGCTTTATGTAGTATTCGAGACAGAGTAAAATATTTGTTGTTTATCAGATTTAACTGGGCGTTGCTATATTTTTATTTGCTAAATCTGGCAACCTAAAGAGGACTCTGAGAATTCAGGTGTACAGACAGAAGATCTCATAACACATAGAACTGTGAAGAAGATTGTCAAGTAGCAAGCAAGCTCTTTAGTCTGCAGGGAAGAGGAATGAGGGTAGTTACGACATTAGTGGGTTAAACTGGTTGAATCTCTGAAGGTCACTTCTGGGTCTAAATGCTTTCATAAAAATGTTTTACGTACTGAATTAACAAAAGCCTTGGTGTGAGTGGGGTCACAAGACATTGTGTAACCCTGCGCCATGACCTTGTGAAATCCTTAGAATTGTGTTGTAACAAGACTTAAAAGACCTTGGAACAGTCCAAGGGAGATTTCAAATGATTAAGTCCCAACCAATTTACGTTAATAGATAAATTAGCTTTGTTTTAACGTGATGTTATTTCAGTTTTTTCTTTTGGTTGCAAATACCAGAAACTCATTTTGTTTTATTTAAGCGTATTTGATATTAATGTATCTCGTAGAATCCTAGCAGAGGCTGGACACTCAGGCTTGGAGAGGGAGGGGATTTTAGTAGCAGGAGTTCACTTGGTTCTGAATTTTTCAGTTAAGGAGGTATCCAGTCACTCTTCCCGAGCTCAGGCTTTCAGATTTGTGAGCAAGAGAACTGCATTTTTGCGAGAAGGACAGGACTCACATGGTACAGCCGTGGCCAGGACACTGGATGCCTGTCCTCCTCTTTGAGCACAGTTGCCCGAGTACAGTGACAATGGAGAGAAGAGAAAAGGGAGTGCCTTTATTATCAATATTTGTAGGACTTTTATTAATGTACATAATTTTATAGAGGAAATATTAGGTATAATGTGAAAATTTAACAGCTGAAAAATTTCTACTTCTTAAAAATACATACTTGTTGCAACATATTTCGTTTCCGCCTTATGTAGCATTTCAAGTATTATTTTTCACATTAATACGTAATGCTGTTGCCCAGTCATTAATTGGGCAAACTAATGAGTAAGATGCAGGTGGCATGTCTGCAAATGAGGACTTCCTTTCATGGTTTGTCACACATTTGAGTAACCTCTTCTAAAAACATTTTTGGATAGTGTCAGTCTATTTGATTTATTGATGGACTGCTGGAGAAAGAAGTCTTAAGTATTTTCTGCCCAGAAATTCTTATTTGTTAAGTGCTAGGAATAACTACTTTCTGGTTTCTAGTATTTAATAATGGCTCATAAAGAAGTGAAGGAGGTAGGTAAAGCTGATGAGAAGCAGAATAATACACCATTTGTATAGTTAATCTACCTAAATTGATTAAGATAAATGTGATTCAGTTCATTAGACTGATACAAATATGATATAAAGAATACATACCTGAATAGCCCTGGCTGGTGTGGCTCAGTGGATTGAGCACTGGCCTGCGAACCAAAGGGTCACTGGTTCAATTCCCAGTGTAGGGCACATGCCTGGGTTCCAGGCCAGGTCCCTAGTTGGGGGCATGTGAGAGGTGATCAATGTGTCTCTCGCACACTGATACTTCTCTCCCTCTCCCTCCCTCCTGTTCTCTGTAAACAGTTAAATACAATTAAAAAAATATATTTTAATCTAATTTAAATTGGGAGGCAGCCAGTATGAATTTTATTTTAAATAAAAAGGGAATATATATATATATATACACACACACATATATATATATATACATATATATATATATAATTCAGAGCTCTAAGCTCATTAGTTTTTGCTCTGTCTTGAACCTTTGGCATCCTCTATTAAGGATTATACAATAATTATGCTTAAGACTTATTGCCAGACAAGTTTCCTTTTTCTTTTAAATATGGAGGAGCTTATTACTGTGCACTATTTAGGACTTTAAACCTCTTCTATATTGATTCTTTCAAATGAAATGTTTGGAACAGAACTAAGCTAAATAACAATCGCCTTTCATTAGGTAACCTGCCATTTTCAGGCTACATGTACATCATTGACTTTTTGCCGGGGAGGGGGGGTGACTGTTTTGGCTAATGGTGCTCATCCCATAGAGAATATTTCAGATAAAGTACAGAGGAAAACAGTATAACGTAATGTGAACTCCTGAGGTGGTAGATCAGGGATCTGATCCAGGTTGTTACAAGTCCTGTGACCTTGGGCGGGTCACATCACTTGACTTGCACAAGCCTAGATCTCCCATATGTAAGAGGAATTCTGTTGCCTACTTTAAAGATTGTTTTAAGACTGAAAATAATATATAAAAAGAATATATAAAAGACTAAATAATATATAGACAGCATCTAGCATATAGCAGTCATTCGGTGAATAATAGCCATTACCAACAATAAAAACAAGTGAATTTTAGTTCCTTTCATAGCCTCTAGAAAGAAATCAGAGCCAGGTAGTTTTTTAAGGGAACTACTTTCTGCTTTATAATAGACACTGAATAAGCCAGCAGTGGTAGGAATAGGAGTTTAGGTGCCAGAGGTTGGTTTCAAAAGCTCTCTGGAAATATATTTAACACCCATAGCCTTTCCAGGTGCTTTGCAGAGAGCTGGGTGTACAGTGGTTAACAAAATGACATGAGTGTTTAAAGTCAGGTCAAGGAGACAGACTTTAAGACACCAAAAAAATAGAAATATATAGAAATGGACATCGTTTTAAGTGCGATGAAGGGAAAGAGTAAGGTGCGATGACTTTAGTGATTTGTTAGAGGGGGGCCTCTCTGGAGGAGTCGATTTAGCTTCAGACCTAAACACTGTGTTATTACCTGTTCCACTGTGTTACCTGTTTTGCCCAAAAAGGTCAGGTTTCTGGTTCCCTGCCACTACAAGGTTAAAAGATTCTCTGTGCCAAGCCAGGCTGTGATTCGGAGAAACAAGTAATTCAGGGACTGGGCAATACGACCTTGTGGAATCAGAGTGTAATTTTTTATGCTCCGTGTTCAGAGAATGCACTTTACTGTGTGTTTCTGTCAGTCTACTCTTGTTTTTTTCAGGCCTTTGTACTTTTGAAATGGCTGTTTTTATCTAACTGTAATTGACCCTGATGTTTTCTCATTTTAAGATTCATTCCAAAATAACCTCTGCTTGGAACCCTTTGTAGAAGACTTATCTTTCTAAAATGCAAGTCTGAACATGTTTATAAACCTTGTGCTTAAAACACTGATTTCCAGTTGCCCTTAGGATAAAATGAAAATATATTAAAATGGCCTAAGGGTTTGTCATGCTAGTCCCTCAACCCTGTTTGTCTTGCTTCATCTCTGGTCGCTCGTGCGTGACCTCACTGTGTGTTCCAACCAGAGAGTCTGCTTCATAGTGGTTGGTCCTCATTCTTAGAATCTTGGAGGTTAACCGTTTTGGCTGTTTATTTTAAAAACTGAGATTTCTTTGAGCTCTAAAAATATAGTAATTCTGTTTAATAGATTATCTAAGCACCTGCTTTTCTAGTTAACTGCCTGCAGCCTCTCTTCCGTTGTCTTCTGTTGTCCTCTGTTTATCTGTCCTCGAGCTGGGACAGTCCATGGGCTGGGTGAAATTAATGCTAAAGAGAGGGCGTTGGGGAGACAAGCAAATGAGAAAGCCTGTCACCCTCAGCCTCCTTTTCAGGTTACTGTACTAGACATTACTCAGATTTACTGTGATGCATTTTGAATTCTCATTGAGGCCAGTTTGATATTATAGAAGGACTCAGAAGAGGGCAGAATGGAGCGTTTCTTGTACTGTATTTTCTATATTCCCTCTTTATTTTCATCAGTGTTTGGATACATGGAAGGAGGAGGCTAAGGAAACTTCGTGGTGTCACAGTAGCATCCTTCCTGTCTCCCACTAGCAGCAGCTTTTGTCACCTGAATTCCTCAGAGAAAAAAGGCATTAAAAAGTGAACATAAGACGCCTAGTTAGTGTAATGCTATGTATAGGAATGCAGTGGATTTAAATAGCTACCTTTTAATAGTGATAGCACTAAATGACAGAATTGGCTTACACTGCAGTTTTTATCGCACATTATTTTGTTTCTGTTGTTAGAGGCCAGCTCTGACTGAGTAGGTAGGAGTTGGAGCTACAAATATGTATAGAGCAATAGCTATATCAATTACCGTGCTTTGCCTTTTTGCAGGGTTTTTTGTTTTTGTCTTTATTTTGGCTGTTTTAAAAGTTCACACAACAGTTTAGCAAGTCAGATGTTCTTCATCTCAAGTTTGCACGGATGTACCTGCTCAGAATAGTGGAATAGGTTGCCTGAGGCCTCACACAAGTGGTAGAGGCAGAATTTGAAGCCAGGTCTGCCTGACTGAAAACTCATATTTCTTTTATTACTTTATTATTAGCCCTAAAGCCATCTTATTCCTTGTTATTGTACTAGCTGAAGTATGAATTTGTGTACTACTCACATAAAACTTTTACTGCAGGAAAAAGGGCAAGACTTAATACTAAGATAAGAGCCTTTTAGCTTAGCACACCCAAGTGATGCTCTGCGCTGTCTGAGGTATCAGAGGTTGGAGTCAGAGACGGGGGAGGGCGGTTGTGAAAGAGAGTTAACAAGGAGACAACATCTGTTACCACCTTGTACTAGTCCTCACACTATTGAGATGCCTGTGATTTTTATTTTGTTGGTTCTCCTATCACTCCCAACCATTCTTTGTGGTATTCACTCTGCAATTAATCATGTCTTTCCGCACTGACGGACAGCGAGCTCTGAGGGTAGGCTGTGTGTCTCTTGTTCACCGCCGTAGCTGCTGGATAATACAAGTGCTGCTTGTCGCACACATCTGTTTAGTCCCTGCGATCCGACAGTGAGTTGGGATGACAAGGGACACCCTTGTTTGTGGGATGCCTGTAAAAAAAAAAAGATAGGAGTTCCGGAGTGTGAAGGGAAGGAAATAGGAGGAAGGAGGAAAGAAAAGGGTACAATTGATAAGAAGGATGAGGGTAAGGAGATTGCTGTAGGTTTTCCTAGTACATGATGGAAGTTTCAAGTGCGTCCTTGGAATGTATGGCAGAGGCTCATCTGTGGGCAACTCGTAAATAAGGCGCAAGACCTGGTGCCGTGAGGAGTTGACTGCCGTATTCAACTTGAGTTGGGTGGATTAGGGTCTGGTTTTAGCAGCTTTTATGCTGACATTTATAGAACATTCATTGTGGGGTTTGTTTTTCATGGTTCTGGTCTACTTAACCCAATACTTAAGTTGGGGAGGAGACTGGTTCCAAAGCACAAGGAATCCTAGCTGAAAGAAGTGGCTTGCCTGCCTTTGCCACATCTGAAGGTCCCTGGCTTCGTTTTTACTGTTGAGTAAAAGATAGTGGGCTGATCGGTGCGAGCAAGGGGTGCAGGGTCCAGACCTTGTGTGGTTTAGACGTGCCCCTGCCATCCCCCCCTTTCCTGGCCTCACTTCTCATTGCTCCTGTGCTTCAGCTACGAAGGCCTGCTTTTCGCTATTTATGGAACATGCCAGGGGTGTTCCTGCTTCAGGGCTTTTTACATTCATGCTGTTTTCTTCCTACTGCTTTTCCACAGATGCCCACTGACTTTTGCCCATTTAACCCCTCCGCATTTTCAGTGTCATTTAATCTTCAGGCTGCCCTACCGTCGCTATGAAAAACACGCCCCCCCGCCCTTTCTTCCTTTGCACAATACCATCCTGTCTACTTTATGTCCGGTAAATTCCGTGAGCTCAGCAACTCGCCTTTGTTCATTGCTGTACCTCCTGTGCCCAGAACAGTATTCAGTACCCAGTACTTAGTGGAATGAACAAATTCTTTCCCTTCTTTTTGAGTATACTTCTACAGGGGACATTTTTGTAGTTGGGGAAAAAAACCTTTATATATTAATTAGTCCAATTCTAGAGATGAAAAAAATGAAGCTTTTTTCTTCATGTCATTTTCCAGGGATTGGGGCTGGTTGTGTTTTGATTAAGGAAATGTCCTATTGAGAAGTTTCAAAATGAAGATGGACATTGAAATGGAACAAGCAACAGGAACTAAAATAAAGTACTATTATATAACCTTAAAGTGAAAAAGTTGTTTTATTTAAAAAAAATAACTTTATAAAAACTATTTTTCTTCCAGGGAACATACTCCGGTATTTTGTCCTTAAAACCAGCCTACATCATTTACATTTTCTGTTTTGACTTATAATTTCCTATCTCTCTGCTTTTTATCATATTGTCTTCTGTCACTTTTCACTTAAAATTAAGTCCTGTTCTTCAGGGTTTCAGCTCAACTCCCAGCTCAAAAAGATATTTCCAATCATCTCATCCTTGTTTCTTTGTTTACTAAAATACTAGATGTTGTTTGAGTTTTCACTGATGGTCATACTGCTCTGGTGAAACTCTTCTGTGTGTTACTTATTGGTGCATATCTGGTATTTCCCATCTCAATCAGCAGTCTGGGAGAAGGTGGGACTCAGTGTATTCTCGCTGCTCAGGCCCCAGAAGGCATTTGGGAACTGAGAGAGCAGTTTGAAAGCCCTCACATATAGTCTCATTAGGTACATTGATATTTTTTTGCTTTACTTTTAAGGGACATGGTTGAACTCTTATAATAGAATGGAGAAAATGCTACTTCAGGTATTTTAGGTTTAGCCTAAATAATTTACTTAAAGGAAAGAGCAATTTTTTCATTGAAGAATTAGGAAGTAACACTTAGTTTTCTTTTGTGTTGATGAGTCCTGCCAATTTAAAAATAGCAACATTTATAATTTGAGCATCCACAGTAGGTGGCCTGTTATGATCTGAAGAAATACTGTTTTTGCTTCATACTTTTCAAAAACTGTATATTAAAAATAGCCTCGGACCAAAATATATAACAATTTCATTTTATGAAAATATGTGTTAGGGTTAGGTAAACATAGAGCTATGGAGGTAGGAATAAGCATTATTATATGAACGTTGGTAATGTACAGAAATAACATGATCTAAAATACAGACAGTGAGTACTTGGGCGAAGGGGATGCTTGAGGAGAAAGGGGACTTAAAATTATACTCATAATGCTGATTTTTACTTTTTGTTGTTTTCCGGATAAAAATTTGAAGAGGAAAAAAGTAGACTGTCATCTTTATCATTTCTGTTATCTTGGTTCTGTATATTATTTGTAGTTCCTTTAGTAGGTGCTTATTTTGCTATCTTGATTTATACTTAAAACGGTATTTTAAAAAAGATAGGAATAGGAATCATTTTGCTTTTGCCCCTGTGAGCTCACTTAAAATGGGTTTCTTTGATCCAGCTCTGTTTTCTCAAGAGAACCCTTGAGAAAAATGTTAACTCCTACGCATGGATTGGTTCTAATGCTTGTTTTAAAATTCTAGGAATTGAAACCGTTTTTTATGAAGGAAGTTGGCACGCACTTTGACGATTTTGTGACCAATCTCATTGAAAAATCAGCATCATTAGATAGCGGTGGAGGAACCCTCACGACCTTTTGTGTCCTTGGAGGAGAGAACCACCACAGGGCTAAGTAAGTAGGAGCCTGAGTTCTTTCAGGGCGGCATTTACTCTCGTCTGCGCAGAGGCGAGGGTGCAGGTTGCCTGCATTCCCGCCCGGCACCATTTTTCACCAGCCGTGTTACTTTGGGCGAATCACTGGAAGGGTGTCTTTCTTCATTTAATATGTGGATTATAACCTGTGCATACTTCATTTAGGACTGTGCTGGCACTTGGGGGCTCTTCATTTAAACCAAACAATGACCCTGTGAGGTAGGTACTGAGCCGCCTGCCTATCACAGACGAGAAACTGAAGCACAGAACAGTGGGGTGTGGTCCCGGATTCCACAACGGGGCTCTGAACCCAGGGCCCCTGCCCTTCACCACCCCGTTGCACTGCTGCTCAGTTGTACTCTCTGTAATAGTTGCTATAAAGTGCATTAGTATTTATTTTTCTAATTGGTCAGTCATGCAGAGCATGGCGGGAAGGCTGTCAAAGGCCAGTGTTGTGCAAATTGGCCGTCCTGGGCTTTCCGTGGTTCTGTGCTCCTGCTGCCTCTGGCAGTCCCTCCCGCCCTGAAGGACAGCTCTAACCAGGAATAGTTAGCGGAAGTGCTAATGGTTCTGCAGAAAGCCCTAAAGAAGGTGAGCGTGCTTGGTGCTAGCAAATGTTAGGAACTGGGGGCAGCCTTTAAGATCAGGAGGTCGCCGGGGATTGTCAGAAGTCCTTTGACATTGCAGAGGGTATCATAAACATCGGTGCATTTTGGAGGACAGATCAGTGACAGTGTGTGAACTGGAGTAAGTGTGGCTGAGGCTTGTCTGGGTCCTTAGGGGTGTCTAGGAGAAGGAAGAGGGCTTGTCTGTGTGACATCAGCAACCTGTGCTGCCTGCGCTGGGTGCGCCTCACGGCCCTCTCCCTGGCCAGGCAGGCGCGTGCCTGCTGCGGCATTGTTCCCAGGGGCGAATCAGGTGATCAGTGAAGAACCTGAGCGCTGTGCCTGGCTGCCAGGAGGAGGCAGTTCATTCATTTTACTTGCTGTAGTTGGTATTATTCTTTCTCCCATTCTTAGGCTTAAATTTCTTATAATACCTGAAGTACTTATATTTTGTTTTAATTTCTGCTCTTCCCAGAGATCTGAGAGCACCTCCAGAACATGGAAAGATTTTTGTTTTAAGGCGATCCCTCTTAGAGTGAGTATTTTTTGTGCTTTTGTTAATTATTAGTTTGAATAAAAAAAAAACTATTCTGATTCTTGGAATCACTGCTAAATCTATATGGATGTTTAATTAATTTGTTCTGTATTCATATAAATCATTTGTTTTGATACTTCAGTGTGTTTCTTCCTCTTTCTGATCTCCTGACTCTGCATCTAAATTTAAAGGAGGTTTTAGAAATCAGAATGGTTATCTGCCCTTTGATAAATTCCTTGAAGTTGTGCTGCAGAGAAGTGGTTACCTAAAGAGCTAGAACAAAGTTTTCTATTTAGGCAAACCACTTCAAGAGAATTTTGGTGTTGCTGTCTTCTTGATATATTAATATTTTTATTTAATTTTCTTTTATCCTCACTGGAAGACATGCTTAGAGAGAGGGGAAAGGAGGGAGAGAGAGGGAGAGAAACATTGATGTGAGAGAGAAACATCGATTGGTCGCTTCTCACGTGCGCTTCCACCACGACAGAACCTGCAACCCAGGCATGTGCCCTGACCAGGAATTGAATCTGTGACCTTTTGGTTTATGGGATGACATTCCAACCAGCTGAGCCACACCTGCCTGGGCTTGATATATTAATTTTTTTTATCTGTTTGGCTAGCCAGCTTACAGACTTGATAGTTTTATCAGACTTACTTATTTTAAAACCTGATTGTGTGAATTTTATGAAAAAAACATCAGGCGATGGACATTAATTGTGGTGACATCATTTGTGAACTGAAAATGAAAGGTATACTTTTTTTAAAAAAAAGATTTTATTTATTTATTTTTAGAGAGAGGGGAAGGGAGGGAGAGAAACATCCGTGTGTGGTTGCCTCTTGGTGTGCCCCCTACTGGGGACCTGGCCCACAACCCAGGCATGTGCCTTGACTGGGAGTTGAACCAGAGACCCTTTGGTTGGCAGGCTGGCGCTCAGTCCACTGAGCCTCACCAGTCAGGGCAAAAGGTATACATACTTTAAGTATGCAATAAATATTTATTTTTTAGTGTTCTCTGAGTAGATCATCCATTCCATTAGAATACTGCTGTAATTTAACCTGAGTTAGTATAGGTTACCTGAAATAGTTGGGCTGGTGACTCTTAAGTGATTAATGTGCTTTTCTTTAAAATGCATTGTATGCTTATCAAAATTAACTTTCTATGGACCAAATTGATCTGTATTACTTAATTTTGATGAGAAGGTCGAAGTTTGCTGAATATCTAATGTAGAATACCAGCCACTTCAATCTTATGCCACACTATTGTTTGAACATTTATCTTTGGAAAATTTCTATCTGGGGGAAAATGCGGCTTTCCACATAAAAAGAGAAAGTAAAACAAATATTTTGAACATTACAGTTAAGGTTCTTTTTTAATCCTCACCCTAGGACATGATTTTATTAATAGAGAAGAAGAGAGAGAGAAAGAGCATTGATTAGTTGCCTCCCATATGTGTTCTGACTAGGGATCGAACTTGCAACCTTTCGGTATATGGGACGGCGCCCTAACTACCAAGCCACCTGGCCAGGGCAATAATGATTTTAATCATGCTATATGAAAAATAAACAAAATTATAGCATACTTTAATTAAAGTGTTTTGATCAAGGAAATACAACACATTCTATGGCTCAGGTAGGTTTTTATTAGAATTTGAATATCCTTAATCCAGAGATTTAATAGTATTTTAGATTCCTTAAAAAGTTATGTAGGAGATTAGCATACATCTTTCCATAAACAGAGCTAAGACTTGTTTTAATCAAGTATAAAAAATTCTTTAGAAAAAGTCATCTAAAAAATAGCTATGTTTTAAAAGAAAAGTAGCCCAGTCTTAATCAAATAACAAGATCACATGGCTGGTGTGGCTCAGGGGATTGAGTGCCGTCCTGTGAACCAAGGGGTCTCTGGTTCGATTCCCGGTCAGGGCACAATGCCTGGGTTGCGGGCCAGGTCCCTGGTTAGCAAGTGACAACCACACATCTGATGTTTCTCTCTCTCTCTTTCTTCCCTCCAAAAACAAATAAATAAACAAAAATCTTTTTTTTAAGAAAGATCAAAGAGGATAGAAAATAAAAGCATTTGTATGGACTTGTAGGGTGGTAGTTGGTTATCATCAACATTATATAAATGCATCCTTAACATCTTGGAAATATATAGGGAATGGAATGTAAGAATAGGATTTTTAAAAAAGTTTTTAACATTTGAAAGAAATAGTTTCTGTGTTCCCTGATTTTAGTGTGTGGCCTTTTGCCTACCTTAGAAAACAGAGGCTTCTGGTAGGTTGCCAAGAACACACAAAGGAAACAGTATCATTTCATCAGAAAGAGCCTTGTCCTAAGGTCCTCTGTTAAGTTATCTTGGTCCTGTCATTTACTGTTGCTACTTCAGATTTAGTGTCCTGTTATTATTGCTTAAGATGTTTTTGGAGTGTGGATTAAGAATCTTTTGAACGCTTTAAAGTCTTTAATATATGGTGCTTTAAAATCAAATAATAGATTATTCATTTTATTTGTTTGAACTGCATTTACAGTGAGCTGTTCGAGGTGGACCACATCAGAACAATATATCACATGTTTATTGCCCTCCTCATTCTCTTTGTCCTCAGCACCCTGGTAGTAGATTACATTGATGAAGGAAGGTAAGATGAGAAAAGCAATGGTTGCTTAGTTGACTCATGCAGTGCTGGAAGTTTTCACTATATTTAAATTTTGGTAGAGGGTGATTGGGTTACATTTGCTTTAGAAAATTCCAGAGCAGATGATTTGAGGTTGAGCATCCTCTTTCTTAAAAAGTACATCAAAGAAGAAAATTAGAAGTTTTCATTACTTCTATTTTTAAAATGGTCTATTTGCAGAGACTATAATTAGTAGTTTCTAGGTAATTTTCCTAAATGGAAGAATTTTGTATATATGATTTATCAATTTTTCTACTTTGGTATGCATTTCATGTTGGTACTAAAAATAAGTAGCTTATTAGAATTTAACATTTAAGAAACATTTCTTTTTAATATAAAAATCAAATTGTAACTATAAAAAATGACAGTGTGGTAATTATACATTGAATTGTATGCTTTATTAGAAAATTAAATTTTGAGATGTTACAATATATCAGTAGATTTTTGAATTATACCTGTTTTCTTCTGAAAAATCTTTTGTGCCTAACAGTGATTGCTACTTGAATACTTCAAATATTAACATTGCCATAGAATATTTTAGAGTTTAAAATGTATTAATGTGACAATCTAACCTTTGAGAAGTTCAGAGTCTTATTATTTTATTTATCTTAGGTGTTTTATGTTCAAAGACTGCGTGAGGGTAGGGCTTCTAGAAAATCTGTTGTTGAAATATACTGCGAAGCAGAGTCTGACAAGCCGTTTTCTGTGTAGCACAACTATAGTGGCCTCAGTGTATTAATGTCGCTGTGTTTCCTAAAGTTGAGTTTTGGGCTTGAAAGTTTTGAATCCTATGAGTCAATGCTTATTTAAAAAAACATATTTTTGTGTCTTTTCTCTGTGCTTTTTCTCCCCAGGCTGGTGCTTGAGTTCAGTCTTATATCGTATGCTTTTGGCCAACTTCCTGTTGCCTTGGTTACATGGTTGGCCATGTTCTTGAGTACATTTTCAGTTCCCTATCTCCTCTTTCAACACTGGGCCAGGGGCCACAGGGAGAGTTCTCATCCAATGGTCCGTTCCTTCTTCCATGGCTTGCTTTTCATCGCCTTCCAATTTGGAGTTCTAGGTTTGGGACCAGCATATGTCGTATTAGCATATAAGCTGCCGCCAGCTTCCCGGTGCATTATAATATTTGAACAGGTAATGTTTTGAGTGCTGCCCAATGCAAAGCTGTGCTTAGTTAAAATAATAATTATACCAGTACTAATATTGTCATTATTCTGGTAATATAATACGAGGTTCTGTTATTTTTAGTTGCTTTAGTTAAATGTTTTATTTCTGGTTCTTTTGCTGTTATCTAAAATTAAAGTGTTAAACTAGTTCATCTCATGTCATAAATTTGTTCTAGCTTCAGTGTTCTCTGATTTTTCATCATTGAAATCACATTGGACTCTTCTGAATGAGTTCAGATTTTGTCTTGAACATTTTGTAGTAGTTACCTATACTATAAAATATTTTTGTAATTAAAAGTCCTTTGAAATATTGAATTCATTGTTGTGTCATACAACTGTTCCCATCTAAAGAATGGGTTTATTTTGTTCATGCACCCGTCCGATTTTCTTATGTTGGCTGCCCACAATGTTCTGTGTGACTCACAGGAAGGACCATGTCAGGACACTTTCTTTGTTTAGGCTTTTAAGTTCTTAATTTTTAATATACCTGTGATAGCACTGTTAGATGCAAAATAATAGGTCAATAGTATGTCCTTCTTTAGAGGTTTTTCATCTGCGTTATTCCATAAAAGCGAATTTGAGTTGGTCTGTGCAATATTAGAACATTCTTTATGTGACTATAACCTAGTGTTCTGGAGTTGCTTATATGAGAAAAGATAATGATAGAAAAAATGATAGAAAATCATCTTTTTCTCCCTCTCTTCTCCTTCTTTAGATTCGTCTTATAATGAAGGCCCATTCATTTTTGAGAGAAAATGTGCCTCGGGTACTAACATCAGCTAAGGAGAAATCCAGTATGTGATTCTGTTACATCAGAGGGCTGTTCATGGGATATTTCAGCCTTGGTGTTTCCTGGGATGGCATATTACATTTTATAGACATTATGTTTGATTTTTAAATATATAGGATCCACATTGATTTGAAAGACTCTCTCAGTATTTCCTGATTGTTTGTTTTGCCTTGGTACCTACTTTTTAAAAACATCGATTGTTAGACTCTTGTAAATTCATGTGGTTTTTATAGAATGTTAATACACTCATTATATCCATGTGAGCTTATTACTCTTTGAATTGCTGCTTAAAACTCAAGAAGTTATTTCTAAGTCACAGGAATAACTTAGTGTAGGAGGATTGGTATATTACTCTCAGAATCAGAAGTTGTCATTTGGGGAGGTCAGGAAGAAACTAACATATGCTAAGGGGCAGTGCTTTTTTCCCTTCCCTATTCCGTCCTTCCTTTCCCTTCTTAATTTTGCTGAGAGCTCCTGACCTGAGCATGGTTCTCCTTCCCAGGCACTGTCCCAGTCCCCACAGTCAACCAGTATTTATACTTCTTGTTTGCGCCTACCCTCATCTACCGGGACAGTTACCCCAGGTAATGGCACTGTGGGGCACAGAGGTGGTGAGCACCTGGCGTGGGGCGGGAGTGAGGGGGGCAGGTGGGGTGGGGGGCCAGCTCGCATAGGGCTCCCGAGACCGGAGGATGAGCGTTCGTTTTCTCGCGGCCTGGGGAGCCCAAATGGTGATTCTAGCAATCCCATTGGCTCACAGTAATTCTTGACAGAGTTACACAGGCATTTCCTATGTCGAAAACAGTGTTCTATGTGGGAAGATACTGTGAGGATTTTCATTAAAGTTCAGTTTTTTACTTTATCTAGGAAACTTATTTTGTTGCTTCCTTTTTTAGGACCCCCACTGTAAGATGGGGTTATGTTGCTATGCAGTTTGCACAGGTAAGTTTTTTTTCCACTGCCTAAGATTTGGTCATTGGTGGGAGATGAGGATTTGAACTAATAATAACTTAATCTATTTAAAGTGTTGGTAAATGCATGCCTTAGAGCAGCACTTTCTGAACTTTTTAAATTATTCCCAATATAGTGAGTGGGGTTTGCTTTGCTGACATCAAAAATAATTTTCTTCACTAAAAGAATTTAAGTAATTCCATTTGGTTACTTCAGCCAGCATCTACATTAATTTCCCTCTCCCCTCTGGTTTTTATATTTGTGGATACATATGTGGGTGGGTGTGGTCTGATACTCCTCCCAACTCTTCCCCAACCCCTTATCAGAATCAAATCTCAGAATATTCCATTTTATATTCTTGTCACAATCAAATACCCACTTTTGAGATAAATTCTTTTGTTATGGGTTCATGTAGCAGGAAAAGCAGGTTCCAAGAGTCTGATCTTTTAAAAATGCCATTTGGTAAAGGGTTGGGAAAAGGTATGGTAGAAACTAGGTGTTGAGTAATATCTGAAGGGTACGGCTCGGCAGTGTTATGTTATACTAACGTTAAAAGAAATATATGTGAGCGTTAAGGGTCACGTGTATCTACTTTTGAAGGAAAAGCACCCTGTTTCCTTATCAAGCCATCATTCTTACAATGATACCTTTGCTGCGTTCCAGGTCCTCGGTTGCTTATTTTATATGAACTACATCTTTGAAAGGCTCTGCGCCCCCTTGTTCCGGAATATCAAGCAGGAGCCCTTCAGTGCCCGTGTTCTGGTCCTTTGTATATTTAACTCCATCTTGCCAGGTAATGTGGATGCTGGTTCATTTGGCCACTCATAAAATTGCAAGGAAAATAGAAAGCCATTGTACCTTTGGTTTACCTGCTTTTCACTGTAAACTCATTGATACATCTGTACCCACCTTGCTCTTTCCATAAATGAAATATATTTCAGCCGTGGACCCCTTTTTTCATCGGTCTTCTGGCTTTCCCTCATGTTGCTTTCTCTGACTGGATAATGCATATTTGGGCTTTATTTCCCCATCATCTTGCTTCTACACCAACCACGCCACTGAAATAGCCTTTATTAGAATGACTAGGAGTTTCCTGATTCTCTGCCCAGCAGCTGCTGTAGCCCTTCCTCTGATCTCCATGAAGCGCTCCCTGCCACCCCTCCTTATCCTTCTGTTTTTCCACTCGTACCTCGGTCTTACAATTTCTAACTTGCTTCATTCCCTGCTGTATTTCAGGTGCTGATGACATAGCCGTGAACAAGACATACTCTTTACTCTCTGGAAGCTTGCAGTCTACTTATATATATAGTTTTCTTTACTTTTTTCCTTTTCTCTACCGAGTAAATGCCAGTACATTTTTCATGATCACATCTGTCTCCTCTCTCTGATTGCTTGCCAAGATTACTCCAGGAAATTCTTTATCTCTCCCTCTAATAGTATATATGTTTATTACTTACGTGTCTTCCTCTCTAGGCTACAAATTCTTTGAGATCAAGAATTGCATCTTATAGCCACTCAGCCAGTCCCAGTCTCTCCCATATTAGTGGCCTCTATACATATTTTTTGAATAAATAAGTGAATGAAAGGGGTGGGCATGTAAATGGGTATTTTACAATTATAGTGTAATATATACTGCATAAGGAGGATAAAGTGCTGATTAACTCTGTATCATATTGGAGATGACATTTAACGTTGGGTATTGAAGATAGATAGGCATTTGCCTGGCAGAGCAGTGGTAGAAAGGTGCTTCCAGGTAGTGGGGCAGATACAGAGGCATGGACTTGCATTAGAAGGCAAGTCCGTCTGGGATGATGTTTGCGGCCCCAGGAGTGGAGTTGGAGACGAGTTCGCTTATCACTATGGACGTTCGGGGATGGGTAATTCTTCGTTCTGGGGGACTTTGTGCCTTCAGTTGTGACAATCAAAAATGTATCCGGAGTTGTCAAGTGTCCCTTGGGAGGTGGGAGACAAAATCTCCCCCAGTTTTAAACTGGTTTAGAGAAATGTGTGAAGGCCAGATTTTAAAGGGCCTTGGGTACCAAGTTCAGCCATACATCTAGGCATTTCTATTAAAAACAGGCTGGGTCATTTGTCATCTCTAAAACCCATTTGGAAGGAAGTTTCTGTATAAAATTAAAATAATTTATGAAGAACACTATCATCCCTGGAATGGGTAAGCTGGAATAATAACTTTTATTTTAGCTAAACAGGTGATGACATAATTAACTCCTGTTTGGAAAGACTCAATATTGTTCATTTTATTTTAGGTGTACTGGGACAGTTACTTATTTTTTTTTCCTTTTTGCACTGTTGGCTCAATGCCTTTGCTGAGATGTTACGCTTTGGTGACAGAATGTTTTATAAGGTAATATATACTTAAACTCACTTTTCTTTTCACATTTTACTATGTGTCCTCATTGTCAGGTATTTGAGCATTGTTGGCTTCTAGCTTTTTAACACAGACATTGTGAAATGGTCTTTTTCCCACAAGTTTTACCAATATCAGCTTTGAAATTCTGCTGTCAATGTAATTAGTAAGGCCTTTTCTTCTACCTCACATATCCTCCCCCTTCGTGTGGTTTTTACTGGAGCCCGTGTGCGTGTTTGCAGTAGGAAAGCATGTGACCAGAGAGTGTCACGAGCCTTTGCTGACTGTTTATTCCTTTGAAATTGGTTGTCTGGAGTCATAGGAGTAATTTCAACAAATTATTCAATTAAAATTGTTGAAGGAAGGAAATAACTTTGTCGTCTCTTATATTGGAAAGGCATTAATTGTGCTCTAAATAGTATTCTTTACTTCCAGAGTTGGAATTAAGTTCTAGACTAGAACCCAGGCCTAGAGTTTTGTTGGTTTGTTGTGGTTTTGTCAATTCTCTAAGCCTGTTACTCCTCTCTCAAAGAAATAGTGAAGAGAAGTTGTGTATTTTAGATGTCTGAGTCCATCGGCCTGCTCTTACAGTAGGGAGGGCGCAAGACATACATGACGGAGCACCGGGCTCCGGAGTTAGCCGCCATCTCGCCCCTCGTCCAGACTAAGCCTTTCTGTTGGATACCAGCAAACAGCTCCCTAGTGTTAGTGTGCTGCCTAAGTCTACGTGATCTTAGGTTCTCTCAGTGTGTTTTAGCAAGGTAAGGATTTGTGGATTGCTATTTAGAGAAACACTAGGTTTAATCATTGTTTATGTTCTGTGTCTTCCACCGTAACCTGTCTTAATGAGACAAAATGAACCTAGGGAATTAGTCATACATAGAACTAGAATTAATATCCTATTGAACACTGGTAACCAAAATGCCTTTTAAGATTTTTCTGACAACAGCCCTGGCTGGTGTGGCTCAGTGGGTTGAGTGTCAGCCTGTGAACCTAAGACTCGCCTCTTTTGATTCCCAGTCAGGGTGCATGCGTTGGTTGCAAGCCAGGCCCCTAGTTGGGGGCATGTGAGAGGAAGCCAATCCATGTTTCTCTCCCTCTCTTTCGCCTTCCCTTCTCCTCTCTGAAAATAAGCAAATTAAAAAAAGATTTTTCTGACATCAGTGTATAGACTAACAATTTATCAGAACCCGCTCTTGGAGATTGTGTGTGTACTTTGGGAACATTCAGGGGTTTTGCTTTGGCTCTGTGTGTATGCGTGTATGTGTATGTATGTGTGTGTGTGGTGTGTGTGGTTTTATCACTGTGCTTTTTTCCTCAGGACTGGTGGAACTCTACCTCCTACTCCAACTACTATCGGACTTGGAACGTGGTGGTCCATGACTGGCTGTACTACTATGCCTACAAGGACTTCCTCTGGGTAAGCAGCAAGATTTGGCTGATGGTGTTCAAGAAATGAAGATTCTTTTCCAGAAAGTATTGGTATTGTACAGAAAACTAAGAAGTCATACGTGGTTGTCTTCACTTCTCTTGTAAGCCCTGCATGTCTAAGAAACCTTCTGCTTTGAATAGTACTGCTTAGAGACCAGTATGGACAGTTACTGGGTCTAATACCATGTTTTTGCTCTGAATTTTATTTTACGTAATTACACAGTAAGGATGCATGCAGGCATTTGGAGAAGTTGAAATGATCCACCATTTATGGGTGATTTCTTACGAATCTCACTGCTAACAAATAATCTCCCTCTGGCTTTTTCTTTTTCTTTTTCTTTTTTCTTTCCTCTTTTTTTTTTTTTTTTGGTCTTTTAAAAGTGGAGAAACATCTGTTTGGATTTATATCTCTCCAGTTGGTCATGGGGGAGGAGGGTTCTTTGAGACATTACCCAGAGCAGAATGTATTTAGAGTGATACAGTGTAATCTTGAATTTCATGGTTGATTAACACTGGTATCTCTGGATTATTGGCCAAGAGATTGCATGTATTTGACTGTTCTTTCATTCACATATGTAGCTTCACTATGGACAAGGCAGATCTCTTTCTCTTAGTTCTGTTATCTATAAAAATGGAGTGGATGCCTGCCCTGTCTGCCATACTGCATCACTCTAATGTTGAGGCCTGATGTCTTCGTTATTATACAAACACTATGTTTTGTCAGTCACAGTGACTTGTAAGTTTTTAAAAATATGCCCAGATCTTTTTTCAACATTAATGGTTTTGAAAATGGCTCATTTTAGTAAAATCAGAACTTTTAAGCATAGATGTTTTGTAATTATTATAATATATTTGGATTATAGATCGGAAAATCACAAGTTAAATAGATGCCTTTAGCGTGTGGTAATCATAAATCTCATGTAGTTCATGCTTAATTACTGACTTTTTAAAAACTACTTTCTAAAGACTATACTTTCAGGGATCATTTCTGTAGCTTGTTGCTGGAGAGGTTTCTGTGAATGTGTGGTACGCCCAGAACACGAGGAGGCGGTGTAGTCTTCTCTCCCGAGCCAGAAGCCAGCTTTTGGTGTTGCCTTTGCAGCTGCTGATGGCCATTGGTGGTCGTTCTGGTCTTCCTTTGGGAGAGTAAGAGGGAGAGGATGCAGTCTGAGTGGCAACAAATAAACAATTTAACTTATTAACTAAATCAAAACTGCTGTCTAATGTTTCCCTTTTACCCTAGTTATTCACTAAGAGATTCAAGTCGGCTGCCATGTTGGCTGTCTTCGCTGTGTCTGCCGTCGTGCACGAATACATTCTGGCTATGTGCTTGAACTTCTTCTACCCGGTGCTCTTCGTGCTCTTCATGTTCTTTGGAAGTAAGTATCCTGGCGGCCATGAGGACTGAGCGAGGTGCCGAAAGAGGAATTTACCAAGTAAAGTATAAAATCAGTGTAGAAAACTTGGTCAGCAGTCACAGCATCTCAAGGCAGTGTCTGCTTACCAGAGGGTAAGAGCATTGGTTTTGAGTAATTCTACACAACTCTGGTTCAAGATGTTTACACTTTGAAGTATAAAAATGAGCTAAATAATGTCTTGAAGGCTATTGGTAACACTGATTTGGTAGGTTGCAAAAACTATAAAAAACAGCTTCCTTATTCTTCAACTTTGACATCGTTCACTGCTGGAAAAAAACTGACCCTTTTTTGGTGGGGGGGACAAATTAGAATATGGTGAGTCCATGAAATATATTTTCACCTGTTCTAAGTACTGTCTGATTTCCAGTGAATCACTGATGGATAAACTTCAGCTCTGAAGCTTCATTTTTATTTATAGGAGGACCAGTGGCCAGAATAAAACACATGCACACAGTTCACGCTCATTGTGATGGATAGATGATTATAGCTGATATCTGAGGCTGCTTATAGATTGTTTTGATAAATGTGTTTTTGTTATCTTCTTAACTTCAGTGGCTTTCAACTTCATTGTCAATGATAGTCGGAAAAGGCCAATTTGGAATGTCATGATGTGGACGTCCCTTTTTGCGGGCCAAGGAGTCCTCCTGTGCTTTTATTCTCAAGAGTGGTATGCACGTCAGCACTGTCCTCTGAAAAATGTGAGTCATCAGTCAGGGTGAAGTGGACTAGAGACATGTTTGTGCCTGATTATGCAGGTTAAAGGGCAATCTTAAAGGGAAGGAGAGTAGTGGAAATTATGATGAAATAATGATAAAGGGAGAGAAACTTTAGCTTGTAATCTAATCTTACTGCACGGTCCTTGGAATTTTTCTTTGCTTTTCTTCTCTTTGAACTCTCCTATTTCTTGATTCTCTTCTCTCTTGTCTGCTTTTTCTGTAGCTCCTTCTAATTTTCTTCCTGGGTCCTATAACAGGGTTTTCCCGACAGAGAGAGAGAGAGAGAGACACACACACACACACACTTCCCCCGCCAGTCACAGAGACAGACAGACACACACACTAACCCCCCCCCCCCCCCCCCCCCCGCCGGTCCTATAACAGGGTTTTCCCAACAGACAGACAGACACAGACACACACAGAGAGAGAGAGAGAGAGAGAGAGAGAGAGAGAGAGACACACACACACACACACACACACACACCCCCTCCCCCGCCAGTCACAGAGACAGACAGACACACACACTAACCCCTCCCCGCGCCGGTCCTATAACAGGGTTTTCCCAAAACACACACACCCAACGTGTATCTTTGTCTTCCTTTCCAAAGTATTAACTCTCTGTAAAATGTCCAGCTACACTCAGTGTGCCTAGGATCCTTTTTCCCTTGATTATTTGGTTGCTGTTGTTTTATTTTTCTTGATTATGTAAGGGTCTCAGTCTTAAGAGCTTTAGCTTTTAGCTGCATATGCAGACCTCCCAAATATTTAGGGGGTGCCTTTTTTATACACCTATCTGGGTATTTCTCACAGGCGCCTATAGCTGAAGATGCCAACAATCAAATGCATCTGTTTCTCTGCCAAAGCTGCTACTGTCTACACTGTTCTTGTTATGCTGCCCAAGTGCTTCCTCCTTATTTCTGTCAGCCCCCTGCATGCATTTTGAACTAACTGCTCTAGACTCTAGACTACTAGAAGTAGAGGGGTACTACAAATAAGACGCAAGATACCTAAAGATACCTGTTTGAAATTGGGTCAGAAGTGCAATTGTGTAGGGTTTGCTGGACTTCAAAAGCTTCATGTAAGACCTCTAAATCAAGTAAACCTATGCTATAGATAATGAACATCTTATGAATTATTGAGCTGCTTGTAATTTTAAGGTTACTGAAATTATGGGAGGCATTTTAGGGGTGTAGAGTGTGTGGCAGTAACACCCCTCTCCCCCCATACCTCACACACATAGTGCAGACAAGTAAACTGTGTTTTTGTTTTCCTTAAAGCCAACATTTTTGGATTACATCCGGCCACGTTCCTGGACTTGCCGTTATGAGTTTTAGAAGCTTGGACTTAGTTTCCTCCTTGACACTGAAGATTGGATATCCTGCCTGATTTGGGGCCAGTGTCTGTTTCCAGCTGTTACTGATGAAGTTCTTTGTTATTTGGACCACTCCAGGCTTGACAGATGATGACTCACTCCATTCCTAGGTCACCTGAAGCTGACCTGTTGGAAGTTTACTGGAATTGTGTACACTTAAGCAGTACTTTTTTTTTATTTTGGGGAGAAGGGAGCCTTATAGCTAATGGAACGACAGATTTTTGCTGGGTCGTATTAGCTTAGGCCTCAGAAATTATATCTGTGTTGTTTCTTGACTATCTAATTAGAGACTAAACATCATGTTTTCTTAGCAACTGAATTAGCCAAAACATTTATGAAGAACCATTTAAATACCTCTGGCTTAGGAATTTTTTCATGCACACTGTTGGAATGTATGGTGATTAAGCATGAAATTGGGAAAGTCAAGAAAATTTGGAACGTTTTGTTATTTCTAGTAGAAAGAAAAGATCTACTTTCTAAAGATAATCTTACTATACATCCTAATTTGTATTATTTTTTTTAAAGTTTGGCTCTATCCAAGTCTTCTTTTCACTAAACACACAGTATAGGTCATGTTTTCTATGAAGCAAAATTATAACTTTCACCTTAAATTCTTGAGTGTGATTTCATTCTATTATATATTGAGAAGAACAGAAGGAGGAAGGGAAAGAGAAAGGGGGCACCAGACCAAAAAGGAAATGTCCTTTTATAAGTTTCAAAGTAATTTTTTAAAAAGTCTTGCAGAGTCAATATGTGTTTATTTTATCACTGAACTTACGTGGAAAATAATTTTAAAAACACTTTAAGGTTATAACTTATTTAGAAGTATCCTTTGGTACAGTTATTTTGTTGTCTAATAAATACTGACGAATTATTTTGCAGACTAGTAAGTCTAACAGAAGTATTAATCACCTCTATTAATACTATATTGATTATTAAAGATCCAGAAGCTGGCTTCTGTATTTGCTCAATTACTATACTTTTAATTGTAGTATGCTTTAGGTGAAACAAATTACTATGTGATCATTTTCAAGAAAATGTACTCTATTTATGTGGTATTCCAGTGTTGTAAGATACCCATTGCTAATGCTGTGTGGTGTGGGGAAATTATTTTGTGTGCCTGAGGTGTGATTATGTTTGTAAAGACTGAGCATTGCAAGGAACATCAGAGACCATTTATGTGGTTCAGCTTTCCACCCAAAAAAGTAAGACTTACAAATTACTCAAGAGATTACTGTTATTTGGAGCAGCCAACTTGATGGGTTCTCTCGGCATTCTAGCAGGCCTACTGTTATCGAGAAAATTGGGGCAATATTTTCCGAGTTATTTTAAAGATAGTTGGAGTCTCACAAGAAGAGTTTCTTAATAGTCACAACTTAATTTGCACCACAAGTACCCAGTTTAATCACCTATTTTATTACCTGTACCTTTGTCCAGATGATTTACACAGTATTTAAATATCAAATCCAACTTAAACAGACAAAAGTGTACCTCAAAGGAGGTTATCTTTGGAAACATTCCACTAATTATCTGCAGACTAGTCTTGTGATATAATGGAACCACAACTTCAAAGAAGACTTTTTTAATATTGCTTCTAATTTTCTGGTGTTTTTATTAAAAATGAAAATGAGTCAACCACTGAAATTTATAACTACATTTTAAGTATAGTGAGGTAGCCGAAATAAGGAGGTTGGTATAAGACTTGGATTTCATTATATTGGTTATGAATAAGCCAATATATTGAAGCAAGAGAATGGAATTCTTAGGTCTGTATTTCTGTTAAGTACTGTGAACATGCATGCTCACTGAGAGGACCTGGTGGTTCTGGACTGATTCTGAATACTGTGTTTGATGGACTGATCATGATTACTTAAAAAACAACAACAAAAAACAAAAACCTCATCTTCCCTTTGTGTATTAGTGATTTTTTTTTCTGCCCAAGAATTTTATGTAACAACAAATAATGTGTATCATTGGAAACTCTTTAGAATGATTAAACTGTCCTAAGAAATTTTCAGAAACACTTAAAGGAACAGCCACTTTCTGTGAAAGAAACTAGTCTGATAGCCATGGTCTTATACCTAGCTTTTAGCAAGTCTTTAAACAAAGAAATTAAAACAAAAACTACTTACTAATGTGTTTTAGGAAGATTTATTGATTTTTTTTTCTCCTCTTGCTAAAATTATTTTCGGTTACTGGATGATACTTTTTTCCTTCAAAAGTAACGAGTTTAAAATTTCTTTCCTGTAAGAAATATTAATGTAGTAACTTTTGGGTGTGTTATCCAAGAGAAGAACTAAGATCTCTAACTTTGCCGTAAATTTGTTTGATGCTTTTATTCTCAATCCCGGATAGTGAAGAAAAGTAGAATTTGTTTTCGGTTTTTGGATTCATCTGTTGGAATTGCCTCGTGTTAGAATTTAATTAGAAAACTGAAGCTCTTTTTAACTTGTCAGTAGCTACAACATTGGAAAGCAAAAGGAGTGTGGAAGCGGTGTTCCTTCTTCCTCTTTGCAGGGTAAACGTGGATGGCGTTGGCAGGTACGAGTACAGTGCACCACTGTCCTGTATTTGCAAACAGATTATGTTGGAGAAGTAACTCATTTAGTGTAGGCAATTTTAATCATAATATGAAAATTATACTTGCCTGGAAAGTCGAATCCTGCAGTCTTATAGAAAACAGAACATTGTGTGTTTAAAAGCTGGTCAGGGGGCCTCTGGGGCCTAAAAAGATATGTTTGTGAATTGCTGAAGTCTTTTATGCACGAAGATAACCTTTACTTTGTGTGGTCATAAATAATTTTACTCAAAGTTCATTGTTTCATGTGGCAAAAAGTAATGAAGGTAAACTCATATAACTGTAGAAACCAGGTGGCCTAAATAGTTTAAAAAAAATAAATGGTTACACTTCAGCCCAGCATGTAAAACATATAAAATACAGCCGCTTCCAGGCGAGGTAGAGATGGGGGTGCTGGAGCCCTTTGTGTTTGCACAGTCACTTTCTCCTGCCCCCAGTTGGAAAACCAGTGGTGCAGCGAGAAGCAAGTGTGCCCAGACTTTTGTTTAGGGGAGCCCTGTACTTACTAGCAGAGTGACGTTGGGCGAAGTTGCTTCATTTATCAGAGCCACAGTTTTCCTCATCTGTAAAATGGGGTGATAACTACCTCATAGGATTGTTGCAAAGCACACGCTCTGGCAGAAACAGGTCCTCATTATTTTCTTACCCTCCATAAATTTGAAACCTAAACCCTTATGATCTCATTGGAATCCTTTAAAAAAATGAATTTTTCAAATGCTGCAAACCTCCAAAAATATGTGCTGTGCTTTGCAGACTCTCAGGACGATGTGAATTGGCATTGCACCTTGACTGTTGTAATAATGGAACCTCTCCATAATGGAACTGACAAGAATTTAATGAGGTTCTTAAAGGCACTCACGGATGTTTCCACTTGTCCAAAAGAATGTCTTGTTTAACTGTCTACCATCAGGGAAGGTTCACAGGCTTATATAAAGGAATGTATTTCTGCTCTTAACTAGTCAGGTGTTTAGAACTAGTGTGTATACTCTTTACTTAAGTTTTAAAATTTATGGAGAGGAAGGAAACTAATGAGGCCTTATTTCTGCCAGTGTAAAGAGTGCTTATAGCCTTGGAAGGCAGAAGAAGTTTCTTAATGGAGGATAGTTCATACTTATGTGACTTGCTTACTAATCTTGTGCAAAATTTCATGTAGCTTATATAGTTTATCTAATATGGTTTATATGTATATTGTGTGTGTGTGTATGTGTGTGTGCATATCATTGAAGAACTGTCTTAGACATTGTTTTGTGAATCTTATCTCTAGGCTTTATGTTTATGGCTCAGATATTGAAGGAACTGGGATCTAAATGTTTTGAGGAATAGTATTACTAAAGCTTATGTAAGTTGTTTGTGAACCTTATATATTTGATTAGTTTCTCATATCACTGAAGTTTCTAGGAGTGTTGGAATGCAGTTTATAAAGGAGATAAAATATCTGTGTGGCCACTGTGGTTGGAACAGGGAGAGTGGAGCCCTTCTTACTTGCTTTGACCACCCCCTTCCCCACCCAAATTTAATGCCCAGTGTGGAAATCAATAAATAATACAATTGATACTCTAGTAGGAAAGCTATACAATCTATATAATCTACCAAATCCTTAATAAAATTTCATTTTTTCCCCTGTGAAGTATAAAGACTTTAATAGCTACTTTGGATTTGAGAAAGAGGGTTAATTTCAGAAGTGATATAGTTTAAAAAAAGTCTAAGACTGCCTTTGTACCCCTTTTTTCTAAATGCTTTCTTTCTTATTTCTACATTATTACATTTACATTTCTTCAGTCCACATACCCTTTCAACTACCAGCTACTTCACTGTGCTTCGTGGTGTTCTTTTGTTTGTTTTAATAAAGTGGTAGGTGTACTTTCTCTGTCTGAAATAATTTTGAAACAGGAAGCTGTTCCGGGCACCCAATTGTATAGCGATACAATCTGAATTCCCATGTGTCAAGGGGCCAGTTCTCGGGCGGGAGGAGAGCGCAGGGCCCAGCCACGGCCCTGCCTTGTGGGTCGTCGAGGCAGCCTCCTTCCTGCCGGGGCCCCTTGCCAGCTTGTGCATTCAGTCCATGGTGCTGAGGAAGTGGGAGGGTCACAGAAATCTGCAGGTGACTGAAGGGTTTTACTGTAATTAAAGGTGCCTTTTCTAATTTTTGTTTTCTCTTGTTCCTGAATTCCTTTTCCCTCTTCCCCTCCAAACCCTTGCGTGTCTTATCTCTGGTTCCATCACTTTGTACATACAGGTCCGGCACAAATAACACCCCTTTTTTATTATGAAATCTTTTATTACAAATCATGAGCATGTAATTCTGTAACATACCAATATCACACTCAAGCACACCACCTGACATTTTAGATGAAATGTTCAAATTTAAGTTATCACCCATATTATTACCCTACCAACCACACGCAAGTGGGCGTTACTTCTTCTGGACCCTGTAGTATGCATTGTATTCACATTACCTTAAAAATTTTAAGCTTTAAAAAGTATACATACACAAAAAGGCAAAATATATGTTAAGAATGTGGTAAATAAATAGATTTGGAAGAAAACTATTCTATTGTTTTAAAAGTAACTTCCAAGGTTGCTCAGTGTTAACTATTTATGTTAACTATATTTCATGTTCATAAATGCTTTTCATCTAATACCAGGCAGTTTTATATGCTGAATGTAGCGAAAAAGAAGGCAAATAACAGAACTTTCTTACCCAGGATAATGGAGAGCCATGTTACAGATTACAAGGAAAGAATGGGACCCGGTTGTGACTTGACTTGCACCAAGGAAAGCAGTGACTGCTGGCTCTTGGGCCTCCTGTTTATATTGGTCATTATTGGTTGCCTGATTCCTTTTGTCGCTGGCCTTTTAAAAGTCGTGAATGGCTATTTGTGAAAATGCACCGCCTACCCTCTGATGGATAGAAATGGTCTTAAGTTGCTAATAAAAGGTGGAAATGTGTTGGCCAGGAAGTGTGCCTTTTCTTTTTTTTTAAGATCCTTACTCAAGGATATGTTTACCGATTTTAGAGAGAGGCAGGGGTGCGGACGGGGAGAGGGGAAAAGAAAGAGACATTGATGTAGGAGAGAAGCATTGATCAGTTGCCTCCCATAAGTGCCCTGATCAGAGATTGAACCCACAACCTGGGTATGTGCCCTGACCAGGAATTGAACATGTAGCCTTTTGGTGTACAGGGTGGTGTTTCAACCAACAGAGCCACCCAGCCAGGGTGGAGGTGCGCCTCTACAGACAAGGCTTGGGGTGACTCATTTTGAAGCAGGCAAATTGCTTCATTTCCCTCCGAGGAATCTCATAATAGGAACATCATATGAATAGGACTTCACATTGTAACATTCTATACATAGAAGCATATACCATCCTTTCTCCCTGTCTGAGGGGGATTGTTGCTAGGATCCCCCATCAATACCAAAATCTGCAGACGCTGAACTCCCTTACATAAAGTGGCATGTCTGTAAAACCTGCACATCCTTCTAGGTTACTTACAATGCCTAACAATGTAAATGCTATATAAATGGTTATACTATATTGTTTAGGGAATAATGACAAGCAAAAAAGTCTGAACATGTTCAGGAGATGCAAACATCATAGGCCTAACTACATAGTACATGTCAGCAATAAACTAAATTTTTTTTTTTCAAATATTTTCTCATCTGCAGTGGGTTGAATCTGCAGATGCAGGCCCTAGGGACCCGGAAGACCCACTCTGTGGCAGTTAACAGCCAAGAAAGTGCTCTCCAGTTACCCTCCACGGTGTGGCTTTGCGCACCTGCCTCTGCAGAACAGTGGGAGGAGGAAGTCCCCTCAGAAATTAGACATGCCCACCCTTGATGAACCTACTCAAGTTCAGGGTCATGTCCTCTGCAGTTCGGCTTGCATCTGGACCCAAAATAACTAGATTCATGGATCTGATTAAAGCAGGAGAATGCCATTTTGTCAAAGTACGATGAGAAATCGCACATGGCACGATAGTATTCAGGTTGGCACGGTCAGTGAGTGCTCTCTGCAGAAGCCCAACTTACCGTAGGATGAGAAACATGAATTTCTTCTAGACTATCAACGCCGTGTGCCAGGGACTGTGCTAGGCACCGAAGATACGCTTGTGAACGAGACGAAAAGCGTATTACCTCTTGTGGGCCCACCCCTGTGGCGTCCGGAGGGTACTTCCGTGAACTGAGAACTAAGACTGTGGAATCAGTGCCTGTGTAGTGATGTGCTTGTGTGGAAGCAGGACCAGAAGCCGCTCTGCCCTGGGAAGTGTTAGGCTGAGCAGGGCCCTGGCTTCTCAAGGCTTCTCAGTGTCTCTTTGAAAACATTTGTCATTAATATTTTCATTAAAAACGATTTTTTTAAATCAATTAGAGTTGTCCCCGTTTTCCCCCCATTGCTCTCCCCTACCCTACCCAACCCCCCCGCCCCCCACACACATTTAATCCCCCACACCCTGCCCCGTTGTCCTTGTCCCTGCATCCTTTATACACATTCCTTGACCCTTCTTTCCCATTATATTCCTCCCCTCTCCCCTCTGGTCGCTGTCAGATTGTTCTTTATTCCATGTCTCCGGTTCTATTTTGCCCACTTATTTGTTTTGTTGATTAGGTTCCACGTATACAGGTGAGATCATATGGTATTTGTCTTTCACCTCTTGGCTTATTTAACTTAGCTTAATATTGTGTAATTTTAGTTACATTTTAAAATTCTGGCCTACTTCCCACTCAGACTCATTCAAGGAGCTTTGCGTGCCTTCATTAAGTGCCCACAGAGGTGTGTGTAAATCCTGCCCACACACTTGGAAAATGAGTTGGGAAAAAGGAGTTCACTGCAAAGGCACACCCACTGTTCCTTGTGTTTTTCCCAGTTCAGGGCATGTTTGGCGATCACACTGGCTCTCTTCTGAGAAAATGTTCAAGCTTTGGATGACCCTACTATTGAGCTGGTGTTAAGCTGCCAAAGAAGTCAGCCAACACCAACAAGAAATACTAGCCCCGTTTACAACTATGGCTGTCACTTTTACTATGTTGACATTTCTATTTGGGAAAATTATTACCTGCTTATCTTGCATTTTATCTTACTCTATTTTAGAGTTGTGTGGGTTTGGGGTTTTTTTTGGTATAATTCAAAGTTAGTATAAACTGTATTCTTTAGTAGCAGTGGTCTTAGTGTAATGCGTTCTCACCTTCTGTGCTTACTACTTTATGTACTTCTGCAACTTTAACCCAGACTTGCTCAGGAAACAATGTATAATCATATCATTGCACAGGCTAGAAAATGAGAAGTAACCTTTGATGTCCTTTACTTCACACCTTATCTCCAATCACTTAATCCTATTGACTTGTGTATCTCTTGAATCTGTTCACTTACGTCTTCTATCAATGCCCTACTTAGGTTTATTCTTAAAAAAAAAAAGGTTAAGATTATGCAAGATGAGTTTGTTTTTCCAGGACTTAAATGCTTGATAAACCACGTATAACTGATGTTGGAGTTTTGGGACCTGTAAAGTTCAGTATCTTGGTTATGGTTCCAAACTGCAATGTAGAGTCACAATACCAGTGAGGAGCAAGGAAGGCAAATAAATTTGGGAAGAAAAGATTCCAACTTGTTGTGTATTTTATCACTGTTTTTTTGATGGTTGCCAGTACTTAAAGGTGAACTATATGTGTGCTGTATGTGTATTTTAATCCTTTGAAAATCTAGAGAAAAATTAGGGTGATAAGAGAGAGGGGCCTAAAATGCTGACATCCAGTGTTTTACTAGGAAAATTAAAACAGGTCTTGAGATTTATTTTTTTAAACCCTCACTGAGGATATGCTTATTAGAGGAAGGGGAAGGGAGAGAGAAAGAGAAACATGGTGTGGGAGAAACAGTTGCCTCCTGAAAGCGACCCACGGGATGGAACCGGCAACCCTTGGGTGTACAGGACTACGCTCTAGCTGAGCCACCCGGCCAGGGCTTAGACATTGTTTTCATTTTCAACATTTTGCTCATATTTCTCATTGCGATTTCTCTGGAAACCAGAAACCAGAGGTTTAAGCCTATCAACGTAGAAGCCGTTGGGATTCCAGCAGCATTATTTGGCATTAAGGCCCCATCTCCTACAAAACGATCCGTGGTTATGGGGCGGGGTCTCAACTCCATGGTGCAAATGCGTTTTTCACATTCCTTCTAAGGACAGGTTGTTATACGACAAGACCCAACGATTTTACTTCCGTTTGCTCTGCATAAAGTGCAATCTCCTTTCTGTCTCCGGCCTTAAAAAAAAAAAAGAAAAGAAAAAAAGAAAAGGAAAAAAGCCCCAACCAAGGAATGTCTTCCACGTGTTAGGGAGGGCAGTGCTTGGTGTCTAAAGACTTGATCGAGAGGCGGCAAGCATGGGGCAGCATCCACAAATAAAGCCTTAACCGATGGTAACTAATGAGTATTTAATTACCCCATTTCCCCGAGATTTTGGCTTTTAGAAAAATATGCACAACAGCAAGAAAGCGGGTGAGACAAAGTTAAGGGACCCTCGCTGAAGTTCTGTGCTTTCCCTTCGTGAGCCCCCGAGGTTGTCCCGGAGGGAGGGGTAGAGGGACGACGGCCACCGCCAGCGCCTGCGCACTGTCGCCAGCCGGCGGGCAGAAGCGTCGAGCTCAAGACACTTGAAGTCTCCGTTGGAACAGCCCGATTAAAAATTTTTATTCTCTTTACTACGGATCGTTTAAAACGCATCGAGTCTACGAGAGACTGTTGGAATTTTTCTTGCCTGTCTCCCTCCTCCGCAGGCACCGCCGAAGGCAGCCCCACTGAGAGCGGCTAAGGCTCGGGGTCCTGGGTTGCTATGACGACACCGAGGCGTTCCGAGAAAATGCGAGGCCGAAGATGGGTGGCGGGAAACATAACTTAGCCAGTGTCCGTTTCCCATCACTTCTGAGGCACAAACGGTGTGACAGGTGCCTGACCAGAGTCTGTGGAGTTGGCGTGCCAGGGCACTACCCGTGGGGGAGGCCGGAGACCGAGCCGACAGGGGTGCCGGCGGTCGGTGGGTGGTCGGGGGTGTCCCTTCCTGGCCTGGATGCAGACCCTGGCACACCCACTGCCTTCTTAGTCGTGTCAGGTGACCCGAGGGAACGCAGAAAACTTCCCAAAGAGGGGAAACCCATGCTGGATGAATTGTCAACTCCAATGTTTAGCATAAGCTCCTAACGGCGCGCGTCTCTCTCTCTCTCTCTCTCTCTCTCTCTCTCTCTCTCTCTCTGCCTGCACCCTGCCCAACATGTTGCTGACCTATTTCTAGGTTAGCTTTTTGGAAGACTATTTCAAATTACTAAAAAGAGTGATTGGAGGCATTGTTTATTATGGCTCACCCGCAAACGCCCTCCACGTCGCTTGAGGACAAAAAATTAGAAGTCTCTGCATCCAAGGAAGGGACAGGTAAAGTTCTTTGAGGGTCCGCAGGACATAAATAATCATGGCTATAGACAGAAATCATGATCCGTCCAATTTTCCTTAAACTGAGATTTTAGGATACCTTACTTTGCTTCGTTTTTCCAATACACTTGTAATAAAATCAAAAGTCATTCCTTTTATAGTATTTTTGAGTCAGACTTCTGTTTCATTACCCCACCTAAGGACTGCTGGTTAATTTCAAAAGCTGGTGATTATACATTTTTTAAAATTCACCGTATTTTATTTTATTAATTATTTTTAGAGAGGAAGATGGAGAAAGAGGAAAAGAAACATTGGTGTGTGAGAGATACATCAATCGGTTGCCTCCTGCACGCCCCCAACTAGGGACCTGGCCCACGGCCCAGGCATGTGCCCTGATTGGGAATGGAATTGGTGACCCTTTGGTTCACAGGCCAGCACTCAACCCCCTGAACCACACCAGCCAGGGCTACTTTTACTTTTAAACCCAATGCAGATCCTTTTCACTCTATATAAATGCCCCAATTTAATGCAATTAATGTCACCTTTGAACTTATATAGAAAAAAATATACACGAAATAATTTCACAGTTTTGAGAACAGGAGGTTTCTCTTGTCATTTTTACTTCAAAGGGAAAATAGACATTCCCATCATCTTAGGGCTATCCCAGTTAATTGAGCAAAGTTAAATTTATTTTTCAACTTTGAATTTGGAATAATGGAAGTTCATCTTTGTACATGAGTTTGTGAACCTGTGTCTGATGGAAGCGTGAGTAGGGCAGGCAGTGTGAGTTTATTTTTCTGGTGCAGACGATGTTCGATGTTTTAAATATACTTACTCTTCTTGGCAGCCAGAAGCAATGTTTCCTCTGTTAGAAACATATAGATGGGGTTGATGAGACAGCCTGGGAATTTCCAACTAATTCCGAAAAACCACAGTAAGCTTTTCTTTCCCATTACTTTCTTAGGACTTCCTGAACTAAGGGAGAAAAAAAATACGGTGGATCGTTCAAAACCCCTTCCTACTTCCCTTCAGAATGAGTTCATCCCTGAAGAAGTTCTTCTTTCTCTGACCTATGCAGCCAGTGCTGGTCCTTGTCCTGAATACTTATTGCCTCCTAAGAAAATTAAAACCCCAAAGGTGTGTATCTACATACAGAAAGTTCTTAGGAACACTTCTTTTTTGGTATGCAGTTCATTAAGTATTTATTTGGTATCCAGTTCATTAAGTTATATATTCCAATTGTCTTAAAAAGTATTTTTAAATCAATTTCTTATATTGAAAACTAAAATCGTTTGCATGAATGTTTCCAAGGAAATACTTGAGTATTTTCCTTTCAACTTGTTTTTATATGATTTACCTAAATGATCACTACTACTCTTAGTCTTGATATTTTTCTTTCATATTAAATAGTTTTAGTTTTATTCTTTCTCAATGGTGTGGAGTAAGAATTTTGTTCTCTCTTTTTTTCTGTAAAAGAAAAAAAAAAAGCCTTGATGTAAATACTCCAAATGATTAAGAATAGATTTTATTTGACTAGTGCGCCCTCTGCTGTGCATTCATTTTGTTTTGCTCTTTACCAGGGCACCCTCCCGCGCCCTGTGGATCATGTCTGGCATCACCCTATTCGAAGGAATAAATTCAGATATCTGATTGACCATCCCGTTTCCCTAACGGGAGCTGGAAGGTAAAGAAGGAGGCTAGGAGGGGTAGATGCAGATAGTTACTTTCTCATTTCGTATTATTTCCTTGGGTGGAGCACAACTGGAAAAATCAGAATCAAAAATTCTGAAGTGTGCAGTAACTTTGATGAATCACAATACAGTCTGAAGAGGGGAGCACCTTGTCAACAGGGTAATAGCAAGTGCTAGCTGCACTTACTTTTAGTCTGTTTCCATTTTCCATTTTGCATGCCTCTCTGTACTTGTCCCCTAACTCTCCTCTTCCTTGTACCCTAGTAAAAGGGACAAGATCAAAGGGACAGGCAAATGCCTCTAGTGCCTCTTTTATTTGTGCATCTGAGAAATGCCGGGTAACACAGCTTCAAGATGTGGAAAACCTTGAAAAACAAGTGCTGAATCCCTGGTTTTCCTCAAAGAGAACCCTTACCCTCCACACTGTTTCAGATCAAATCTGTAAATTCTGTTTGTTGTTTTTATATCATTCCTAAAAATATTCTAAATGTTAACATTTTCCTGTGAAAATTGCAACTGTCTCATTTTCTACATATGGTCCATTTATCAACTGACTCCCTGAGTGCTTCTTACTGAACTATCACTTCATCTCAAAGAAATGTTTAAATTTTCTAGTACATGGGTAGGTTATTTAGTCTCTCTGAGTTCCGTTTTCTCATTTTTAAGAAGGGATCAATAGACATGCTCCATTCTGTGTACTTGCAGGGATCTAGGACAAACGAATGAAATGATGAATGGAAGAGCACTTGTAAAACTACACAAGGCTATCGAAATATAAGGTTCTACTCAGCAATACCAGTGCTAGAAAAAGTGGCAGAAAATTGGGCCATGGACTTTTGCGTCCTGGGGCCTAAGTGTCATAAAGTATCTATATTTTATGCCTTCAGATCATGGCTATGATTAGTAATAGTAACAGTAGTTATAAGATATTTCAAGTGCTTTGGAAAAATAATTAGCTATATCTGAAATTGGCTAATAATCGACATAAAAGCTTTAATGTAAATCAAGTGACTTCCGACTTGGAATTTTGCAAACGCGATGTATTGTGGCAGGCGCAGCAGTGAGCTCCACCCAGATGTGCCCTCTGTAATCCTCAGAACCTTTCTTGGCAAAAGGGACTTGGCAGATGTGATTAAGTGTAAGGACCTTGAGAGATCGAAAGATCATCCTGGATTATCAGGATGGGCCTGAACTAATTGCCTGAGCCTTTCCACGTGGAAAAGGAAGGCAGTTGAATGGGTTGGAGAGATGAGACAGAAGGAGGAACACACATTCGAAGTGTGAGAGGCATTCAGCCTGCTCTTGCTGGCTCTGAAGATGGAGGAAGCGAGAAAACAAAGAATCTTCATTGGCCACTAGAAGCTGGTGATGGCCCTCAGCTGACAACCATCCAAGAAACAGGGATCTCAGGCCTAGAACCACAAGGAACCGAATTCTGCCAACAACGCAAATGACCGAAAAAAAAAACAAATCCTGCCTTAGGCCATCTAGAAAGGGACATAGCCCTGTCAACACCTTGATTTTATCCCAATGAGGGCTGTGTTGGACTATTAACCTACAGAATTATAAGATAACAAACTGGTGGTGTTTAAGCTGCTAAATTTGTGGTGATTTTTTTCAGCACCAGTAGAAAATTAACACATGTATGCACAATTCATAGTATTCATAATAAGAAGTAACTTGTATAGCAACCTTAAATATTCAGAGCAAAGCAGTAAAATATAGAACAATCAGGCAAATAGCCTCTGAGTAATATTTCCAACAATGCCTTCAGTCAGAATTCAGTGTAGAAAATAAAACACTAGATATTTTAAGCAGGAAATCAAGTATTTACAAAAGTGTTGGAAGTGGTTCCGGAGCAGGTGTGAGGCAATGCCTTTGGGAGTGACTCCCAGAGCAGGATGGGATGGACCCCTTGTGGAGGCCGCTGCCTCCAAGGCTGCATAAGGGTCCAAGAATGTGACTGCTTGGATAGACATTTGTCCAAAGAAGATAAAAATGGCCAATAAGCACATGAAGAGATGCTCAACTTCTTTAGCTATAAGGAAATGCGAATCAAACCACAGTGAGATACTATTTTATACCCACTAGGATGGCCACAATAAAAAAGCAGACAATAACAAGTGTTTGGGAGGATGTAGAGACATTGGAAATTCTACTGCTGGTGGAAATGTGAAACGGTGCAGCCTTTTTGGAAAAAGGTCTGGCAGTTCCTGAATGAATTAAAATAGAGTTGCCATGTGACCCAGGGATTCTACTCCTAGGTATACACCCAAAAGAATTGAAAATATCTATCTGCACAGAAACTTTACATGAGTATTCATGGAAATATTCATATAACCAAAAAATGGATACAACTCAACTGTTCGTCCAGTGATGAAAGGATAATCAACATGTATATCCGTACAATGGGATATTATTTAGCCATAAAAAGGAATGAAGTACTGATACATGCTATAACATTAATAACCTTGAAAACATGCTCAGTGAAAGAAGCCATTTACAAGAAGGCACATATTGTGTGTTTCTGTTTATATGAAATGTCCAGAATGGGCAAATTCATAGAGACAAAAATGGGCAGGGAGAGGAGAGCGGGGAATTACTGCTAAGGGGTAAAGGGTTTCTTTTTGGGATGATTAAAATATTGTACAATTAGGTACTAGTGATAATACAGCATGAAAAAAATAAATATTGTGATATATGACACATAAAAATTGTATATTTAAGGTGTACAACTTGGTGTTCTAATAAATATGTAAATCGTGACATCTCCACAATTTACCACTCCCTCTTCTCACATTGGAGGTCACATAGTATTTGTGCTGCTTTGTCTGACCTATTTCATTTGGCATAATATTCTCCAAGTTCATCCATGTTGTAACAAATGTCAGGATTTTCTTCTTTTTTAAGGTTGAATCACGTTCTGTTGTAAATATGCTCCATGGTTTCTCTATCCATTCATTTGTTGATGGACATTTCAGTTATTTCCATGTCTTCATTATTGTGAATCATGCTGCAATGAACATGTGGGCGCAGATGTTTTTGAGATCCAAATTTCATTTCCTTTGCATATACCGTATATCCAGAAGTGGGATTGCTGGATCATATGGTAGTTCTGTTTTCTTTTGGTGAACCAACATACCTGTATTTCATAATGGCTATACCAGTTAAAATTGGGGGGAGGGGCAGAGACATCTGAAAATTATGTAAGAGACAGGATTATAACCTCTTTAGGGAGGTAAACCTGGCAGAAGTATGTAGAATATACCAGAGAAATTTGAGAATCCACATAAAAAGTAATTACAACTTGGACTAGTGATGTTGGCATTGGCAAAAGACAAGAAAACCAACCACTGGAATACGATGAGGGCGGCTGTAAAATTGATGTGTTAGTGACAGGTGGACATTGAGGGCTAAGGATGGGAAGGAATCAATTATGGGTGCTGAGGCTCTGATGAGTAGAGTGGTGGTGCTGGCAGAATTAGTGCAGACAGCAGGGTGAAAAGCTAGAATGGAGGGCAATATCAGCTGCGCCTGGAGGCAACACATGTAATAAGGTGGGATCTGGTGGCATTGCCAAGGGAGAAAGTGGAGGGGAAGGAGGAGAGCAGGATGAGGACAGAATGTCGTGGGGCGTTCCCATTTAGTAGCCAGCAGGTCACAGAGAAGCCCCAGGAGTAGTACTTAATGGAGGATGAAAGAACCAGGAGAGTCCAGAACTACAGAGGGTAGAGGAGGTATTTTTTGTGTTTTTGTTGTTGTTGTTGTTTTAATCAGTGACCAACCCTGGAAAAAATCCAGGGAAATAGTGGAAAATAAGAACTGATAACTTAGCAGTGGAAGGTCATTGTCAGGTTTCTGGAGAGTAGTTTCAAAACAGAGATGGAGCTGGAAATCAGATTTTGGGGAAATTTCAAGACATTTGATGTGTGACAATGTGAGAGATAGATGATAGATCATCGATTGATCACTGATCATGGTAACATGACAATGCATGATCAGGGGAGATTTTTAGAAGGGGGAAGGACTTGAGTTATAGACCAAGGGGGATGTTCCAATAGAGTAGGAGGTACACGGAAGTTACGGCTGATGAAATGAGGTCCCCCAGGATGCAGGCAAAGATGAAACCAAGAGCAGAAGTGGAGGAAATACCCCCAGGGAAACCTTACCCATTCTAATCCAGTTGCCAGATAGAAAATTGACTTTGTATATATATATGTATTTTTTATTTTTCAGGGATATTTCTTTTCTGTATGATGTTAAGTTTGTTAAAGGAAAGACCAGGGAGGGTGCGCTTTGTCCCCCACGTTCGGACCATTCATTACAGTCACATGATGGTGTCATTGTGCCTCATAAGGTAAAGTATTTGATAAATAACTTAATCTTCCTCTCTTTACTTAAAAAAAGTTTTCCCAAGATAGAAAGGAACATTGTACTGTAACAACAACCTGCATTGCTTACCAGTTTTCATAGCACTTTTAATTATTTCTAGGAAAGGCTATTTAATGAGAAAGGATAAAAGGTGTCTTATGTTAAGTCATTTTCCAAACTACAGTCCTCCACTTAATCTAGAAAATACAGTATAGGAGACTAGATTTCTTTTTTTTTATTTTTAGAAACCCACAGTTTAAAGTTATAGAATTCTTATTTTGGGGATATTGCCAAGGTGAATTTTAAATTCCTGTTGAATTTTGAGGAGTCAATGGACTTCTGAATAGTTTAAGGACACCTATAACTAATCTGAAAACCAAGGTTATTATGTAATTTATTTTTTTTAAAGTATGCTCTACTAAATTTTTTTTTACTACTTAACATGTCCCATATTACCAATATTGTTATTTTTCTAATCAAAATCTCTTAATAAATAGCATTCCTTTGGGACAGGAATTAGTTTTGTGCAATTTACTTTTTTTTAATCTACTAATGTTTTCATTCTTGCCATTCTTTTTAAGCCAAAGAAACTAACAGATACTTTGATTCCTGAAGAATTTCATATTGTGTCAAATACGGGAGTCTCAGGTTTGGAGTGTTATGATGAGTGAGTACTATGGTATATACTGAGTATCTGACAAATGAACTTTTTCCTCCTTCCGGACATAGAGGAGCCTGAACAGTTCACTCCTGTCCCTCGGCCATAGCTACCCTGGAAGGAGGAAACATAGGGCCTACCATCCTCATACAGTTTCAGAAAAAAAAATCACTTAAAGAAACCACTGAAAAAGTCTTGAAAGAGTTTGGGGTTTTAGTGGTTAAACTCTTCTCTGTCTTTTCCTACTGTTTAGTTTTGACTTTAAAAAAACCACAGATCTTTGTTCTCAATGCTTGATGCACCTCTTTATGAAAGGTTGTGAACAGTGACTGTGGAAACAGAGGGAAGCAGCCCTATAAGCTGAATTCTCGTATTGCACAATTCTGGGTTTAGCTCCACGCTGTAGACTATTCACCTCCAATTTTCCTCTTTATGGGATTGAAAATGGGATCTTGTTTTTATTTTTTGGAACAATACTTGACTGTTTCACAGTTTAAAAAACTAGAACTTTGGACTAAGTTTTCATAATAAAATACCCAGAAGCTGTCACCCTTTTTACCTTACCCAGTACAAACGTTTTGTGGCATTTCCTTATAATGGTGCGTTTCAGAACCATATTTTGCCAAAGCACTAAAGAGATCTGATTTGGGGGTACCTTTTAATTTTTATGTAATTTCAAAATTATAAAAAAGTTACAAAAATAGGACAAGGAACTCCCCGTACCCTCTATTCTGACTCACTGAGTGCTTCATTTGCTTTAATACACAAATGCACATACACACGCATGCACACTTAAACTATTCAAGAGTAAGTTGGAGACATCATGACCCTTGACCACTAAATACTTTAATTTATATTTTCTAGCAACCCCATAATTATAGATCTTCTTGATGACTTTTCTTAGCTCCATCATTTCTTCTATATTTATTTGCATTTTACCATATGGATCTATGCATTTCCTTTTTTCCAATGGGTTATTATTTTTTACTATGATTATTTATTTTGATATTAAAAAAAGTCAGATTTTGCCAAAGCTAGCTCCTTCAAGCTAGCTCTTGTGTTCTCCAGGCATGTTCCTATGGTTCTCTGGATGTTCTTCTATTTTCTGGCTCAGTAAGATCTCTAGGTTCACCTGGAATGAACTCTGAGTCATTTCTCCAAGGAGTACTGATTTTTTTTAATGGAGAATGATACTTAGAAATCAAGATCTGGATGCTAGATGTGCTCATTGCTCCTGGGATATCATTGCTTCTAGTCCTTTGTACACATTCATTTTTGAAAATGAGTCTTAATATAAAGACTGGAGATTTTTCACTGGAGATTTTCCTGGAGATTTCTCTGGAGATTTTTCGCTGATCTATATTCTGAAAGTGAACCTTATTAACCAACTGTGTTCCAGTAGGGGGAAGAACAGAAGGAAATGCTTATTTACTAAGGGAAGAAAAAAAAGTGCATAAATAAGAATGAATTTAAAGGATTACCTCATCATTCTCACTGTGACACTCATTCTGGTGTAAACAAGCACTGCTAGAGGCCAGATAAGGCTGGGGCAGGGCAGGAAAACTGTGTTCTGGTTTTGTCTTTGCTTCTTATTAATTGTATAACATGTTTAGTCACTTAACATCGTTGGCTTCGGTGTTCTTAGAAAATCATTCCACTTTTGAAAAGGCTGTTTTTAAGTGAATCAAAGAAATGTTCATATTGTGACATATTAAGGAATGTAATTAAAGCTCCTTTACTTAAAAAAGTTCCAAATATGGTAAATTTCATAACACCTGTATCTGTAGATGTCTCAACTATTGAAGTATGAATTTGTGTGCAAAACAGTGGCCCTTTCTGATTACCTTCAAGCTTCTCAGGTCTGTGAGGTCTTAGGTTGATCATGCTTAGGTGATATGTGATAAGCAGACCAGATAATTTTCTTACAGTAACATTTACCTGTCTTATTTATTGCAGCAAATATACTACTCTCCTCAAAGATAGTGAAAACAGGCTATTGCTCTTCCCATCCATGTAAGTACAGTTTATTTTTAGAAGGGTTTCTTAGAAAGAATAACTATATACATATATCTTAAAATGACAGCAGAAACCCAAGATAATAATTGCCCACCATTCTATCGTCTAATTTGTCCAATTGCATATTCAATTTTTACATATTTATAATATTAAGTATTACAATGTGCTTTTTAAAACGTTTGAAAATTCCTTTTATTGTTTTTAAATTTTATTTTATTGTGGTAAGAATACAACATGAGATCTACTCTCTTAACAAATTTTTAAGTGTTAACTATAGGTGCAATACAGTGTTAACTGCAGGAACAGTGTTGTGCAGCAGATCGGTAGAACTTACCTTGCATAACCGAACAGTTATTCCTGTAGATTAACAACTTCCCATTTCCCTCTCCTGCCAGCCCCCCGGAACCACAATTCCACGCTATGATTCTATGAGTTTGATTGTTTTAGATGCCTCATGTAAGAGGAATCATGCAGTGTTGTCCTTCTGGCTTATTTCACTTAGCATGATATCCTACAGGTTCATCCATGTTGTGGTGTGTGGCAGAATTTCTTTATTTTTGAAGGCTGAGTAATGTTCCAGTGTCTGTATACACCACCTTTTCTCCATCCATCCATTCATTCTTTGATGGCCAGCTATGTTGTTCCCATCTACTATGACTAGTACTGCAGTGAATACAGGGTGCCAGTAATCTATTTGAGATCCTGATTTCATTTCTTTTGGATGAATACTTAGAAGTGGGATTGCTAGATTATATATAAAATACTCTTATATGCTGCATGTAACCATTTGTATTTTTCCATTTTACTACAGTGTTTTTGGTTTTTCTTCTTATTTCCTTCCTTTCTCTTACAATGTGAAATAACCAGTATTAATAGCTTGGTGTCTCTCTCTCCACATTTTCCTGCTTTTACAATCATACACAATAGGTGTATAGAACTTGGGGAGGAGATGTTATTTTCTTTTATGAAATAGAGGGTTGTACTATTTGCATTTTTTCTTTTAAAAAAACTGTATTACTGATATTCCACTAGATCAATACTTATAGGTCCAATACTTTAATATGCCATTAATATTTCATAGTATATGCGTTTTCTTTATACATACTATATTCTTTTAGCACTTTGAGGAGGACCTATTGTAACAGTGGTTACTAAGTCTGCCACCTTAATCTTTCAGGAAGCCTAATAAAAGAGTGGAAGTGACACGGCTGAATGATGTGATGGACACTATGCTGGAGAGGGCTGGTGCGGAAGATCAGGAATATACAGGGCCGACCAAGGTAACTGTGGGGACCGATGTAACCCAGCTGGCGGTTACAAGCGCACCCTGGTAGAAGGCCTGGACTGGAATCCTGGCCCCGCCATTTGTTAGCTGGTGACCCTGGGCAAGTCATTTAACGTATTCCTGCCTCAATTTCCTCAGCTGTAAATTAGAGAGGAAAATAATATTTACCTCATATGTTGGTTATGGAGATTAAATGGCGTAATGATGTAAAAGGCAGAACAGTCAGTGCTTGGCATGTGGCAAATACCACATAATTATTTGTTAGTATAGCTGACCCTTGGCGAACATAGGTTTGATCTACATAGTCCTCTTATACGTGGATTTTTTCAATAAATATTGTAAATATATTTTCTCTTCCTTATGATTTTTTCCACTTTAATTTTTTATATGTAATCTTTATTATATTTTTTCCATTACCTTTAGCCTCCTCATATCTCCCTCCTCCCTGGCTTTCTTAATAACATTTTCTATTCTCAAGCCTACTTTATTGAAAGAATACAGTCTATAATACATATACAAAATATGTATTAATCAACTGTTTATGTGATTGGCAAAGCTTCTGGTCAACAGTAAACTATTAGTAGTCAAGTTCTGCGGGGAGTCAAAAGATGCGTATGGATTTCCCACAGCGTGGGCCTTGGCACTCCTATCCCCTGCCCTGTTCCAGGGTCGACTTTTATTATTTCCGTATTCCGTTGAGTATTAGGCACTGTAGATTATAAGACCCCTGTTGTTTTTTGTACCAATAAGAAACACTGCCATTTCAGTTGTGCTTTCTTACCACTTGTAATTTTTATTTTGTGCTTAATAGAAGCACTCTTTCAGGCTTACATAGATATAGGTTTTTTTTTTTTAAAGGAAGGCTATCTCTTTTTTGTTTTGTGAATTTTTACTTTTATAGAATTTGAAACATATACATATGTTCCATATAAGGCGCCCCGATGTAACTGTTACCTAGATTCGCCCGTTGTTTACGTTGTGTCCGTTTTGCTTTATTGTTCTCTCCCCTTCTCTACATGTCTCTGTAAGTGTAGTTTTTTTCCTGAGCCATTTTAGAATTAGCTGGAAACATCATGCCTCTTTACTACCAAACATTTCAGGTTATATTTCCTGTGGATAAAAACATTCTCTTACATATCCATAATACAGTTTTCAAAATCAGGAAATTTAACATTGTTACGATAGTCCAAATTCATATTTCAATTTATCAGTTGTCCCTATAATGGCTTTTATAGCTCTTTTCCCCTCCCTTTCAGCATCCCAGAATCACACAGTGCTATTATTTGTCACTTGTCTTTAGACAACTATAATCTGAAACAGTTCTTTATTTTTCTTGACCTTGATATTTGGGAGAGCATAGGCCAGTTATTCTGTAGAATGTTCCTCAATATTGGTTTGTCTGATGTGCAGTCATGATTAGATTCAGGTTTTATATTTTGGCTGGAATAACATAAAAGCTATATCATGACCTCAGTGCATCATATAAAGAGCTGCAATGATTAGACACTAATTTTTAAAAATAAGATATCATTTTTGTATATATTTATAATAGAAAATGCTAGTGAAATAAATTAATCAAGCTGCTTCTAAAACTTAATTCACATTCAGAATGATGAACTCCTAAAAGGGTTTTTACTGACAAGACCATAATAAATGCTAATTAACTTATCTTCTGCCAGATGCACAAACTGCTACATATACTGAAGAAGGAACAGACTATTTACAATACAGTGTTTCATGAACTTATTCGGCAAGTCAGTGTAGACTGTGCAGATAGAGGAGAACTCCTGTCCAAAATCAGGTGAGAACAGTTCCTGGAGTATCCCAGTTTCCTTTTGGATTTTATATTAGAATTCTGTTTTTTTTCTCTGCTTTGGAGAAAAAAAAATCACAAAAGTACACTTCTCTATCTTATTGATAATAAGGAACCTAACTGCATTTTATTATATTTTCTATAGTAAAAATAAAATAGTTGAAAACCTCCTTAAGATGATTCCTGTTGAGATGTTTGACAGTGTATTCTTTTATGTTTGGGAGTTAAACTGCTTTGTGAAATGGTAGAAAAAGTATAGATTCTGAAGATAGACTGATCTAGGTTTAAGTTACCATCTGTGTGTGACGTAAGTAAAAGTCTGAGCTACACCTGTAAATGAAGATAATAGCTACTGTGAAAATTTCCATTTGTGTATTTGGTTACTAATCAGCCAATAGTATTTATTGAGTGTCTACTCGGTTTCAAGCATTAAGATAGGAGTGTGGTGAGGTTTATATGAGAATACAGAATTAGGTGCTTGATACAGTTGTTATAGATGATGGTGATAAATTCTGTTGTTACTGTAATTCTTCTTATGACACTGGTACTTTCCAAGAGCTGAAAGGAATAGTACAATTAGAATACTGGATTCAATTACATATCTGCAGCTCACTTGCCATAGAACCATAGGCATGCTATAAGATATCTCTGAATACCTGTTTCTCCTGAATTGGCATGAATAATACAAATTTGCCCTATTTGTCCACTATCTGATTGATGGAAGCTGAGCCACCCTGTCTGGCAGTGCTGAGAAGCTAGGAGCAAAGCCGTTAATAAGACACGGGTGAAGATGAGATCCTAAGGAGTAAGTTGTTGGAACACCAAGAGCTGGAGAATGCCAAATTAGAGTGAGGTTAGGGACAACTACAGTCTGAGTTGTCAATATAAGAACAAAGCCAGGCGGGATGGGTGAGGAAGTGCGGCAAAGGACGTAGATGACGTGCAGCGTATCTGAACCTTCCCTTCTGAGGAGTCGGCCTAAGCCTGACTCTGCTAGCGGATTTCAGGAGTCAGCTTCTAGGGGCCAAAATAGGGTAGGGTCCTATCCCAGGAAGTCTAAGCAGAAAGAGACAGGCAGGCAAGTCAAAATCACAACCCTTTAAGAAAAGTGGAGTCAGACACTACAGAGACAAAAGTATGAGTCCCAAAGTTCCAGAGATAAAATCAGAGGACGTTTTGAAGCCAAGAATTTAGAATAGGGTAAAGTTGGAGTTAAGAATACAAAGAAGGCCAGATTAGGCAATGAGCTTTCAGAGCGGTTGCTGCAAACATTCACGATGTGCTGTGGAATGGTGAAATACTCAATAGTAGGTCCAGAATAATCTAGTGGCCGGCCTTTTGTTGTTATAGGAGCTCTTTTGAAAGTCTAGGGACAACCATCAATGAGAAAGTCTCTGCTGTCCAGGGCCTGGCATCTTACAAAGTCCTCCTTGCATCACAAGTTTGTTGTGAGGATCCAGTAGAAGTCCCCAGTGAATGGTAATACCACACAAGCCCAGGAAATGTTTGCTATCAGTCTCAAACCTCCTCTCTCTGTTTGCACGTTACTGTAGCTTTGTGCTCTGTCTCACTGAGCGCTTTCTGATCAGCCAGTGTGTGTCTCTGCTTTTCAGGCACCTGCCCTCTGAGGCCTGTTGCTACAGGAGGAGTTTATGTGAAACAGCATTTCATAGTCACTGTTTTTTGTAGGAGGAAGAATGAGTGCCAGATGGAGCAAGAGCTGAACAGGGCTCTCAGGTTACACAGAGCCAGGGCTGATGCTATAAGTCATTTTGGCTGACATTACAAATCTCTCTGGATGCAGGCACATGGCTTTTTTCAGTTCTTGTTATTTTTTCCCAAATATTTTTTCAGGGAAATTTCCAAATACCCATAAAAATCAAATGAATTTCACAGTGAGCTCGTATGTTCCCACCATCTAGATTGTGCCGTGAACACCTGACCCGGCTCCTTTGCCGTTTGTCGGGCCATGCAGCCATCCTTGCATTTATCCACCTGTTTCATGCCCTTCAGAGTAAGTCGCAGACATCAGTGTGTTGTCTCCTAAATATGTCCGCATGTATATTATTAAACAGGTTTATTATTTATTTGTCTTGCTTTCTGTCTTCCCGTCTGTTGAGTTTACTATTCAGTAATTATATCTTTCCCCTAAGTGTTCTGTTAGTTTGTTTCCATATCTGTCTCATCATATTTAATAAGTTTTTATCACTTAATTACTTTTAGATTCTATCTTTTGTTTCTCAAACATCTCATGCATAGTCTTAAATTCTAAATATGAAAATTCTAATATATGAAGGCCGTTAGTGTAGAACTCTACTGTTTGCTGTTTCTTTTGAGTCTCATTTATGATGGCTTATTTATACAGTATTTTGCAATCTTTGCTTATGTGGCTAATATTTGGCTAATCTTAAGCATGAAATCCTCAGAATATAAATCATGGGTGCTTCCTAAAGAGAGGATTTGCATTTTCTCCCTTCTGGAATCCTGGCTAGATGCAGTAGTTTTAAACTCAGGTCTCCCCTTTAAAGGTTGCCAACGACTTAGTTTCTGGGACGCAATGTTGGTATTTTTACTGGGGCAACCTTAATTTTTGGTTTGCCTAATGAATAGGGCTTACCACCTCCTACTCCATTCTTAGCTTATCATATTTTGTTTGTTATTTTTCTTTTTAAAAAAATATTTTATTTATTTATTTTTAGAGAGAAGGGAAGAGAGGGAGAAAGAGAGAGAGAGTAACATTAATGTGGTTGCCTCTTGTGCTCCCCCTACTGGGGACCTGGCCTGTGACTCAGGCACGTGCCTTGCCTGGGAGTTGAACCACCAGCCCTCTGGCTTGCAGGCCAGCACTCAATCCATTTAGCCACACCAGCCAGGGCTATTGTTTTTGTTTTTCATTCTTAGAGACTTCTTATTCTTGCTGCCAGACCATTGATGCTTCAGAAAGCATGCTCTATCATGAATATAGCGGTACTGTGTTGAGAAGGCCCTGCAGAGTACGTCGCCATATATCACTAGGAGGGGAAGTGCAAAAGAAGGTGGTTTTAAAATGGGGGTTTCCTGATGTATGACCTGCATATTGAGCTGATAAACTTCTTTTACTTTAAGTGTTTAAATAAGACTGGATAATTCTTTCTGTCTGTGAGAGATTAAACTAACTGACCATTCTGATTCAAATACATTATAATTCTGGGGTCTCAGGGTTAGGATATAAATACCTTGATCACTTTTAATATAAATGAAGACTGCTCAATTGTAGTATTTGTAATTTACAATCTGTGATCATTTCTAAATATTTTGTTTGGTTTTATTAAGGAGCAAAAGAAATGGCTTTTTATATTTAAGCTCTTTATTTTTAAACAACGGGTACATTTGGTCAGTTTGAGAAATGTGGTTTATTTACAAATTCAACTATTTATTAAAATTCCACTATATTTAAGGCACTCTGTTAGATGTTATAAACTATGTAAGTACTTAAGACATGTTTCCTACCCTCATTGAGTTTATAATTAGAGGAAGGGAAAAAAGAAGTCCTTATTTTGTTTTATGTCTCAGATATTATATTCCAAGTGATTATGACTGGTTAAAATTCTTCACAGTTCATTCACTTGTATGAGTATGGCGGGAACACACAGCCTGGATCCCTTTCTTTTTCTATCTTTGGTCTGTTCACTATTTCTTTCTCTAGCATTACTTTCTCTCAGACGTATTTTCACTCCTTTTTCCTTTTCTTCTGCATGATGTCTTGCTTTCCTTCTTTTTCATGAGAGAGCGGTATGTACAAATGCTTGACCAAATTGCCCGGCAGATGATTGACTTCTACAAAGACTTGGTGACTCAGCGAATGATGGACCAGCGCATTTTACAAGAATTGTACAATTTTAAGAATGTTATTGAGGAACTGACCAGGTAAAAACTGTGGTTATCTTAAACACAAAACAAAAGTTAAAATCTTGTCTCTCAAGAGAAGTGAGAAATATTTAGGGAAAGTAGAATCATTAAAGGTGAGGACTATTTTGTTCTTTCTTCATGTGTAGCAAGAGAACAGAAAGGACTGGATATAGATGTAGATATAGATGTAGAGACATGGGTTGCACAGGTTAACACAAAGCTAGGGCACTGTTTATATTCAATAGGGGAAAGAGCTCGTTCTTCTTTCTAAGATAGAGAAGTTTTTCTTAATCAGGTTGACAGAGCTGTGCCTTGATTATGGATGTTAAGGTTCAAATGCCGAAGAGAGTAAACACTGTATAGCAACCAAGGTTAGTGATCATCTAAACTTGAAGCAAGATAGTTATGGGCAAGAATGAAGAGGGTAGGACAGAGGCATCTGGAGGCCTTGCCTGTCAGCATCTGTCTTCACTCCATTCCAGAGGACCCCCCCACATCTTCTTTTTGCCTTTCTAGCTGGCCCAATTCCGTTACCAAACCTGGCAGGATTTCACCCAAGTGTACACTAGGCTTATTGATTTGGTTTGTAAGGTGGGAAAACCAGAAAAAGATGTACGCATAAAAACTAAGAAGATTCCTGAGTGTAAGTCCGATTTCCTGAGTACAAACTTTTTGGAAATCGTCAACTATGGTTATAAAATAGCTTTGCTTTATTTCAGGGAGCTGTGTTTGGTTCGGGCACATGATGTGAAATTAGCAAAGGAAGCAGAGAAGGCCCACAAGGATTTGGCACAAGCTCTTTTAGATGCTGAAAAAAATGCCAAGTGAGTTATTGAATATTAGCCATTATGTCATATTTGTTTCACACTTTGTTTCAAAACTTTATAGAAGCATGTGACTTTTCTTTATTATTATAACAGTGTAAAGTTCATTACATACATTAACTCCTTTAGGCACTATGGTAGTACTCACTGTGTAAATGTCTTCTTGAATGAGGGTTTTCCAGGGGTGTAGACCTAGAAGCTGAGTCACTGGGCCATAGGATGTGCATAGACTTGTTTTCCTAGATGTTGCCGAATATTCTATAAGGTAGTTGTACTTGTTGGTGTATATATGCTCTCATCAGTATATGAAAGTTCCCCTTTGCCCATGTCTTTTATTAACTGGATGGGTATGAAAAAGCATCTGATTTTTGTTTGCATTTTCCTATTGGGTAGTGTGAGTCTGGCTTTTTGGGGAGAGGAATCTTAGTGGGTACAGCTTGTGGAATTTTTATATTTGTATTCACCTGTATGACACCTCAGGTGATTAATTATTTTCCTAGTGAATTGAACAAACGGAAGCCTCTAAATAGCAGGGGCTTCAGGAACTCATGCTGGTGGTTCCTGGTTTTCAGCAAAATTAAAAGAAATCTGTTTAGCTGGCTTTTCATTACTGTAGCAAAGTTAACATTCCTTAGGAGGATGTGTTTCAAGAGGTTTGTTCAAATGCTTCTGTTCATTTTACTTCTGTGTTTGTGTCTAATCTCAGAAGGGCTTTTAATTCTAAGAGAAGCTTCAACGTAAGTTAGAAGAAAATGTATGCTCTGGTAAACATGAAGAAAAAATAATTAGGAAAAATGAAATTATACTAATCTTTTGGTTTGTTGGTAGAAAATTTCTTTAAATCTTATACTAATTATATGTACTTTAAAAATATAGCGGCTCACAACAATTGGGCTTTGTGTCTTTACTAAAGAATCCTAATTCTATGAGAAATAAAAATAACCCTACTGTATTATTGCTACTTGTGTTCTGAATGTTTCATTAGATATAGTGTTGCTATACTATTGGAATATTATGTTGTGAAAATTCTAGTAGAAGAATATGATGAAAAGTATTTAGATCAGGGAACAATATATTGAACTTTTTACTTAACATGTAAGATTTACAAATGAAATATATTTTCTCTTATTTCTGCTATATATTAGTGTTATTAATATGTCCAGAAATTTTCATAACTGTCTTATGATGAGTTTTAAAGGAACAACTTGCCTTTTTAAAAAACAATGTTCTCCTTTAAAAAATGCCTATAAAGCTGTTTCTTAATTTTTTTTTAGGATTGTAGAAGAATACCATGACTTGTATACATTACAACGAGGAAGGATGGAGAATGATATTAAACAGTTAATGGCAGAAAGAGATATCTGGAGCTCAGCCACATATGAATTGGCCCTAAAGGTTGGTTCATCAGGAATCGTAAATCAAACTTCTTTTTATGGATAAAATTTCATTTTGCAAATTTCAGTTAGACAGAAAGTTAAAAAATGAAGATGCATATTTAACTGACAAATACTGTAGGTACAATGGACCTTGTAAAGGGAAAGTTAACATTTTTTGTTTGTTTGTTTGTTTCTTCACTATTGAATACCTGGCTATTTCCCAATTAAGGGCTCTTTTATTTTTTTCGCCCACCAGAACTTAGGAAGTCTGAGCAAGATTCTTCTTCTGTTGTTTGTGAACATGTTAAAAATTTTAGCTTTAATTTTACCGGTAATAAACTAGTAAAAGTGGTACTTATGTTTTCACATAATATAACTGTATTAGGATCACTGTATACCTCACTTTGTTTCTATTACTTTGGTATCCAAGATGACAAACGAATTGAAATGTGCTAGCCTGTGGACCACTACATTAATGTTTTAGAGAAATAGCAAAGTCCCACGATATTTTATTTTCTAAATGTTTTTTGTTTGGTTACCTATTCTCACACCTTGGACTTACAGTATTAATAGCAAATTACGATCTGGAACAGATTCCTGTTTTTGCCGCGTTTTCCTCGGGAATGGTCAGAGCTCATCTAGGACACAGTGTTCCATCTGGATCCAGAATTGTAAAAGGGACATCATCATGTCCAGAAGAAATAATCATGACAGTAAATATGTAATATAAGAAACAAATCTCGGAGCTAGGCAAGTTCACTAAGAGAAAAAAAGAAGACTAGTGAGTTCCCTTGCCCTAGAAATGTTTAAACAGCAGAGAACTGACCCCTGGCAGAGGGTTCTGTAAAAGAATACCTTGAATTGTTGGGGCTTCATGCAGGTAGTTTATCCCTAATGTCCCTTCCAACAGGAAATGACAGCTAGCATCTCACCTCCCTGAAAATAAGGACTTTATTTCTTTTGCCTACTGCTCTATGCACAAAGTCTAGAACAGTCACTCACTGAATGACTGTATAATTAATTCAGTATATCAGTGGTTCTTAAAGGAAGGTCCAAGCACCTCTAGGGGGTCTCTGAGACCTTTTCATGAGGTCAAAACTGGTTTCATCGAAATACTAAGATATTATTTGCCTTTTTCACTCTCGTTTTCACATGAGTGTATAGTGGAATTTTTATTGAAGCTGCATGATATTGGATATAGCAACAGATTGAATGCAGAAGCAAATATGAGAATTCAGCTCTATTCTGTTAAGGCAGATGTTAAAGAGATTTGCAAAAATGTAAAACCATGTGGCTCTTTTCACTAATTTTTTTTTGTTTGGGAAAATAAAGTTATTTTTCCATAAAAATGATATTTATGTTGACATAATGCATATTAATGTTATGTTTAAGTGAATTAACAAGTGTTGACTTTAAATAACTTCATTTTAATTTTCAGTACAGTACACATCAATAGATATAATCATACACACAAGAGCTCTTTGAAGTTCTCAACCATTTTTAAGAGCATTAGGGTTTTTGAGATCAAATTGTGTGAGAACCTTTGTTATATACTATACGTCAGTTTGGTTTTGGTTTAGTAGTTTTAGAAAAAATGAATTCATGATACAAACTAGCTCATGATTTACATAAGAAATTGCGATTGAGTTAATGATTCAATGAAAAATTGATGTGAAAGTGGTTTGGGTATAACAAATCACAGCCAAAAGGTAAGTACAGTGGCTTGTTAATGATTTAGGTTCTTAATTTTAGTCCTTTTTTAAAATAGGTAATTGAAAGAAATAGGGTCCTATTGGCTAAAAGACTCTACCTCAATGAGAAAGGCTGGAGGAAATACGCTAAGCATTTCATCACACTGCTGTCGAGCAAGGTAAACCTCAGCTCACTCAGGCCCTGGGGGAGGCTCCAGCTGTGGTGGCTGAAGCTGTGCAGCGGCTTTGCTAAAGTGATAGATTAAATTTTAAATATAGTTTTACATCTGTGCTGTATTGTGGGCAGAATGAAAAATCTAAGGGAAGGCTCTTCTTCCTATTTGTCTTCTATCCTAATTAAAGCAATTTAAGCAATGTATCTAAGTTAGTAACATTGCATATGTTATTTATAGTGTTATTCTATTAGCATTTAAACTAAAAAATTTTAAATAGCTGTGTTTATTGAAATAGTTGTACTATCAATGTATTTTATGCAATTTAATGGGAAAATTCAATGAGCACACTAAGCTGCAAAGGAGGAAAGTAGCATTTAGTGTTCCTAGAGTCAAACTATTTACCCTTGTCATTCCATTTAATTCTTAATTTAATTCTTATAACAATCCTATGAGATATATAGATGTGTGTGTGTGTGTTTGTGTACTACGCTGCCTCCCATGAACATTTTATGGGGAAATTGGGGTCTGTTGCAAACGAAAAAAAATCTTGTCTCTAAGACTTTGTGCCATGGGAAATCTATCTCCAATGAGACTGAGTAGTAGTGTCACTGATGATATTTTGAAAAAGGAATGTCTTTTTAACTTTTTAATCCATTTTCTATGGATGTTTCTAGTGTTACAGTATTAACAATGGCCTGGCATATTCTGATAACTATTTGTTACATGAAAAAATGAATAAGTGGTTTGATTCTATGCATTTTATCTAGGACACTTCAGACCTTGTATTGTTGCAGAACTTGACACAGAAATGGAAAAATTTAGTGAGTAAATTTAAACAGGAAGTGGAAGAGAATGAAGAGTCTACAAGGGAGAAATTGCAAGTCATTAAGGATTGCCTTACCGAATGGCAGCAGTTCTTCAGAAATAATAAGTGAGCCTCCAAGAATCTTGTTTGTCCGATTATACTGTGCCATGCCTGAATACTCAGTTTACTTCCTTCTCCCTCTCCTTTTGTCTCTTTTGCCTTGGGAGTACTCTTAACATCAATTTTGTCAGATGCCTGACAAAACCCTTAGAGGGTACCATCCCGTAGGAGCTTGAATGGTCCTGCAGTTTCTAGCACTGAACATCTTGATAGTCCATCCTGATCTCTCTAGCCACCTAGTGCTACTTCTATTTAAAGTCCAACTCTTTTTCTTTTCTTTTCTTTCCTCTTTACTACTGGTAAACTTGGATATCTAGATCTATCTGCAAATTCTGTAGCATAGTGCACGTGCAGAGAAGTAGAGTCGATGGGTGGCAGTTCTAAGGAGATTGGTTTTGATTGGCTCTCATACTGTCAAACAGAGCAAGCTGACAAAGAAAGAGGCTGCCTATAAAGTTGGTAAGTCTATGCTGAATGACCAAGTCACAGCCAAATTTTGTGGGAATCTACACTTTCAGTGCAGGCTGGACTCATCACATTTAGGTACCGTTTCCATTTCAGATTGAGAACAGCGGTTTCAGTTTTCCATATCCCTTAAGAGGTTTCCCAGGTAACAGATTTGGAAGTTCTGGAAGCTGAAGCGTGTACCCAGCCAGGCTGGTTGCCGCTGCCATTTCCGTTTGGCGACTCTCAGCACAGATGGCAGTGGTTGTCTTCTCCCTTTCTCTTTAGGAACAACTTCCTTTTTTTTTTTTTTATTCTTCAAGTACATTTGTCTCCATTTTCCTGCCACTACTTCCCCCTGTCCCCCCATTCCCACCCCTCAGTCCTTCCCCACTGTGGCTTTGTCCATGGGTCCTTTATACATGTTCTTTGATTTGACCTTTCCCCTTCTTTTTCCCCGTTACCCCCTTCCCTCCTTCTCTCTCAAGACTATCGGTTTGTTTTTTCTTTCAATGTTGCTGGTTATATACTTCTTGCTTGTTTGTTTTGTTAATTAGGCTCCACTTACAGGTGAGATCATGTGGTATTTGTCTTTCACCATCTGGCTTATTTCGCTTAGCATAACACTCTCCAGTTTCATCCATGCTCTTTAGGAACTTCTTTATCAAGAGCTTTAGAGATACTAAAGGAAATGTCCTTACCAGGAGTTGGGGCTCCTGACCTTAATTATTCATTAGGCTTCCTTCCTATTCATATATTGTTTTGACAGCTGTATTCAACCGGGATTATTTTTGTGGTGGGCCAACTTCAGATGCCAAAGACTCAGAGATCACCCTTTCAATACTATTCTGGCCTCTGACCCTGTGACCTTGTTCTAAGGCCTGATTAGAGTCTGAATGTATCTTTTTACTCATAAATTTAAAGATGATTGCCTATGGAAGAGGGGCTGAACCTGGAAGGCAGGCTTCAAAATCATTAGGGAAAAACATAATATTGTCACAGAGTGAATGGATTTGAGATTTTCTTTCTTTATACCCTGTTTTCAGACCCTGCTCTTTGTCTCTTTTCTTCTTTTAGTGGAAAAGACAGTTCATCCCTTAATAAAGAAAAAATATTTGAATCAGTTATTCTAGACTTCAGGCAGTGGCAAAAGGTAAGGCTTTCTAATGAGCAATGTGGTAATCAAAATACTTGCTGCTCCTCACCTCTGGCTGAGTCACGTGTCAGCCTTTAGAAATTCCATACTAAGTTCTCTGAGAAACAAGGAAAACAGCAAGGCTACAGGGGCTTTTACAATATTATTAAGTATTTTATTTTCAGTTCTAATTTAGATTTTTGGGTCAAATAAAGTTAGATTGCCAGAAAAAAAAACCACCCCAAAACACAAGGAAAAGATACTTGGGTGTTAGGGACTATCATTCTGATTCTCTCCTCTAATTGTCAGACATAGTGACATTTGTGTCTCTCCTACACCTGGCTTTTGTCTGAAGGACAAATTGGGCTTTTAAAACCAGTAACATCTTCTGAAAAATTGTGGTAAATTATCCATAACGTAAAATTTACCATTTTCACCATTCAGTGGGATCAAGTACATCTATAGCGGGGAGCAACCGTCACCGCCCTCCACGTCCAAAGCTTCATCTCCCAAACTGAAGCTCTGCCTGTTAACCACTGACTCCCGGTCCCTGGCAAGCACCACTCTGCTTTCTGTATTTGACTCCTCTCAGTACTTCATGTAAGAGGAGTCATTTAGATTGGGCCTCTTGTGACTGACTTATTTCCATGTGCCCAAATTGCCTTCCTTTTCAAGGCTGAACAATTCCATTCTATGTATTATGTCACATATTGTTTATTTATAACATCTTTTAAAAGTGTCTGAGCTATGAAAATAAGTTTTATTAATCAAATTACTCTCACGTTATAGTGGTCTGACAAAGGAAAATATATAAGGTAGTGAAATCCCTCCGAAGTGAATATTGCACTCAGGACCTGATGAAATCTCATCCAGATCCCAGGAGAACACTTCCTTTTCTTCTGGAATGACCCGAGCAGAATATGCTCAGAATTGATGATGTCTGTTGTCCTACATACAGTATAGCTAGTTTAGTGACTTTTTTTACTGTTTATCTGGCCATTTTGACATTGCTTAAATAAAATTGAAATAAATTATGCTTCTTTATTTAGTAGGAATAATAAGAACTCTCATTCACTAAACACTCTGTTAGGCGAAAGGTGCTTTCCATACATTGTCTTACTCCTCATGGCAGCCACTTGATGCCAGTTTTATCGTCCCCACCTCACAGACAGGGAGACTGAAGCTTAGACGCACTCAGTAACCTGCCTAAGTTATCTATAAATGGCAAGTGGCTGAATCAGAATTTCAGTCCATGTCCCCCCAACTCCAAAAATCCTACCCTGGGTGCCCTGAAACATGGCCCCCCTGTGCTGGCTACTCCCTCTGAAGTGTAGGTGACGTGGTTCCATTATCTGAGTCACATATAATGGCAAGCTTTACATAGAAATTATACTGTACTCTTTCTATAAATATTTATTGATATGTCATATATTGGACTTGGGGTTAGACAGACAAGTAAAACATGAATAAAATACAACCATTACATTCTAGGAACTTTCCCAGTCTAGTAGGGATCAAGTAAACAGATGTATTATATCCTTACCAAAGCACGTAGAAATTAAATGTGCTCAGCTCTCTGGGACTTAATTGCCTGTCACCAACTTTTTACCTGTATAGGATTTAATATAATTATTTTCATCCTGGTTAACTATGGATTGTCTTATAGGGTATCAACTTAATTTAAAGTCACTTCAATTTTGAAAATAAAATGTATGTCGTGTGAAGAAATTATATGAACAAATAATAATAGGAGATTTAACTCCCAAATAATTGAAGTAAAGATCTGGGTCGGCATTGATAAAATCATTAGTAGATAATGTGCTAATTTCCTTACTCCCTTTTCATTCTCTAGATACTTACTGAAGAAAAAGAGAAGTTTACTGGGGACTTTTTAGTGTCAAAACACGACTCTCTCAAGATTATTAAATATTTACAGGAAAACTGGACAGATATCGGCTTTAGGATATTTCGTCGCCATAAAAGTATGGAGGGAGAGATGCCGCCAGAGCACCAACAGATGGGGGAAATTGTGAAAAGCATAGGAAAACTCTACAAAGAACTTGAATTAAGAATAAATGGGGAAAATGGTAAGAAAAAAATGATAATTAGATTGCATGACATAAAGGATTTTAATGGTAATTATTTTCAATACAATTAAGATTTAAAATCAAGGTGATACATGAATATAGTTTTAGAAATAAAGCAGAATAAACCGTTGAGCATCACTTATGGAGAGATGATTCACATACCTTACAATTCACCTATTTAAAGTGTACAATTTGATGATTTTTAGAGTTTTCATAAATGCATACAACCATCATGACAGTTGGTTTTAGATAATTGGGTGATATCTTATAGGTCTTTTTTTCCTATTTTTTTTCAGTGACAGTTGATATATAGTATTAGTTTCAGGTGTAGTAGGTTTTGTTTTATTGTCTGTATTTTGTCTTGGTTTTGAGTCAATTCTTTTCATATTCCTGGATGTTTTTAATTAACGTTGGACATTGTGTGTGAGAAATTCTAGAGGCAATTTAAGCTTCTGTATGGCGCTATATATCAAAAGAATGATTTTAGTTTTTATCCTGGCAGGTTACTTAGTGTAGGGGCAGATCATTTTACTCCAGACAGGCACTGAGCCGGAATGAGTGTGGCTTCAGGCTCTGCGAGGGCCTGTCTGTTTCTGGTCCCCGCTCATTGCTAAGGTGTAGCCTCTCGGGGATTCAGGGGTCCCAGGTGAGAGCCTGGTGTGCTTACTAGAGCCTCTACTCCTTGGCAGATTTTGAACTTCAATTTTATTCCCTAGTGGGGTAACCAAATATCCCAGTTTGCCATGAGAGAAATTGAAATAACCCTCTGCAACCCATGAGAGACATTAAGAACCCATCACAGCTCTTCCAGTCACTGTGTCATATGTTAAGAATCGGTCCTTCTCAGTAAAGTGTCCCAGGCAACCCCGAGGCATCGGCTGCCACTGTCGTTCCACATCACACTACTCTGGGTGGGAAAGCACAATTTTAATGATCTGTAGCAGCAGTAATATAGTTATAGACAAGATGGCAGTGCTCATCCATGGGAATACATGTAGAGTAGGCAGAGAAAAATGGGTTAGGAAATGGCTTAAAATAATGAGAAGTCAAAATGATCATCACTTTGAATACTCTCAAGAGATCAAAGTTTACTGATGAAGGCAGTGAAAATATTTCATCAAATATAAGAGAAAGTTTGTTTTTAAAGTATTTTTCTTTATATATCTCTTAGATGGGAGCATTTTTATTTCTTATTTTGCAAATGAGATAAGACAGAGGAATAGAGAGGTGGTTTTGCTGTGGTCCAACAGGGAATCATTCAAAGACTGGGACCCATATGTCCCGCTGGCTCAGACTGAAACCATAAACTTCATGAAAACCTGAACAGCGACTTAAAAAATAATTCAAGAAGTAGGTTCTCCTTTCTCTTACTAACTATACCTATAATCATTAAGGACCTGTTTATCATTATTGACTTCTTAACAAAAAGACTCAATGAATTAACGCCTTTTACAGAAAACTAGTTCATAGTTTCTAGATTTAATGTATTTGGTTCTCTGCTGAGAAGACAGGAAGCCTAGAATATAAGCTGTGATCAAAGAAATAGTCTGTCAGTCAGAAAAGCACCGATTACACAGTGATCATTCACTACACATTTATTTAGGAACTACTCCTTACACGATATTCTGCTAAGCAATATATAGGATAATAAAAAAGTGAAAAACAATATACCCAGGCCCATTAGTTTTTATAATTTATTATTGAAATGGTACACTTACAGATACTTCTAACAATTCATGCTTTTCTTATTTTTGTAGGTATCTCTAGAATTCTTACGAGTTTGATTAGTTCTACTGACTTCTGTTCTTTTAAGATGGAAAGCCTCCTGGAGCTTCCTGAAACGTTTCCTGAAGAATGGGAGGGACTTAATGAAAAAATTAATGAAATGAGATCTCAGTTGGATACATCGTTAAACATTATTGGCACTGTTCCACAGTACTTAGACACAGATTCTGGCTCGTAAGTTTGCAGAGCTCTCTGCTGGACAGAAGAAGGGAATCTCGGTTTCTCAACTGCATTTTCCCAGTATCTAGGCTCAGCAACAGGGAGCTGGGGTCAGATGAGGAGCCTTGAAGTCCTGTTCCTCCCAGGAAGAAAGCCATCTGATTGGGAGTGGGAGGGTGCAGAGCCCTGGGTCCCTGACTGCGCGAGTCCTCAGTGGAGAGTCTGCCTCGCTGAGCTGGGAAGAGGAAGAGAGCGGGTAGCCTTGGTTCAGTTACCATGGACTCTTGCCTTTCTTACTGAATCTTCATAGGTTGTCTTGAACAGAGGTTTCTTCATTTGCCGTTTGTTCTTAGGACCATTTCCAGAGGCTTACAATGCTTTTTTTTTTCCTTTCTGTTTTTGTTTTTGTGTTTGTTTTAAAGAGACAATCCTCCCAGTTTCCCTGGGGAATGGGTCAGCTTTACTCTGTCATGCTGGAAGCTGATCTCTTGAGAGAATTTAGAAATTCATGCTTCTCACTTTATGGTCTCCCTGGTCTAGAAGTGAATATAAAGGGAATAAATGTGAGTTTTTACAGTAGAGAGCTAACACCGAAGGTAATACCTGCATTGTCCAAAGAGCATCAGCCCGGTTGCTGTTGGCGTTCGGAAAGCCACGTGAGTGAGGTAGCCCATATACCAGAGAAACCAAGGCTTTGTTCACCTTTCCCTGCGTTCTCAAACATGGGTCCACACTGAGTTTACTCGGCCCACCCAAATAAAACCCTTTCATTTAACTGATAGTTACTTTAATATTCTAAGGAAGTCACTTATCTTTATTTTACTTAATTTTCCCTCCAGGGTGCTTGAAGCACATATATTTAACATGATTCAACAATGGCATTTGAAGATAGGCAATGAGATTACCAATGGTAACATTGAACTTCAGCGCCGTGTACGTACTAGTAGAAATCTGTGAGGTTAATTTTGCCTTGGCTGGGAATTTTCTTTACAGAAAAATCAGGTCATGCCTATGCAATTAAAGCAGGAGATTGGGAGGGCAAAATGGAAACTTAGATAATTACTAAAGGATTTAAATGCAAAATGTTCCTGCCTGTGGAATGAAGTTTCAGAGGCGATAAAAAAAATTTTGAATTATAATTATTACCTCTGCTCTTTACTTGGTACTGAATTTTTTTCCCTTAATAGGGATGTAGCCATTTTAAGGATTTATGTTGGTGCCCCTGACTTGCTGAGGGGATGACAGGAACCTGTTACTGGGAGGAAAGACAAGATGCCACAAAACTATTATTGGCCTGTAATTATTAGAACCAATAGAATTGTTCTGCGGTTCAGAACAACTGAACCCGTGGACTTCTTAACCAGCACAATGTGAAATAACTTCCAATGGCCAATAAGGCCATATTACTCCTGGCCTTAATTATAATCTAAATTTACACAGAAAAGAATCTTATTAGAAGACTTAATATGATCAAATAAATTTAATTCATTTTAATATTGCTTAAATTAGGAATTTGAAAGGCAGTTTCTCAGTTATATGGGAATACTACTTAGGCAGCATTACACGATATCACAGCCTGTGAGCATGTTATAAATACGATATATAGACACTAAGAGTTGAGGAGCAAATATATTAAGACTGGAAATATGGATCCAAGATTGGGAGAAATGTCTATGATTTGGAAGGCAATCTAAATTAATTTAAAAAGGGGAGCAGAGTGCCTGTCACAGTGGGACTCACTAAATATTTGTTGAATGAAGTAAGGATGAACATTCCAGATATGCAAACAATTAAAATAGAGAAATGTACAAAGTTCTATAGAAACATAGGAAAGGGACTGCAGAATAGATCATATGTAAGCCTAGAACACTTGGGAACTCACTGAACAGAGAACAGGGCTGGGCATTTGAAGCGAACGGTGTGTTCAACCAATGTCTGCAATTCATAAAGCTTTTGCATTTTGTTTCTGCCACCGGCCTCAGCAAACGCCCTGACACGGAGGTTCCCAAACTCCCTGTTCATGGTGCCTGTTACGCCCCAGTATTTTCACACTCCTCAGCCAAAAGAAATGCCACCCAGCTCAGTTTATTAAGTAGGTAGGTTCAAACAATTTACCAAGTATTGATGTCCTAACAACTTAGTAACTGTTTGGAAAAGCAAAAATTGTTACCAAGAGTTACAACACGGAGGTCTAGCACTGAAGCAGCCCCACTGCCCCCGCGCCCCTGCCAACCAGCCGAGGCCGGGCGAGTGCACTCGGAACCAAGAGAAGGAAACCCCAGGGCTGCCAGCTGCAAGCAGTCAAATGGGTTTTCCTGAATATGAAAAAATGAAACTCAAGACTAATTATCGTAACAGCCAAATAACTAAATGTTCCCAAATAAGGCAAATGTTTAAATAACTATAGGCAATTAAATAATTGCTTTACTTCAGTGTCTTCTCTATGAACATCTTTGCTCCACCCCCTGCTCACAGAGCTCCACCAACAATTTCTAGTTCTGGCATTGCTTAATTGGAACTGTTGCTTGCTGAAGGAAACTGAAAAATTTAATGTCTTAGCTTACTTTTTTATATATACAAACATTGAAAAGAAAAAAAACCCTTTTTTTTGCAGTCAGAATTACTAAGGGATGTTATGAACTTGGGCCTTGTATAACTTCTCTAACCTTGAACTCAGATTGGATGTTGCCACCCTAGCGTCCTGTTTCTCTTAGATTTTCACACAGTGCTTGTTTTTACCACACAACCACCAATAAAACCAGCTTTGCAAAGGTATAGTGTCATCAGAAGTGAAATAGAGCATCTAACATTGAAATTGTGAACTCTGTCAGGTTCATGCTGTGCCTCACCGGTGTTGTATTTAAAATCCCGTCCCAGGGGAGTGGCTCAGTTGGTTGGAGCATCGGCCTATACACCAAAAGGTTGCGGGTTCCATCCCTGGTGGGGTGTGTACAGGGGCAATCAATCAATGTTTCTGTCTCATCTCTCTCTCTCCCTTCTCCTCTCCCTAAAATCAGTAAAAATATCCCTGGGTGAGGATTTAAAAAAAAAAAGAATTTAAAATCCCATGGCAGCCTTGAGAGTTCACTGTGGAGCCTAGGATGTCTTGGTGCACGATTTAGGAGCTGCATTAATACCCTTGACCAAACTAAGGAAGAGTTAGTGTAGTTTAGTGAGAAAGAAAAAAAAACTTTGTACACACACACACCCCAGCTGAGTAGTGATAATTTAATTTCATTAAGAAGGAATGACAGTGTTGTTGGAAATTAGACACAGGTATGGTCATTTCTGTTTTTAAATTTGGCCTGGCTTTTACGGTTTGGTTTACTTTAAATGGGTCATTTATGTTATAATTACTTTTTAACAGGCAGATGAATTGCATATATCTATGATCCAGTGGGTGGTGAATTTGCTGATATTAATGGTCCCTGACTTTCCTGACCAAGACACTCTCCTAGAGTTGGAGGAGAAAAGTGCTGAAAAACGTGACATAGGTATTGTGACGCTAGAGATAGATGCGGTTGCCCTGACAAAAAAGTTGTCCAAGTACTCCAGCTATTTGAACAGGTAACACTGGTTTTTTTATCCCTGCCCCTTTGAAGAAAATTTGGGACATAAAGCAGGGGGGGAAAGGGCAGTTAAGCAGCAGCAATAAGAAATCGTTTTAAAACCTAGAAACTAGTACTAGTTCAGTTTTTAAACCAGCTTCAGCACTGCCCAATGGAATATGAGATTTTGGTGTTTTCCCAATGGCTTTAGCATACTTTTGGAAATAACGTTAGCATGGGCAGGATGGGAAGTATGTACAGATGTGGGAGTGAGAATTAGTGGGGGAAAAAAAAGAAAGAAAAGAAAAGGCCCATTTAATTAGACTAAGGAAGAGACGTCTTGCACTGTTGCGCAGGCTAGGGGCGTTTGTGAAGAAGCTTGTCGTTTCCTGTGTAATTTCATGCAAAACTGAATGTATACTCTTACCTATTTCAGTAAACACCAACCAAAACATCTCTTAAAAAAACAAAAAATAAAAAACCCTTATATCTGGAAAGCTAGAGGATTCTCACCAAATAAAGACGAGGTCTGAAAAAAATGTAAATTATTAACTAGTAAGCGTACTGTTACTATGGTTGCTTCAAATTTGGGAGGTCGCCTTTATAATCTAGCGACTTCCCCCCTTCACTTCCATTTAATGTTACCGATGGTCAAGAGCGAGAGGAGGGGAGGGGAGGGGAGGAGGAGGACAGCTGTGAGACACTGAGAGGCAATTTACACTCTGTGGTGAGTCTGGAGCTTAATTACTATGGGAAATTCCCACTGTATCTGGACTTAAAACACGCAGGAGAGGAACCAACAATAACAGGTCATGCTGTGTGTTGTGTGCTTTCCCCCCCAGTTCTTGTAAAGGGATGGTAACAGCGATGGCTCTGAGTATAGCCGGCAGCTTACAAAAAAATCCTGCTAAGGAGCTCCACGATCTAAATAACATGAAGGTAATCCCTCTGCCTTCCCCTTTTGTTTTGTTTAGAGCGGATATTTTAGGCTCGTTACCCCCTCACTAGGGTTTTCTTAATTTCAAATTTATCCCTATCCTTGACTGCTAGCATCTTCCCCCCATCTCCCGGACAGCCTCTTCCTGACAACAATCTTTATGACGTCGAACTCTGGGACTCCTGTGGCTTCATCCATAGCCCACGAAGTGACGGGCGGAGGCGGGCCTCCCGAGGAGCCTTGTCTGATGCGGGTACGCTGTGGTGCGTGCCGCTTGTGCCACCCCAGTCACAGTCTAGCATTTGAGGAAGACCATCTTGCCAACCTCCCGGACTGATACTTGGATGACATTAATGATAGTTCCCCGCAATCTAATATTTCAGGCAGTTCCTTTGCCATAAATGAGAGTTGCACGGTGTTGGATAGGATTCTGGAGTGGGAGGACTCTTAAGTAAGATTCTTTTGGAGTTTGGTCACTTACCAATGACTCTTACCCTGGCCTTCCACCTTAACTGCCAAAATTACTTCTGCAAAAAGTCTTGGGGATCACCCAGTTCCCCGCCAGCACCGAGGCAGCCCAGTAACTCATGGCCCTGTTTACCGTTCACCTGACCCCGGCCTGTGTTGATTCAGTCTGGCCGTGCAAACCGGAGCTACAGAAAAATGCCGGGGGTAGTTTTCCAAGAGGATTCAGTTCTAGAGATCCTTGTTCCTGCTCCTATTTCTGAAAGAAGCTGGTCAGCACATCAGCTGCTCCACTTGGGAGTGAGAATTGCTGGTCATTAAGGCTTCGTTTGAGGCGTGGAGACACCATGTCAGAGTCCTGGCATCCACCGAGAGTGGCCTAGGACCACTGCAGCCTAGACCACCTCCTGGCAACCTAGAAACTCAGCCCCCAGGAAAGAGACAGCCATCTTTTTTCATGGACTTTACAGGTGGACCATCTGCACTGGTCCAGGCATCTGGAATTAGAGTCACTGATGCCCTGGCGCTTAGTCACAATCCGAGTAAGTGACAGACTGCTTCGGAAGGATCTCTGAGATAACCCTCAGCAGGCCAAGACTGGGAAAGAGACACACACTGACCAACCCCCATAGTGCTGAGGATACGTGGGAGGGAAACGTCTCCTCTCGGTACCAAAGACACACCCGCCATGGTGGAAGAGAGAGGACTCCCAGCTCGGAGCCCGCCAGACGGGCTCCAGCTGCCGCTGACCCCCTCCTGAGTAATTCATTAGGGTCCTGCCATCCACCTGGGGCTGCAGTGACATTCATGTCGCCCAAGTGCTATTGCCAGTTTCAGGGCCTCGCCCTCTGGTAGGATTGTGACTCTGAAGGGGAGTGGCTGCCGCTTGCAGCGTTGCAGCCAGGGAACTCAAGGAAGTCCCAGCCTTCCTGCCTTTTGGGGGGGGCCTGGGATGATGGGTTCTTGAACTATCTTGCCACCACAGTCTCAACAGTGCCGCCCTATAAAACACTGTCTCCCACAGTCTTCTCTGCCTCCTGCTTTTGACCCACCGCAAGAGGCTTAACATGCAGGACTATCTTTTTCCTCTTAAATTCTCCTTCCTCCCAGACATGAATTTTAGCCCTTTTACTTCCCACCAGAAGCGTTTATTAACACAGTCCTGAGTCAGACTTTATTAGCATTAAGTAAGAGTATCGATGGAAGGAGATCCACATGCATTGATTAGCAACCAAGCTAACCTGGTCTAAAGCTGGTCAAAGGTAATGTTGAAGGTTTTGAAAGAAAATTTGCTTATCTCTGTAGATTACTGTGAACTTTTATCAAGAAACCCCTATTGACTTTTTCCTCCCATCAGATGTCTTATGACAGTATTTTCAATGTCTTAGAAGTTCATAAGAAAATGACTAGGATATGTTTGACATAATGCAAATTCAACTGTAGAGGTTTCTCATGAATGATGAATTAACTGTGAAGAAATAAAATTTCAAAAATATCATTACTATTTTCAGAATTAACTAATATTCTAGGTACAATATAGAAAGTTAAATAATCTGTGCATCAAATTTTGTAGCCGGAAGGACCTGAAGAACTTTCTGTGCCTCAGTAGACACGGGGTGAGCACCTTTTCTAGAACAGAGCTTCAAATCTTTATTCATTCACTTAATTGGGGCACGGTAATATTTTTGTAGTGGGAAAGAGCCCAGGTCACCTGGATTAGAATCCCAGGACCATGTTTCACTACATATAGGAGCTTGAGCAAGATATTCAACTGCTTCTATTCCTTAATTTCTTTATCTAAGAAAAATGAGGATAATAATAGTATAAATCTCAGTTCTCATCACAAGAATACAGATTTTATAACTATGGTGAGAAATGTTAACTGGATTTATTATGGTGATCTCTTAGTAATATATATAATATTGATTTTCTATGTTGTACACCTGAAACTAGTATAATGTCATTACAATTATACCTTAAAAAACAGTACATATCTCATATTGAAGATCAAATGAGTTAACATGTGCACAATGCTTAGAAAAGTCTGGCATACAATTAAGTACCATGTTAAGTGTTTGCCACTTTTATTGTTATGGTTAAGCAATCACAGTTGACCTGGTCAGCCGCATAGTTGTTGGGGCAGACCATTTGCCCACAGTAAATGCAATGTCTCTGCATCTGATTTTATGACACTTAACTACACCTTTTCTCATTCTAACAGTGTTAGTAAGCAATGATAAGGTTTTAGGTCTATATTCATAGAAAATCGCTGCTGCACAAATCTGTGAACTGAAGTGATACAATGTTAATTGAATGGAGCTATACTTGGAATTGCATTTAGCCGTTCCTCGTTCCTCGGTAGGAGTGAGTGAATAAATGAACTGGTGTAATCTGATTTTTTCTGCTTCTCAGAAAGAATGTTATGAGTGGATCACTACATGCTCTCACCTCCTTTCTGGGATGAAAGGCAAAAAAATAAGGTTATTGACACCTAAAGAAAAGGAACACCTGCTTGAAGAAGAGGTATTTGCCATGTGCTAGCACTGGTCATTATTCAGGTTCTTTGTGTGTTTTAGCAGACGAGAGGTCAGCGACATTTCCCAGTGCGCGTCCCTGGGATCCTCTCCTATGTCCCACACAACTCGGGGCCCCCTTTGCAGGTTTCTCTTTCTTCTCTAGTCCCTGATGTGAGTAGGTTCCTGTCCTAAGGCCTCGTCCTCCAGCCACTTCACAAGTTCTTTGGTGACATAGTTCAGTTTCTTGGCTTTAACCCAAATCCCTCCATCCAAACTTCAGACATCCTGCTACTTACCGGATATTTCCACTTGAATATCTTAGGGATGCCTCAGACTCACACAGCCTCATCTGAACTCATCCATCTCCCCAAACCTGCTTATCCAAGTTTATTATCCCTGTGAATCTCGTTAGCATCTCTGTGGTGACCTTAACCATAAACCAGGTATCATTCAGGATGCTCCCTTTTCCTAGCTGTCCCATGTCCATCCATTCAATCAATCAATCAATCAATCAACCAACCAACCAATCAATCACTAAGAGCTGCCTCCTAAATATCTCTTGAATCCTTATCCTCCTCACTCCTTCGACCCTGTGTTGTTCACTGCCTCCTCTTGCCTTTTTCTCTTCTCCCTGTTCTTCTCTTAGCCCACCCCCTGCTTCCTCCTCTTCAAATCTACTTTCCTGTTGCTATAGTGATTGTTTAAAATGTAAAACATATCAATCAGTGTATTGGTTTCTCGTTGCTTTCAGGATAAAATCCAGTCTTCCTGACACGACACACCACGCGCCCTGGTCTGTCTGATCCTAAGTTTCTATCCTGTGAACTAGAGCACTTGCCTTCTCAGAGCCGGTCATGCACACAAAGTATCCTCTCCCTGTGCCACCTGTTTTCTTTCACTCACTCTTCAGGGGACCCAGACATTATCTTCAGAAAACCTGCCTGGGCAACCCTCTCTTTTACCCGCATCCACTACCAGAGCAAAATTAGGTATTTCAACTATTTGTATGTACTCATAGCATTTTTTTGTTCACTAAATTGTGAACTTCTGAAGGGCAGGGACCATCCTTAACCTTTTGCATCCTTATCATTAGCATAGGGCTCAGTGGCAGGATTAGTGCCCTTTAAATATTTTTCAATAAATAATTGCTAATAAAGCACTAAAATATTTATATGCACTAAAGTATAATTATAATATTTTTTTATGTCATAGGACATTATAAAAGAGTACATTGAACCTGAAATCGACGTGCATTTTGAAGAGGATGAAGAAGGAAGTGAGAAGGATAAGAAATTTGAGGAAGAACAGGAAGAAGAACAAGCAGAAGTAAGATTATTTAGTACTATCTTTTTAAAGAACTTACATACGTACTGTTGCAAATAAGAATAGATCATCTGGAGAGAACTCTTTAATTTCAAGGAAATGCCTTTCCTCATATAGATTTAACCATATCTGTAGACACACTTATCTCTTAATTTTCTGAGGGAGGAGTGTCCTTTTACCTTTCTAAATCCAGCCGTTTCCATTGGCCTCGTTCACAGCTATACTTCTATTAACTACATAGTCAACCTCTCACCCGGATGCTGTTGCTCTATCTCTTCATTGCCTGATTCTTTAAACAGTCATGAAAACTCCATGTTTCCACTTCTGCAGCTCTCATTCGGGGCTGCCCTTCTGCCCTCCTCCCAGACCCCCTCTGTCTCCCTTTTTCTCACCCAGGCTTCACCCCTGTTGGGGCATTATTAGTAATAGGGCAACTGAAATACTAACAAAAATACAATGATAATTACCAGTTACTGAGCACCTATATGAGCTATATGCTTCACACATGTTACCTCATCACCTCCCCCATTTTATAGGTAAGAAAACCTAAAATGAAGATAGTTGACTGTCTTACCCAAAGTCACATAGCTGTAAGTAGCAGAACTAACATTCAAACCCAGATAAGTCTGGCAAAGAGCCCTTGTCAAATAGAGAGAACACTGTCTGAATTCACTTCCCTGATGTTTCTTCTCTGTGATAGTTTCAATGCTGGCATGATTGGCATGACCCCAGGCGCCAACCTAGGTCCTCCACTCCCTGTACATGCAGGACAACAGACCAAGAAGGTCGTACAGCACCCAGGCCTCTTTGGACAAGCATTTTTCTTTTTTATTTATGGCATAGTACTTGCATATAGGAGGCACGAAATAAGCGGACAACACTATTATTGTGTCACTAAATTCTGTTATACCTTTTAAACCTGTAATGCATTGCCTCTCTTCCTCCTTCTGTGGCCTTAGATCAGGCCATTCCCTCTCTATTTCACAAACTCCTATTCAGCTTTCAAAGACCATTTCCTCTGCAGAAACTTCCCTGATTGCCTAGGCAGAATGGAGGGCCCTTTTCTGGGTACACACAGCTCTTCAAACACACCTCTTTGCTGACAGTAATTGCATAGACCATAATTATTTTATGGCCTATCTCTCTTACTGTACTGTAAGTTCCTGAGGTCTAGAAGAAATCCACTTTATTTTTCTCACAGTTATCTCCCCTTGTCCCTGCTTCCCCATCCACCATAATGTATCGCACAGTGTTTTCTGTAAGTTTTCAAAAAATGCTTGTTAAATCGTTAAAGCAAATGGAAAGCGAAAGCTTCAGACACAGGCCAGGCACCTTGCCATGCCACTGTGTCACCGCCAGCTCACTGATGGGTCCTTGGTATTTCTGTGTCCTAGAGAGCTGCGACGTCTACAGAGAGTGAAAAACTCATTCGATTCATTGGAGAAGACGAAAATGTTCATTCCAAACCTCTTTTTGAAAAGGATATGTTATCTTCCTGGGTATGTATCTGAAACCCAGTATTTAAATATATTCATCCAGCATATTTCTATTGATAACTGCGATAAGCACACCTCTAACCATAAGAATCATTGGGAAATTGGAAACCTTTAGACAGTGGCTGTGGAAATTCAACAGGAAAACAGATTTAAAATTCCTCCACAGAAAGTTCTAGGACCATGGTAGAGGTGTTTTTCCCCCCATATTTTTATTCCCTCGATATTTGTAAAGTTTCCTGTTGAGCTGAGAGATCTTATTGGATTTTGCAATGTTATGTACTTAGTGAAGTAAAGTATTAAGATAAATATAGATAATTTCCTTGATATTTAACTTGATTTATTCAAGAAACATGTACACCCTTCTATTTATTTTTTTAGCCTTTTCTTCCTTCCCTATTTCTTTCTGTTGATGTTGTTTTCCCTGCTTCTTCCTTACAACTCTAATCAAATCTGTGTCCACCTGCAGCATGAATAATTTGGAAGCTGGTGTGCTATTGGCCATAGGAAATCCCTATTCTTTTTGGTTGTTAAGAGTGGGCTTAATTATCTACTGTATAAATATTGAATAGGAAAAAATATTCTGGAAGGCTTGGTCCAGAGCATCCTGAAGAAGTAGAGAATTAATTGTTGGGATTCCCATTTTATTCATTGCACATATTTCCTTTGTCAGAGAAAGTCAGCTCATCAAGGCACATTGGCCCCAAAGTATCTTGAAGCAATGGCTGTGATCGAACACACACAGGAGAAGTTAATGTGAGTATGAAGCACCACAATGGTAAGGAGACGAAGAGGCTGGCCAGGAGGTTTGGCCAAGAAAGCCGCACTTCTTGGCTGACCACCGGTTCTCATGCTTCCTTCGTCCTCACTAGTGGGACGGGCATCTCCAAACACTCTGCTAGAGTCAGCGAGCTGCCCTGCTGCTGTAGGGACACTTGTCCTACCCATAGTGGAGACGGCGGAGGCCTAAGTGTGTGTGCGGGAGGGGAGGGGAGCGGGATGCTAGACGCGATCCACTTCAATGTGTCTCTGAGAGGTGAGCAAGAGAAACAGATGGAGCAGGGGGAAACTGCTGTGTGCAAGAGAGGATGTTATATAACCCCCAACGCAGGAAGGGCGGCAGACTTAACATGGCTGTGGATGGCAAGACGGCAGCGTAGCCGTGTAGACAAGTGCTGTTGTTATTAAGAAACACATCTCAGGCTGATTGTAGAATCTGTTTTTAAAGGTTCTGGAAAAGAAGGGAATGAAAAAAAAGACTCTGTGTTTCTGGGCACTTATGCTCAGGATTTTCTTTCTAACTAAGGGACACTATTGGATTTAGTTTGTTGAAGCACATCAATGAAGAGAAGCAGAAATAAACTTCTGAAAAGGGAGTCTTTGGCTATTGACAGAGAATTTCAAATAGCCGAAGGTCAGATCTCGCTGAGACGTGATAACTATGCTCTTAAACCCCAGCACGGCTGCCGCTCTGCCATGGCCGTCCGGAGTCACTCCCAGGTCCCAGGCCATGGCTGATCACTGATTCGCCACTTCCCTTATTTGCACCCGCCATCGTCAGACGCATTCGTCTGATCCCACTGTCTTGTTTAGGCAAGGAGTTTTCATAAGTGACTGACATGTTTCTGAACCTTTCCATTTTGTTGTGTTTCTCTGGACTTGGTCCACATCAGAGAGGTTCAAGACCGAGCCAGACGAGCAGAGCAGAAGTTTGATGAGGTAAAGGAGAAATTTCATTTAACCCTCATGAGAAATAAAGAACTGGAGAAGGAACTGGAGGAAATATTGATGAAGTCTAAAGAGAAGGAGACTGAAGGAGGAGAAGAAGAAAATGAAGGAGAAAGAGAAGGGGAAGAGGACGACGAAGAAGAAACCGGGCCAGCAGGAAGTTCCTCAAAACCTCTGAAGAAAGGTGAGGCTTGCTTTCCCATTTGCTTTATTTAAGTTGTATTTATGAAAGAAAACTTGATTGGGTCACAGATATTTTAGAAAAGTATCAATAAATTTAGTGTTATCTCCTAGTTCATATTTCTCATAGGCCTGCACATACATTTAACTATGTAACTATCTTATTTAGACAACTCACAAAAAAAGAAAACCAAATGACTAACAACTGTAAACTAGTAAACTAACAGAGAATTTTGACTTATAAAACTGGCAAAGATTTTTTAAAACAAAAGAATACAATGCTGGTCAGAAGGGGCAAAGTAGTTAGTTTTAGAGAAAATTTGTGGATAGACAGGCAGATATACGCCCTTCCAAAAATAACTTGAGAGTACGTGTGGATGTGCCTTAGTTGAATTAATAGTTTCACCTTTGAGAATCTAAGGAAATAATCTGAAGTACAGGGGAAAAAATTAATGCACAAAGATGTTCAGTGTATTATATATAATAGGAAAAAAATAGATGTAATGTCTCTCTCCAATCATGGAAGAAAGATTAACTAAGTTATGCTACATTAATATACCCGAATGTTATAGAACTATTAAAATGGTGTTTTTGAGGAGTTTACAATGACATGGGAAATTCTTGTGTTAAAGTATCAAATGCAAGAAATCATATATGATAGTATTTTTTAAAGCTAGAAAGAAAAGGCCAGAAGTAAATATACCCAAATATTGACAGACATGATCTCTGGTTGATGGGATTTTATGAGGAGTTTTTGTCTTTTTTTTTGGTGCCTGTTGGGTTTTCTGTGATGGGAATAACCTCTATACTCCAGGAAAAGGCATTTAATTCTTTATTTTCTCATCTCTAATTAGTGCTGTAATATTCCCTCAAGCAGTTCTCAATATCTCCAATATTGGAGACTCTTTTTATTTTTCTGTCATCTTCAGCCTGTGGTCTCTTCCCAGGACAACTCCTGGCACAAGGACTAGGCAGGTACCACTTTCTGTTTTCTGCTGTCACCCCATCTCTGCCTGTGTCCCCAGCAGCAGCCGTGAGGCATCCAGTCCCTTGTGGCCTCCAGCCCCAGGTATCATGTATCTACAACACTGTGTGAGGAGGAGTCTGGGCCCATTTTCTCTCCTCTTAACTCTGAACTGGTAGAACGTTAACTATTCCTCATGTGACAGTCCTTTTGCTTAAGGTTTAGATATGGGTCAGATAAGTTTCATAAATTAAAAAAAATTTCATCATCTTAAATTGTGGAACAATTTTATCCTGGTAATTTGAAACCTGAATTTTTTTCTTGATGACAGAAAAATAAATATGCAAACCACACAAAAGGCCTATGAGTTAAGCTAGAGAGGTCACCTCCATATGGAATGAGTGACTTTAGTTTTGTCCATTTCCATAAAGGTCTTGGGAGTCAGGTGAAATCCAGAATTTAACATTTTTAGTCATCATAGATAGAGCATAGCTGTGCACAGTTAGTCCACAGTCTACAAACGATAACCTAGACAAACACACAGTCCCCTCTCCTGCCTTCCGGACACCCGTCAGAGCCATTGCCTGGGGCTCGGAAGTGTAGGAGGGAAGCCTGACCACGTTGAGGGGAACTGTTTCCTATGCAGGGTGGTCCCCATCCTGTGTAGGTGACTGGGACATTTTCTCTGGAAAATCCTGTTACACATTCCTTCGGGTTAGCAGGCAGCTCCTAGTAAAAACGCAGATATCCCTGGAGCAACGGGACACTCACTTGCCACATACAATGTCATATTGTTAGGAGTTAGTGCAGGGAGCCCACTTTTCTCCTGGGAGCTGCGCAGTGAAGGAAGGGAAGGTGATAGCGGTAAAAGCAGGAGCTTTGTGAACGTCGAGTACAAAGAAGATCTAGACAGAGTAGAGAGAGATAAATACTTTTGTTTTATGTCAGTATTTTTAATAATTAGCAAATCATTGTGTTCTGAGCTGTGCATGGAGAAAGGAATCAAGAGGGGTGTTCACAAAGATGAATCTGACCTTGGTGAGGCCCATGATTAGGAGTGAGGAGACCCACTTAACAGCAAGATGAGGGTGTGAGCAAGGTGACACTTAACAGCAGGACGAGGGTGGAATGAGGCGACCAAGCGTGGGACGGAGGTAGCAGCAGCCAGTCAGCAGGCTTCAAACTGCCAAGCTGGGTGTCGTGGAGCAGCCGCGGGCAGCAGGCTCGACGGCCGGCCGAAGGCCTCCCGCACCCATCCTGAGGGTGGGGCTTGCATAGGGCCTGGGTGCGGGAGGCTGGACAGAGGGACCAGGAGACAGGACGGGGGAGAGGGATGGACATGGTGGACCCTGGACACCCCCTCTATTTGAATTTCTTTTTTCTGCCAAGCTTGTGGTACACGCAAGCTGAAGGGAGGAAATGTTCTTCCTTTTTCTCTTCCCTCCTTGACCTCTTCCAGGACCCAGAACTCAGGCCGACTGACTACACTTAAATGTCAGGAAAATGCGTTCTGAATCCCATCAACAAAGTCAGCTTCAAATTTGGGGCACAGAACCTGTTTGTAGCTTAGCAGTTGCTCAAGCAAAACAGAATTCTAAAAAGGCTTTGTAAAGTAGAACATCTTTAGTAACCATGAGATAGTGCTACTAGAACACTAATTGTTTTTGTCTTTTCAGGGGCGCAGCGCAAGGAGGGTTCTCTCACCAGCAAATCCAAACCCCGGACTAAATCCAATAGTAAGACCAAGCCCAAGTAGCATCCATAGGGCACTGAGCGTCACCGTGGCTGCCCGACCTGGACATACTCCGGTGTCTCTGTGCTGGTGAGGTAACATCGTGGCTCCATTGGAGGGACCCCCTTTGCAACAGCTATTAGAGAAGCCACGACATACAACCCAAGACATTTTCTTTAAAAGTCACGGTGATGGCTGTAGGGAATCAGTACATTAGCTAATTTTCCAGATTAAATACAGCTTGTGCAAAAGTTTGCTAGCCTCTTTAATTGATTTCCTAACAGAGGTCTGTGAAAATAGCTGTTTCTGTCAAGAAAATACTGCTTTTTGAAGACTTTGCCCTCTGTGGAGAAGAATGACAAATAAAAAGCATTAATTTTTCAATTTCAAAGAGGATCCTGATATTACTCTTAGGTTTCTGAAGCATTTTCAAATTTCTTATGGCATTTCTATTTCAGGCAATCTTGTGATGTATCTGATCTTCACAATAACCCTATAGAGGAGGTGGGGGAGATACTGTTATCCCCATTTCTCAGAAGATGAAACGGAGGCCCCAAATTATTATAAGACTCCCCGAAGGTCACCGAGCTGATTGACATCAGGGCCCCCAGCCTGGTGGACCCGTGTCTAGATTGTTTGACAATGGCTGTGGGCCATCAGGCCATTGCCCAAATGGTTTCCTTTACAGGGGCCGGTGTTGCTGAACATTCATCTAGAATCTTCGTTGTTTGTTTTTATTGGTTCATTTATCTGCTCTGTTTGTGACCTTGGATCCTTTAAGGCACTAAAGCTGGACTAACCTGCAAAAGTAAGTTGCAAAAGACAAATGCATGTCCTGAGCAGCCACTTGGCAGGAGTCCCTCCCCACCTTTCTGCTCCTGGGTCGCCAGGATCTGCTCTTGTATCTCTGGCTCCAAACATCTGTGCTGAGATTTCTGCACCTGCTTTAGCCCCATGTATTTTGTCTTCCTTTGGAATTTTAGATCTTTACCTGTTTCTTAAGCCTCAAACACCCCCAACCCCAACCCCAGAGCCCTGAGACTTCTTTAAGCCAAACCCCTGGCCAGGCCTGCTTCTGGCTGCCATCAAAGTGAGTGTGGAATGGGTTTCAAAAATACTAAGCCTGTTGGATGATTCTTTACTCGTGGGGGAGAAAACATAAAATGTTTCAGATAGTTGGCTGTGTTTGTGGTCAAATAAAAGCTGAAGGGGAGGCTCACACTTACTGCCACCGCCTGCTGGGGTGCACCCTGCTGCACTCTTGCTTTCCCAGACAGATCTTGGATGATTCTATCAAACTTGGGGGCTTTTAGGTGGGATTTGAGAATACTTTTCTATTAGTTTTTTAGAGTGCTTTTTTGTTAACTTCAGGGACCTACGGAAGTTTGATGGACAAGGGCCTCCACCGCGCGCCCAGGCCTCCGCTGTGCGTGTGGGCGCCCTGCGGCTCTCTCCCAACAGGCCTGGTCCTGCTGCCTTGGCCGTGGCCAGGCCACTTGTCAGGCACTTTCTGGCACACACTGACAGGGCTTTCTTTTTGCTCTCAGCCTTTCCTGGCTGGAGACCAATGACTCAGGAAGTCCTTGGGTAACCTGTATTTTGCATTTTACTTTCAAAGACTGCTGGGAATTCTGCTTGCAGCCCCAAAGCTAATAAAGCACCATTCGCCCATTTCTGGAATTCCAAGCATGTTGCCCAATGGCAAGTATTTTCCCCATAGGAAGCAGAGAAGCAAATGCACTGACATAGAAGTCAAAATTCTAGAGGACACCAGAACCCTCATAGTCCCAATGGAGTCTGTCAAAGAACTTTGTAGGGACCAGGAGCAGCCTAATGAGGAGCCGCCCAGGCACAGCCCCACCCCCCAAAGATATAGAATGCAGAGGCACTGGCAGAATGGCCTGCCGGGCCTCCCAGGTATCGGGGAGCCGACACAGCAGAACTGTAGCACCATCGTCTCACATCAGAAACCAGCTGGAAAGCGGCACCCAGGTCTCAAGAGAAGAATTCTGCTCCTGGGACCTTCAGGCAGCACTGTCAGCTCACCTAATTGGTCTCTGAAGAATTTGCTTTCACTTGTCTCTATACCCTTTCACCGAGAATACAGTTTCATAGAGCCTCATCCCCATTATTTCCCTTCCCATCCAGCCCTCCCCTCCCAGCAACTGGCTAATACTTGAAGATACCACAGGCCACTCTGCAAACCCAGAAGGCACCCTCGGGCAAGCTAATCAGAGACTGAGATGTTGACCAGGGGCATCAGAGCAGAGCAACCAGTGAGAGATGCCATAGGCGCCCCCCAGGTATGCAGGCAAAGTCTGCCTTTGACAAAAATAACTATGCCACAAGGAGTTATTAAAGGTTCATAAAAGCCACTTTATATTATTACATTATTACCCTGGCATTCACTTCTCTCATTGTTTTGTTCCTGGCTCTGGTTATACCTGAGCCAGCATGGCTCTACCTCCTTTTTCTTTAGTCATTCCAGTATCATCTGACCTCTGTTCAAGAACTGTCTATATGGGGTGAAAAGCGACCAGCAACTCTCGATGCCATTTTAACTTCAATAAACAGTACACTGGGGTGGGTATGGGCCAACACAGTGGTAATGAAACATTCTTCAGGAATTGTTTAATTGCCATTGGCCACTTAAATAGGCTGGACCACCTATAACTGTGCCCTGGTTGGTCCACAACAGTAAACTGCAAACCCTAATAGATTAGACATTCTAGAGAATCCCCCAGAAGTGCCCCCGACTCTCATTCTGTCTGCCTCATCGGTGGTTGCTTTCCTCTCTCCAGCACCGTACTCCTGGCTTGGGCAGATTTCACTACCTGCCTTTGGCTTACTTGGATTTGACCACTGTTTGGATTCCACACTTTGTACTTGGGCACATTAGCATGGTTCAGAGCTTTGCCTGCTCCTTTGGCTTCAGAATCTCCCATTGCCTCAGAGGTTCTTCATCTGTGGCTTCCAGTACTGCCGCCCTCAACAACCAAGTCTGAGCCTTGGGAGTAAGGACTGGGGGGGCTTTCTCCCAACAACATATGGAAATATTTTTCAGAACTTGATGAAATAATCTTTTAAAACAAAATTGAAAATTGCCATCGCAATATATAATAACCTTCTAAGCAGATTGTTATATCAATACGTGAATTTGACATGGTTGAATGAGTATGTATGTTTTGAAATCATCTTATAGTCCCGCATAACCTGGGAAGACTCATTGCTTGGCTGAAGTCAAAGGGCACAGCAAGGTTGGGCTATGGATGAAGGTCAGAAGGTGGCCTAGAGACACATGACAGAGATGGCCCTGAGGTTGGCATCATGACGGACTGCTATATTAGACTGCTAGGGAGTTTTTGTTATTTTTCTGAGGGCAGGAGGGATGGCAGAGGGAAAGAGTAGTGAAGCAATTGAGAGAAAACAGGATAGGCAAAGTGCTCTTGGTTTTGAGCCTTGTTCCTGCTATTTATTTATTTAATTGGGGTGACATTGGTTCACAAAACCATACAGGTTTCAAGTATACAGCTCAGTAAAGCATCATCTGCACACTGCATCGTGTGCCCACCACCCTAAGCAAAATCTCTTTCCGTCGCCATTCCCCCCACTTTGCCATCCTCCACCTCTGGCTATCACCGCACTATCGTCTGTGTGTATGGGTTGTGTACGTTTCACCCAGGCCCCCAGCCCCACCCCTCCTCTCCAACAGCGGCAGTCTGTTCCAGGCGTCCATGCTTCTGTTTCGATTTTCTTCCTTGGTTTATTTTGTCATTAGATTCCATATCTAAGTAAGATCATACGGTATTTATCTTTCTCTGGCTCATTTCATTTAGCATAGAGCAGCCTGTCTTCAACACAAAATGCTACAAAAATTTCTAGGTCCATTGTTAAGAGCTCAGAATACATTTCTCTCTGAAATAATGTTCAGCAGGGTTTTATGAAATAACATTAATAAACAAAACTCCTTTATGGGTGTTTTTATACAGAATATTTAAAGTTCCCACTAAGGACAGCACGAAGACAACTCCAGTGATAACACCGGATACCACGAAGCATAAAGAGGTGCTCTGAAGGAGAGAAATCACCACCCAGTGGGCACTGGGGGTGGCTACCACCGTTTCTTTCTGTTACAGCATCTTGGAAATTCCCATGTTACTAACATAATGATTTTTAGTCATGTTTTTTTAATGTTAGTAATGTTTTTGATTGTTAATTTACTTTTTTTAAAGTTCACAGAAGATTTGCTATATACCTTTGTGTTCTTATTTACTTGGCTAATTTTTTCTGTAGATATATATTTCTAAGTGTATAAGGCAAGTTAATAGAAAATAAGACCAATTATATTATAGAAATATATTCATATTAGGGAATATCTATAATATATAAGAAACGAATAGTTCAGGGTATAATGTAGATCACATAATGTTATTACTACTTGAAAACTAAGCAAGCTGGTCGATTCTATACTGAAAATATATCTGCCCCATATTTATAGGGCTGCTTCCGCAGATTTTAAGCACCACGTGTCAGATAACTGGTTTTGTCCTTTTATTTCCCTATTTAAAAAGGAGTCTCCATAAAACAAATTCCTTTTAAATTCTTTCTTTATATTCAAGTCATGTCTCTTTCATTCATTCAGGAACATTTGTGTGTCACTACAGCGCAGTTATCAGGATTAGGCGTGAGGCTATGGGACAGAGTGGGCAAGGTTGGGTGTGGTCAGGGGAAGATGCCTACGAAGTGCCTTTGAGTGCCTAGTACAGAGGGAGAGAAGGCTGCATCGTAAGGACAGGCGATGCCTTCCGGTGTGATGAGCACAATGGTAGGGGCATGGGAACAGCAGAGACCTCACCAAAGGGGCCAGAGGGCACAGAGCAAAAAGGGCCTTGAACTGCATCTTCAGAAGTCTAAGTCTAGCCATAGATAGACTCACTATCCTTTCCAAAGTAGGATATTGGCTAAGGCTCTTTCTCATAAGTCCTCCAATTAGATGGTTCACTTAAAATTGTTATATGGCTTCTCAGCTGTTACGTGATTTCATGGTCTTCTCATGCATTGTGACTTCACACTTTCCAAGAGCGTTCATTCTTTCTGGCAACCAAAGAAAGGGCAGCAAGTGAGAACACTCAGGGACGTGGCTGTTGCGGCAGGCCCCTACACAGTCACATTATCCTTTGCTCCTCCTATAACATGGGGGAGTCTCTCTTTTTAGGATTCAATGGTTCAACTGGTTTGGAAGGACTTGGGAAGGGGATGCTCCCTTGAGTTCTATTGCTGGGAGGAGACAGGACATTTAGCATGTCAAATGGCAGCGGTAAAACCACAGTGGACGGCTTCTCTGTGGACAAGGACTGAAGAGTGTGGAGGTATCGAAGCTGCACGGCAGCTGGAGTGCCCGAGAGAATCTCAGCCGCCATCCTCAGGGACTCGGAGGCAGCCTTCTCCCCTTCTGCCGCGATCATCTAGGGGACAGACAGGAAGAAAGCAGAGTGATTTTTCTTCTTGGTCCTTTGAAAGCTTTAATCACTATGCAGCAAGCACTGAGCATCTATTATGTGGCAGGTGCTGTTAAGCATAGAACAGACGGTCTTCGTTTTCAAGGATCTTGCTCTAGGGGACACAGATGACACTATTAATTGTAATTATGGCAGAATCTGTTAAGGACCCTGGAGAGTATCAGGAAGTGTTTAGGGAGTTACTAATTATGTCTATGGGGCCCAGGAAGATCAGTAGGATTTTGCCACATAGGGAAAAGACTGGCCAATGTCCCAGGCAAAAACATGGAATCCTGAAAGGGTGACTCCCAACTCCAATAAAATGAATGGGTACGCATTACAGAAGAAAAAGCACCAATCTCACCACCTAAATGCCACCTTGTGTCCTAAGTGGACAAAGAGGACTAGATGCAGCTGTGCCCTGAGAGCCATCTTCCTCCCCTTCCTCCTCCACTCCCTCTAGTTACCAACTTTCTGTGTGGTTAGGGTTCCCCCACCCTCTTTTCTCTCCTTTAAAGGAAACCGGCCTCCAGGTCAGTCCCCATACGCCCCCTCCCACCCACACTAGCTAGGAGCTGCTGGCTCATCTTTGCCCTTCACTGGCACATCTGAGTAGAGGCTGTGGGTGGCACAGCCTCCTCGTGGCTCTGGTGTTGAGGGGACTGGGCCCTGATCCTGGTTGTCCCTCCAGAGCTTGCGCAGGGCTGGGGAGACAGGTCTGGGTGTCATTAACCTAGAGGTGACAGGGGACTCCTATTACCCAGGAAAGCTGCCAGCGTTAAGAGAAGAAGGATGAGTGGTAAGAAGCCTTGAGGGAGGAAGAGTGAAGGCAAGACTCAAGATGGAGGAGATGGTTGCTACCAGTGCTCTCAGAGGGAGGGTGTAACAGGAAAAAGACGTTGCATTAGTCAGTTAGGAGCGAAAAACAAACTTTACAATAGCGATTTTAAGAGTTGGTTGGAGTGGGGGTCACAAGCCAGATCCCTCCCAGTACCTGGAGGAACCGGAGGTTAGGACGGGAGGGAGCAAAGGGAAAACGCTGTGCGTGCGCAGGCAGTTTGGACTCTGCGGGGCTCCTCAAACAAGGGCCCCGTGGGTGGGGCGGCTTGCGCCCGGCGGCTCACCCGCACTCGGGCCTGTCTCTGCGCTTCAGCTTCCACCGCCAGGGATTGCTGGAGCCCGGCCGGCAGCCGCACGTCCTTACTGGAAAAGAAAGAACGTGGCCAGGTAGGTGCGCGGCACTGCTTTTAGCAGCCGGAGCTCGCATGCAGCCTTCCCTCCTCCGCTGCTGTTGTTCACGTTGCACAGCAGATTCTGACCTAACAGACCACACACCGTCCCCAGGCTTCTCATTAGACGGTGGGCGGGGTCCCTCGTGGGTCAGTGCCTCCAATGCAGATTTTTATGATCACTGATGCTGCGCTAGAGCTATGGTTGTCTGTTTCCATGTAAAACACATTTTGTGATGATGGATTATGTTGATTGTTTTCCTTGCTTAGTTTAATCTAAATCCCAGCTATTAAAGTTGAACAATAAAAAAGGCTTGAAGAGCCACGTTGTTAATAATGAGAGGTCATCTAAGTTTTTACAAGAGAGTTGACCTTAAAAACAGTAGAGCTGACTTAATAAGAATAGTACTTAACGTATTGCATGAACAATACACAATTTTATTTTTATCCTGAATGTAACTGTGAAAAATACATAGATGGAAAACATTCTGGCAGTTCCTCAGAAAATTAAATATAGAATTACCGTATAACCCAGTAATTCTACTTATAGGTATCTACCCAAGAGAACTGAAAACATGTTCGCATAAAAACTTGTATACGAATGTCCATTGTAGCATTATTCAAAATAGCCCCAAAGTGGAAATGATCCAAGTGCCCATGAGTCAATGAGTAGATAAGCAGAAAGTGGAATAGCCACACAATGGAATAACATTTGACCATAAAAAGGAATGACGTCCTGATTCATGCTACCACATGGATGAACCTTGGAAACATGCTAAGTTAAAGAAGCCAGACACAATGGCCACATACTGTATACTTACATTTATATAAAATGGCCAGAATAGGCAAGTCCAGAGAGAGAATAGATTAGTGGGTATCATGCACTGGGGGGTGAGGGGAAAGTGAGGGGTTCCTGCTTAATGGATGCAGGCTATCTTTTTGGGGTGATTAAAATGTTCTAGAATTAGATGGTAGCAATGGTTGCACCACTTTGTGAATATACTAAAAACCACTGAATTGTACTTTAAAATGGTTTAAAAGGTGAGTTTTTAAAAATTTTGAATATCTTTTTTAAATCATTTTTTATTTTTAATTACAGTTGACATACATTTTTATATGAGCTTCAAGTGTACACCCCAATGATCAGATATTACATAACTTAATAAGTGATCATAAAAGTTGAGTTTTATCTCAAAAAATTTTTTAATCCATAGAGAGAAAATGTGTAGGTACTTTTCCCAAATGTCACAGTGATTGTGTTATGTTTATGAGATAATGGGTATTTTTTTTCTATTTCCTCCCAAAATATATGGCTATAGTCATACTTATGCAACAAAAATAAGTTATCAAATAAAACATTTTAAATGAAACCACAATATTTCTATTTATCATTTTGTTCTTCCCAGTGAATTTCCTACCCACATTTCTGTTCTTTCCACTTTGAGTCCCCAAATACAGGTCACTGAATCCAAGGCAACCTGTGAAGGGAAGAGTTGAGATGTCAGTGACAACCTCCAGGTGGTCCTTGTAAGTGACCTTACAGGAGGGAAGTGTGGGAAGAGGAGGGGGGCGGGGTGGGAGCAGAGAGCCCGGTGACGTGTGCTGAAGGTGGAGGAAGGGCCGTGGGCTGAGAAAGGCAAGGAAAAGGATTCTCCCTTCAGAACTTCCATTAGGAACCAGGCCGCTGACACCTTGCCTTTGACCCAGTGAAACTGATTTTGGACTTCTGGCAGTCAAAGCTCTTAAAGGTTAAACTGATGTTGCTTTAAGCTACCACGTTTGTGGTAATTTGTCATAAAAGCAATAGGAAATAAACATGGTGTAGTTGTTAAGTCTGTTTTAAAATGCATTTATTAGGCCCTGGCCAGTGTGACTCAGATGGTTGGAGCATCATCCTGTAACCCAAAAGGTTGCAGGGTTCGATCCCCAGTCAGGGCACGTGCGGGTTCGCTCTCTGGTCGGGGTATGTACAGGAGGTAGCCAGTTGATGTTTCTCTCACATCAATGTCTCTCTCCCTCTCTCTCCCTCCCTCTCTCTCTCAAAAAGCCATGAAAAAAAATGTCCTCAGGTGAGGCTAAAAACAAAATAAAATAAAATGCATTTATTAGAGAACTAGAGTCTGCAGCCTCTCTCTCAAATGGCTTTCAATTACAGGTGCTGGCACGTCTTTCCTATTGGTGGCTTCCGTTCTCCCCACGTCCCAGTCCCAGGAGGCGGGAGAAAATGAACTGTGGGTTCTGGAAAAAAGAGGACAAGGCATGGAGCTGCACCTGTGGGCTCATATTTTTTTCCTTTTTAATTTACCTGATGATTTCTTGTGGCTAGAAAGCTAAGAAGCTTAGTGCATTGAGAATGAGAAGACTGACTCGTTGGGGGGGGGGGGTTGGTGAGAGGAAGGAATATGAAAAAGATGTCACAGAGGAGGCAGCATCTTAAAGAACAAACAGGATTTGCCTGCGGGGGAGGGGGGGGGGGAAGGGAAGTCTTCCCTGCTGAGGAAGCAGCCTGAGTGTAGGCCAGGCGGCTGGAGAAGCGCTAAGTGGGCTGGATGCTAGATACACTGGCGGAGGGGCAGCCAGACATGAGGCCGGCACAGCTGGGCCATTCTTCCCTCAACGAGAACACCTCATCAGGCTGCTGCAGGACAGCCCAGTGTCAGGTGCTGAGGACAAAGAGCTGAGTAAAATGCGACCCCTGTCATGATAGAGTTCATAACCTGGGAAGACAAATGTATAAATACATAAAGTGCGATTCCATGTGACAAGGCAAGTTCGAACGTCAAGAGTCTGGACTCGGTCCTTTATCCTTTGAAGGGGGGGTGCGGTGAACAGGAAGAGAGGATGAGAGGGGACCGCAGGGGAGCACTCTTGGAGGTATTGAAATTCCAGAGCAGCAACTCCCCTGCATGCCTCTTGTTATCACTTTTTCCTCTTTTTTAACTTCTCTTATTTCCTGAAGTCTTCCCTTTTCCACCAGAATGCTAATCACCATTTTGTCAGTAAAAAGTGGGACGACTCACAAACATTTGGACTCTTCATTTCCTCAGATCAGTGTCTGCTCAGGCCCCATCCACACAATCACTATCAGTGCCTTTGACCCTTAGATCCTTCTGTTCGGAGGCCCCCCTATCAGCCAGTCGTGGGTCATCGCCCCTAACTCCGCTCCGTGCCCCATGGCCTCCATGACGGGCTCTGTCACTGGTGGTAACTGCCCCCTGACTGACCAGTTTCCTGGAATCCTGCTTTGTTCTCACATCTCTCCTTAATGCCTTTGGGGAAGAATCGAAGACGCCTGCCCCGGTTAGAGGAGGCTGCTTGGGAGGCAGCTCTGGCTCTTCTCTCCCTCCCCTGATTCCAAATCAGTTAAATCTATATGGTTGGGAAATTGATCCCATAAGGGTCTGTGGCATCTTTTTACCTGAAAGTCTGATTTGAACTCAGCATTATTTAACTTGGTTTCCCCAACTAGGCTGTAAGCCCCTGGAAACCATTCTTTATCCTCCTTGTTTGCCACCAGCCCCTCCTGTCCAGCTCCCTGCCCCCACCCCACCGTCCCCTAACCCCACTGCTCTGTGCTGTGCAGGCACCTAGCAAGGAGTCTAAAGCTGCCAGAGGAGGGCGGAGAGCAAACACGATGGCAGGAACTGACTGACCTGCACCAGACTGGTGTCTATGATCGGCTCAGGGTCTGTTTGGTGACCTTTTACTCACCTTTCAGCTCCTCAAAGGGTGGCACCTCCACTGGGGAATGGCTGGCCCATGGAAGATTCAATAAATGACGAATGAAAAAAACGAAAGATAAAGAGAGATTTCAACGTGTTCGATGTTAAATTTATCGAAGTACCTTTACATCTTGGGCGAGGCTCTTCCTCTCTAGGAGAATCTCCGTGAGGGACCGGTGCGCTAGCAGACGTTTCATGGTGGTTTGCACCAGGAACTGAACAGCCTTGGACACCTGAGCGAGGCTGCTCAGCAGAAGAGAGGCATTTTCTATTCGGTAGTAGCAGATGGCATCGATCTCCATTATGAACATGTCTTTGGTCACAACCTAGGCAGGAAAAAAGTGTGGCCGACAGGCCTGACTCTCGGGCCCCCTCCCATGCGGACTTAGAGGAATGAACGTGTTCAAGCGGGATTTTCCCAGAGTGAGGTTATAGCAAGGAAGAAAGTGAACAATTGGCCTACCTTTTATTCAAAATACATGTTTTTGAAGATTATGGCACTTTTATTAACTACACTAAAGAACTCATGATTTAAAGGAATCCTGTTATAAACTCTTTTGTAAAGAAAAAAATCAGGAAGAGTTTCTGATATGAAAAAAATCAGTTGTTTATCAGGTCTTTTTAAACTGATGCCCCCACTCCAAAAAAAAATGTGTTAAAATAGAAGCCCGGTATATAAGCTCTCGGGTGCTCCGTGTGCCAGGGGCGCAGCGGAGGGGAGGTTGGTGACGTGCCTCCAGCGCCCTGATGGAGGCGTCTTCTCAGCATTTCCTTGTTTAGACATTATTGCAAGGACATACTATCAAGATTTAGTTGCAAGGATGTTATTCATGCTATTGCTTACTGTAATAAGAGATTGGAAACAATTTAATATCAGTAATATTTACAATATCACAATATTGTAAATTGTGGTATACACATACATACAATAGAAGTCTAGGTGTCCTTTTAAAATAAAAAGGTAGAAACATAGCTAATATATGAAAAGATGACCACAAAAATTGTTGGGTGAACAAAGCTATGCTACCAAATATAATGTATGGTTTGATATATATTCCTGTGTGTAAATATAGCCACATACCTAGATAGGTCTGAAAGGGTACACTCCAAGATATCAACATCTATCTTTAGGTGATAGGATTATGAGTACATTTAATTTCTTCCTCTTTTATACTTTATTACCTAAAGTAAGCCTTTAAAGTATATATAATTTCTGTTTACAGTTCTATTTAACAAAAGAAAAAATGAGAAAGAACTTCAAACTGAAAGTGGGGGACAATTTAGGAAAAACTTATAAACCTCAATTACTAATAGAAAAACCTAGGTGTTATATCTACTTTTCTTTTAATTTTTATTGTGGTAAAATACACATAACATCAAATCTACCATCTTCCCCATTTTTAGGTGTGCAGTTCATTAGTGTTGAGTACATTCATACTGTTGTGCAACCAACCTCCAGAACGTTTTTCACCTTGTAAAACTAAAAACCACGAAGCCACAGCTCTCCATTCCTCCGCCCAACCCCTGTAACCACCATTCTGCTTTTTCTCTATGCATTTGACTACTCTAGGTACCCCATATGAATGAAATCATACAGTGTTTGTCTTTTCATGACTGGCTTATTTCACTTAAACTAATGTTCTCAAGGTTCATCCATGATGTAGCATATGACATAGAGCGTTTCGAAGGCTCAATAATATCCCATGGTAGGTACATACCACATTTTGTTTATCTAGCCAGCCATTGATGGACACTTGGGTTACCTTCGCTTTTTGGCTATTGTGAATAATGTTGCTATGAACGTATGTATACAAATACCTCTTCAAAATTTTGCTTTCAGTTCCTTGGAGTATATACACAGAAGTAGAATTGCTAGACCAAATGGTAATTCTATTTTTAATTTTTTGAGGAATTGCTGTACTGTTTTCTATAGTAGCTGCCCAATATCACATACACACTAACAGTATATAAGGGTTCCAATCCCTGTTATTTTCTGGCTAGTTTTTTTGCTCTTTGGTAGCCATCCTAATAGGTGTGAAGTAGTGTCTCTTTGTGATTTTGATTTGCATTTCTCTAATGATTAGTAAAGTTGAATATCTGTTCATGTGTTTGTTAACCATTTGTATATTTTCTACGGAGAAATGTTATTTAAGTCTATATTAGCCAGGTCTCTCCAGAGAAATTGAGTTGTGTGTGTGTGTGTGTGTGTGTGTGTGTGTGTGTGTGTGTGTAAAAAGAGAGAGGAAGAGATTTTAAGGAATTGGCTCACCCACTTGTAGAGGCTGACAAGTCCAAAGTCTTCAGGGTAGGTCAACAGGAGACCCAAGGGAGAATTAATGCTGTAGCTGGAGCCTGAGAGCAGTCTGTTTGCAGAATTCCCTCCTCCGCAAGGGGAGCTTAATCTTTCTCTTAAGGCCTTCAGCCGACTGGGTGAGGCCCAGCCCCATTATGGACTGAAATGTGCTTTACTTCAAGTCTACTGATTTAAATATTAATCTTATCTAAAAAATACTTTCACAGCAACATCCAGATGTTTCTGACCAAATATCTGGGTACCATAGCTTAGCCAAGTTGATACATAAAATTAACCATCACAAGTCCTTTTTCCATTTTTATTTATTTCTTTTGCTTTCTTGTTGAGTTGATTTCAACCCTTTATCAGACATAGTTGAAAATATTTTCTTCCACTCCATAAGCTGCCTGTTCATTTTGTCATGTCCTTTGCTGTACAGAAGTTTTTAATTTTGATGTAGTCCAATCTCTAGTTCCCTTTTCTACTTTCTATCTTAAATAATCATTTTGCTCTGGACCAGAATGGGCAGAATTGAAAGCTCAGCCATGGAAAACAGAGAGAAAAAGAAACAGCCATCATCTGGCTCACCTCGTGAAAGGGTATCTCCAAGGTCTGGAGACGAAGGTCGACCTTGTGGTAGGTATCCAGGCAGGGCAGGAAGAAGAAAAGGCCTAGAAGTAGGGGAGGAGAAAGTGACAGGCGAACTTGCTTATACTCCAGCCTGCCTGGCCCTGGCATTTAGCTCTCTGCACCCACCCACCCCTCTCTTGGTCATTGTGACCTGACAGTAATGCTTTCTGAAGAATTTCTTATAACCCATGTTACAAGTAACAGATCAGAAAATGAAGACATAATGAATCACGTTACTTCATGTAATCTAAGGTCTGTATTACAAATATGCACGGATTGAAGAAATTGGCAAGTCTGCAGGGGGTTTCTTACCAGGGCCTTTGGCCCTTCCAGGAAGCAGATGTCCTAGTCGGAGTATAATTACTCTCTCATATTCCTGTGCAACCTGAAAATAAATTTCATACTTTTGAATCACCCCAAGAAAGCAAAAGTCTTCAAAAGGCATTAGTGCAAGAGTAATCCTAAGTATTGGGAATCTTTTATTTTGATAACCGAGAAAAAAGACTTCGCTTTTTCAGTATCTACATTTAGTAAGTGTAGAATTTCAGAAACCAGTGAAAAAGTATATTGACCATGGTAATTTTTGATCCCATAAACAGTCATGATTAAAGAGTCATGATCAAAGAGTCATGATTATCTAAATCAAGGAATCGCAGCATGCCTGCCACAGTACGCTCAATCTTTTATTTTCTGTGACTTCTGCATTATTAGCTTTCATATGTACTAATTATTAGTTATTTAGCAGAAAGAGGGGTATATTTTAATACCACTTTTTACATTTTGTTTCAAACTGCGAGAAACATCTCAAAATAATACCTTAATTTTCTACCTTAGGACGCTAGAAATAGAAGAGTAAACTAAGCCTAAAGCAAGCAGAAAGAAGATAATAAAGATCTGAGTGGAAATAAATGCAGTAGAAAATAGAAAACCAATAGAGAAAATCAACAGAATCAAAAGTTTGTTCTTTGAAAAGACTGACAAAATTGACAAATATTTTGCTAGACTGACCAAGAAAAAAGAAGATCAAACTGCTAAAACCAGGATTCAAAGAAGAATGATGACAGGGACATCACTACTGTCCTTAGGGAAATAAAAAAAAAAGAGAAAATACTATGAACTATGCACCAACAAATTAGATAACTTAGATGAAATGAACAAAATCCTATAGATACACAAACTGCCAAAGCTGATGCAGGAAGAAAGAGAAAAACTGAAAAGAACCAGAAGTAAAAGTTTAAATTAGTAGTTTAAAATTTCCCCACTAAGAAAAATTCAGGGTTAGATGGCTTCACTGGTGAATTCTGCCAAACATTTAAAGAAAAATTAGTACCAGTTAGTCACAAATTCTCCCCCAATTATAGGAGAGGAGGAAACCTTCCCAACTCATTCTCTGAGGCCAGTATTACCCTGATACCGCAATAAGCCACATTAAAGAATTATATACCATAACCGAGTGGGACTTATTTTAGGAACAAATAGTTGGTTTAACATCCACTCATAGGATGTAAAACACAGTATCAATAGAATAAAGGGCAAATGCCACATGATCAGCTCCATAGATGCAGAAAAGGCATTTGACGAAATCCAATGCCCTTTCATGGAGAAGGCAAAGAGGAGGAGGAGGAGGAGGAGGAAGATGGGGAAGGTGGAGGAGGAGGAGGGAAGCGCAATCAGCAAATGCCCCAGCAGCACCCATAGTGTTCTAGTCAAGGGCACTCTCTTGCCTGGCAGCTCCGGATAATGACTAAGCAGGGCAGGGCACCAGGGCCTGGCCATTTCTGCCCATCGTGGGACTCCTCTAGGAAGCAGACTCGGCCCTGGGGTTCCCTTCCAGCCTGGCCAAGGCTTTCTCCGAGCCAACCTTCCTTCCTCTTCTCATAGCACAGGTGTCGACTGCATCACTGCCTGAAGGCTTTCCCTGCCTGCTCTTCTCTCTCCCCTTAACATTTCACAGACAATGCCGCCCAACACACCCGGCACTTCTCATCCTGTCTTGGCATGTGCTTCCCAAACCGACGCAGGTCTTCATTTACTTCAGCGACCGGCGAGTGTAACCACCTGCAGGCCAGAGATGATTCACTCATGGCCTACGGAAGCTGCTGGAGAAGTGGGCACCATGATGTCCTCTGGGCCAGCCTGTGTGGTACAGAGTGCAGATGACCTAGGCATGGTCCCTGCCCTGAAGGGGCTCCTGGCCTAGCGGGGGAGGCTGGTTGTCAACAAATACTGTATTGATACATGTGGTAAGTGCTAGAATGGACAGGAAAGCAGAGTGACATACAAGCGCAAGCAAGAGATGACAAGTCTGGGGAAGTCGAGGAAGGCTTCACAGCTACAGCTGAGCAAAGCCTGAAAGGGGTGAGCGCTCTTCTGGAAGAGGCACGGGGAGGGCACTCCACGCAGGCAGATGGCCTGTGCGGAAACACAGGGGCCAGAGTGGACCTGTGGTGATTGGTGAGAGGCTCCAGGGAGCTACCGGGTCCTCAAGGGGTCTCACCTTTATGCAGAACCAGATAGAAAAAGGGAAGGTCACGATGATGAAGAGCAGGGATGTGAGGACAAGGAGCCACTCACAGACCCCCAAACCAGAAGACTTGGTACCTAAAAAAAAGAGTAAGTATACTGAAACTTCACCATCTTCACTGACTAGCAGCTGTTGGCCCAGTCCTTTGGGTCAGAGGAGTTTGCAGACTTTGGAGGGAATAGTAGAGTGAGCTGGACGTGGGAGCGGTCAGCTCACAGGGCTGGGGTGCCGTCTGGGAAGGGCGATGCAGCCGTGTGGCAGGTGAAGTAGCCTGGCCTGGCAGCGCAGCGCAGCGCGGTGCTAAGGGACGCAGAGGAGGGGAGGTTGCGCCTCTTGCTCCCCTTCCCCCCGGAGCACAGAAACCTCCCAGATTGGGCTTAGCAAGGCCGCCTCATCCTCAGTGATACCCTCTCATCCACTGCTTAGGGGCTCGGGATCTAGCCACTTGATATGCTGGAGAGACTGAGTGACGCCCACGCAGGCGACAGTGCTGGGACCCTGACCGGAAATCAGGGGCCGCACCGCGCAAGGACAGGCTTTTCGGCCGGACTGCCTTACTCTAGAATTGCGGCTTCTCCGCCTCCCAGCTGTAGGTCTCGGGCAAATTACTTAATTTCTCAAGATTTTCCCTCTTCCGTGGCATGCGAATGATAACGCTCAGTAAAACACCTGGCTTCCTTCTTCGCCTCCCCTCCGATGTGGTCTGAAGCTCATGCAAGGCCTCTAATCTCAGCGTTACTGCAGCATCGAGCCCAATAACCACTTAGTGACTGGGAGTTTTTGACTGACGGAAGGGCATCAATTGGGCAGAAGAGCATTCTCATGGTCCATATCACATGGTCCTGATGCGCGACTCTTCCTCCAATCAGCGCTTTCAAAGCTCCAGCATATCCTGCATTGCTGGTAACCAGGAAATGTCAAAATTTCAAAGCCAGCAGAAAGCAGTATAATGCAACTATTCCTTATTCAATTTCCTTTAAGCTTCATGCTATACTTAAGGTGTAATAAAATTTTTCCTTTCATTCATGATAAAGAGGATTGGAAGCAGATAAATGTGTTCCTAAGTGTTGCTCTACTTGCAGAAATCGCGCCTTCCCGGTCATTCCCTCCCGTGGTCTAACTCCCCTCTCTCCCAGCTGGCCGGGGTCCTGTTCTGAGCGGGTTCCTTGCTCCCCCGCTTTGTGCCCAGCGCGCTTGGGACGCTTTAACTCCTTTTAGCTTCGCAGCTACCCTGTGAGCCAGGCCTGGTGTAATCCCTAAGAGTGAGCACATACATGGCTAGCAAGCAGCTGAGCTGAGATTTAAGCTCAGGTCTTGCTCTTCTCTACTTGCCTCTGCTGCCTCTACTTTTAGGAAAAAACGATCATCCCAAAGAAACCCTAACATGCTTTTAGATAGGGCTGAAGGTTGGGATGAGGAAGGAAGAACAAGCTGCATAGTTGCCGGGAGCCACCAGCTCACGCATGGCCACAGAAACCAGCCGCGTGGTTCCTTTGCCGTGCGGGTCAGTCCCCAGCCTGGACCACACCCCCTCCCGCCCCAATCCTTGGCTGGCCCTCGAGACCAGCGGTAGTTAGGTGATGTTATTTGTATTTCTCTGATGCATTTGGTTGCTACCCCTGAGGGGTGGGTCTAACAGGCTCTGGCCTCGGTGGCTCAGGGCGCGGCGACTCTTCCACTTTATCTGACATACCTTGGGTACCACGTTCTCCCTCCCAGGTCCCCAACCTGCCCGCTGTACCTTCCTCGGGCCGCTCGCTCTCCAGCAGCGCCACCACCTCGGTGCCCTCCTCGCAGGAGCCCCGGACCTCATCCACGTCCACCACGGTGACCGCCGCCGCCGCCGCTCGGGGCTCCGCGGGGCTCCCCGCCCGCCCGAGGTCCCGCCGCTCGCGCCCGGCGTCCCGGCGCCCGCGGCCTCCACCGCCCCGCTCGGCCTTCGCCCGCTTGTTCTCCTTGTGGGGGGACCCGCCGCCTCGCCCATCGGCCCCCCTGGAGGAGCTCCGAGCCCGCTTCTCCGTCCTCTCCATCCCCAGAGCGGCCGGGCCCGGGAGCGCGGTCCCTGCAGAGTCACCCGCTGGTGCGTCTGCCGGGGACCCTAAAGAACCTGGGCGGGGGCGGGGGTGGGACCCGGGGCGTGTTGCCGGGCGGGGGCTTTGGTCCTGGTGACAAGGGACAGCTGCTTCTCCGAAGAATTGTGGACAGAGAGTGACTTTCAACACCGAGTTTGCGTGAAAGCCCCTGTCCCCTGTCACCATGTTTGACAACGTGTCTCCTACAGAAGATGCACCTGAAATACCAGCGCAGGGGGCTGCGAAGGCCCTCGGCTGCAGTGGGTGGTCCTCGCTGGCTGCCAGAGAGCTCGAGGGGACACAAGACGCCTCGAGTTAGGGTGGCTTTAGGGTAAAATCCTCCGCACTCCCAAGCCTGCTCTTACTCCCTCCTCCCCCTAACTCATTTCATATCGTGGCCCTGCTGTCCGTGAGAATCCTTTGACCGGAGAGGATGTTGGCGTCCCGCCTGGGAGGGTTAAGATACTAAAACCGAGAAAGGAAAACTCTTTTAGACTATCCTCTCTCACACACACTTCTCATGCCTTCATTTTTATTAATGTATTATTTTTACTAGCGCTTGAGCCTGTTAAGATGATACTTCTTTGACTTCCATCGCTGGCACTGTCGCGGATGTCCCCGTCCCCTGCCTTGGCCCCCCTCTGCCCAGCCCCCCCCCCGCCCCCTCCCCACACGGCTGCCTGTGTCTATGGGTCCCGCGCATGTTCTTTGGCGAATCCCTTCACCTTCTCTCATCCAGTCTCCCCCTCCCCGGCTCTGATGCTTCCCGAAGAGTCACAGCAAGGGAGGGATCCGGGTTAGCTTCTGTTTGGGGGGGGGGCACCCTTTTGCCCCGGAAGAGGCCCTGCTCGCTTCCCAGAGGAGGCAGGAGCTTTGCTTTTCCAAGTTTCACTGGCGATGCTCCATCCTGCAGCCAAAAAGGGGGAGCAAACCTGCTCTCTGCCCAGGAACTTGAACATTGAATACGTTTCTCCTCTACGCCCTATTCACAATTTGTTTCTCTCTGGATGTGAGGTTGGTCTAGGCAACCCTATGTTTTCAAGATTTATGATTCTACTCAAAGAGCTCAGACCACATGATGGTAAAAACAATATTCACTTATTTTTATTTGTCAATGTTTGAGTTCACACAGCAATAGCTCCCCTCTCCCCCCCAAAAATATTATTAAAGAACAAGGACCTGAAGGAACACCAGTGGGTCTGGAAAAACGATTCCACTACTACCTTCCGTCTGGTCCAAGTTAGCCCGCTGGGAATAAAGTATTTAAAAGATTAGTAATAAAAGGAATTTAAATAGATTCGGTTTTTGCTCTCTAAACCTGATTCTTGCGTGGGCTGCGTGAAGGACAAATGTCTCCTCTCCAGTGCCGGCCTCACTGAACAGGCCCTGCCAGGACAGAATAATGAGAAAAATTCTGAAGCTGCGTTTGGCCCGTGGAGGGAAAGGTATGCTGATGAGTATTCGCTCAGATTAATACTCGCTACTAGACATAGCTAGTTTATCATCCTGTAAAGACATCCTTGTTTGAAAAAGTATGAAACTGTTGGTAGCACTTACTTTTTTTTTCCTCTGCCTTTTACAGATTAATTTGAGCTAGAGTCCTAAACGAAACTCTTAAGCTAACATTTCACCTCAATTTTTGCTGCAAGAATTGGCAGGATATGCGGAAGATGATGCTCTCAAAGCCGCACCCGTCTGGGGTTTCGTGTGGAAGCAACGCTGATGAGAGAAGGCCCCGCTTGCTGCTGGCGCCCGCGTTGGTGCTTGTTCTCAGTCTCTTTGGCTGCAGGACCAGCGCCAACGTCCATAACCATTACTTCGTTTTTTATATTCATTTATAACAGAATCAATACAAGCACCTGCCTCCGGCACAGGCCTGTTGGGATTATAAACGGCAATAATGACATCCGAGAGAGCGCACCGCGTTCCCTGGCGAAAAGGGCGACGCAGCACCGCCGGGAAGCGGGGGAGGGCAGAGCGGAGGCGCCGCGAGTCTGGAGCTGGCTGGCCTCAGCTCCTCGCGTGACCGTGCCGCTGTTTTCTTTCAGATTCCTTTTTAATTGATGTTGGTCATCCCTCTGTTGAACATATTATAAGTACGCATTTTTAAGCCCTTAATACTTGACTCCTTGTTTGGACTTGTTAAGAGACTGACATCTGGGGGAACGGGGTTACTAGGAGAACGGGAGGGACAGCTAGAGTTGTTGACTTTGGAGTTTGTTACCAAGACCAAAGCTCATAAAAGACTTCAAGGCTTTTAAAATTATTACACTTATTTCACTTAGCGTTTTGAAATTTTATGTCCGGCCCTCGTCGAGCAGCTCAGTTAGTGAGAGAGCCGACCAACTGCGCCACGGTTGAGGTTTGGTCCCCAGGGAGGGCACATAGACGCAGCCACGGGCGACTGCATAGATAAGGGGACCAGCAAATCGGGGGTGGGGGGTGGGGTGTGTGTGTGTGTGTGTGTGTGTGTGTGTGTCCTCTCTCTCTCTCTCAAATCAATTTAAAAAACCCAAAAATATATATAAAAGAAATTTTATATCCATTTGGATAAACCAAGGAGTGACTATATAAAAATTATTTCATGAAAAAGCTGGAATTCATTGTCACTAGATAAAAGTGCAAATCTTAGAGCTTTAAGAAACTCTGGGGATTGAGATTTGAATTTTTCAATCTGACTTTGTTAAATTTGACTTTCCCAGTTGGTAGCTGGCAGACTGGCCAGGCAGGCACAGCAGCGGGTGGGGGGCGGGATGCTGGTGGGGGGCTGGATCGGAAGCTTCGGCCGGGGGTGGCCTGGGTTCAGGAAATAGTTCGGAGGGAGAGAGGCCACAGAATTCGGAGACTGCAGGGGGTAATGGGGCCGGGCGGGGCGGACCTGGGGGAGACGCCGGTTTTGACCTTTCCGGGGTGGCAGCTGCCTACAGCCGCAGGCCGCGCCGCACGACCGCCTCCCCCAACTGCGCTGACCTCAGGCGTCTGCGTCCCGCGTTCGAAGGCTGCTGAGAGAGATCGTGCAAGTCCTCATTACAGGGGGGGGGGGGGCGCGGGGGGGGGGGGGGACGAGGGGCGTGGGGGGAATGTATAACTCTGAGGGTGGGTGTGGATTAGATTTGCTGTGGTGATCATTTGCAACACAGACAAATACCAAATATGTTGTATATCTGAAACTAACGTTATATATGTCAAGTATACCTCACTTTAAAAAATTAAAGTACACTTTAAATGAGCAAGAAAAAGAATCTTGAGCTTCCGCAAAAATTAATTTTATGTTTGAAAAGGCTACATGAAACTCCTAATCAAGGCTTCTTAGTAATTTCTTTAAATTTTTGCTACATGAGAGACATGTTCACACAATTTAAAAAATGTTTATTTATGTATTTATTTTCCAGCTTTATTTGGGTATAATTGACAAATACAGATTGTATATGTTTAAGGTGTACAACACTGTGAAATGATTTAAAATATTTTTAAACCATTTTTACAACCACTTAAAATTTTCCAGCAGTTGAACTTAAAGAACCGACTACCTTTTGTATCATCAACAAATGTAAGTTGGTACTTCCTGAGACAATGCAAATGGATTTCAAATGCAATTAAACTTTTTTATAATGAGTGCTTCAAAATAGACGAAACTTTGGGGAGCCCAGCATGGGCATTACTGAGAAGCAGACTCCGTGCAGCCAGAGGGGAAGCCACCCCTTCTGCCAGGAGACACCCGCTGCCCTGGCCCGCCCTCCGCCCCTCCCTGCCAGCTGCCCCCACCGCCCCTCTTGGCGCTGAGATTCCTCCTTGCTCAGCCAGATGGTGAACTTCTGTGGATCCACAGGGGAGGCCCTGAGGCAGAAGCAGGTCCTTGGCAGAGCCCAGTGTCTTTTTATTTTTTCTTTTCTATTGAATTTATTGGGTGACATTGGTTGATAAAATTACATAAGTTTTGGTGTACAATTCTATATAATCTGTATATTGTACTGTATGTTCACCACAAGTCAAATCTCCTTCCGTCACCATTTATCCCTCCCTGCCCCCCCACCTTCCTCTTCCTCCCCCTCCCCAACACCCCTTTCCCTCTGGTAATCACCATACTATTGTCTCTATCTATGAGTTTTTTGTTTTGGGGGTGGTTTTTTTTTTTTTGCATAATCCCCTCACCTTTTTTATTTTACCCAGCTGCGAAATTTCCCTCCCCTCTGAAAGCTGCCAGTCTGTTCTCTTGAGTCTCTTCCTATTTTGTTAGTTTGTTTTGTTCATTAGATTCCACATATGAGTGAAATTATATGCTACCTGTTTTTCTCTAACTGGCTTATGTAACTTAGCACTATGCTCTCCAGGTCCATCCAAGCTGTCACAAAGGGTAAGACTTCCTTTTTTATGGCTGAGTAGTATTCCATTGTGTAAATGTACCATAGCTTTTTTATCCATTCATCTACTGATGGGCATTTGAGCTGCTTCCAAATCTTGGCTCTTGTGTGTAAATAATGCTGAGTGAACACAGGGGTGCATATACAAGGGGAGACCCAAGAAACTGGAATTTATAAAAAATTGTGTATTCTTACATGTTTAAACATCAGTCAAAGTACTCTCCATTTGATGCAATATACCTACTGAGACATTTCTCTGCTGCTCAGAATAGTTTTTGAACTCGTCAATTTTGAGGTTTTTAGTGCATCTGCGATTTTTTTGTTTCACCTCTTCTACATCAGCAAGATGTTTCCCTTTGAGGACTTTTTTCATTTGGGGAAACAAAAAAAAAAGTCACTTGGGGTGAGGTCGAGTGAATATGGAGGGTGGGGCACAGGGGTTATGCCATTTTTGGTCAAAAACTGCTCAACACTGAGCGCAGCGTGGACAGGTGCATTCACATATCACCCACCATGAAATAGACAGATGCACTGAGTCTTCAAAAAAAAATTCACTGAAGCTGAAGGCAGCCTCTCACAACAACACCAACTGGTACGCTGATGTAGAGGGGTTGCTATAGCACTCTCCTTGAGGGGGGAAGCCAGTACTACAAGGGGCCCACTTTGCAGAAGATGATTCCATTTTTCAGGGGGTTCCCCCTCATATTCTTTCGAATTAGTGTTTCAGTTTTTTTTGGATGTAGTTCCAGAAGTGGAATCGCTGGGTCATAAGGCAGTTCCACTTTCATTTTTTGAGGTAGCTCCATATTGCTTTTCACAGTGGCT